GGAATAATTCCCCTGAAGTTCGTACTGAAGGGAGGCCCGTGCCCAGCAATGGGACGTTAAAAAAAAAGGCTGAATACATTTACTAAAAGACAATTATTTTAATTTATATTTAGCTGATTATTTAAATTACATAATAATTTTTCATAATGTTAATTTGTCGCGGAATAGGGACGGGTTAGCGCTAATTAGTAATATTTTCCGAAACGATTTTCAAAAGAAAGACTTGGGGATAGTGATAGTTCCAGAAGCACATGATTAAGGTAAATAAGTAAATAATTCTAAGCAAATGCTTTTTATCATTTCATATGGCTCGGCTAATATACTTAATTAAAGTCGTCAGCATTTCATTGCGTCCTTTAAGCCTTTCTGAAAAAACCTTTCAAGAAATGGTTTCAAAACAATCTGAAAAAGTTGAGGTATAACAGTTTCTAAAATACTTTTATGAAAATTATCTTACAGAATATACGTTTCGTACTTTTTGAGATATATTATAAGTAGGTATTAGTCTATACTAATATTATAAAGGGGTAAAGTTTGTGAATTGTGAGTTTGTGACGTTGTAGGGGGTAATCTTTGGATCTACTGAACCGATTTAGATGAAATTTGGTAAGAAGATAGTTTGAGACCCGGGGAAGGACATAGGATACTTTTTTTCCGGAAATCATCCCTTGAGGGTGTAAAAATGGGGATGAAAGTTTGGATGGGGAAGCAACCCAGGGACGAACCCGAGCGAAGCAAAGGTGAGTCGCTAGTATAATATATTTTTAGTTACCCGCTTTGTCAGTTTAACAACCATAAACTTGTTTTCCATAAAATGTTAAAAAATAATATGAAACGAACTTATTTTTACGGCTGATAAAATGAGTCGATATTGTGGAAACGTAAATATAATACTTTCTTAGATTTACGCGAATGTTTGACATTATTAAATAAAACTATCTTTTCGGATTATTTCGCGGATTTATTTTGATTTTTGGTTCCCCTACCAAACCAAACCCAACCAAAAATCAAAATAAATCCGCGAAATAATCCGAAAAGATAGTTTTATTGATACGTAAATACTTATTATTGGTATTTATTTTAGTGCTAACCTAACAAAATACGTACCTAAGTAAGAAAAACAATATATTTTGCTATACGGAACCTGTAATGCGCGAATTGCACTTGCATTTGCCCAATTTTTACATTAAAACATTTACAAACATTAACATTTTTTACTAAACAATAAAAAATACAAATATTTCCATTTGAAAATTGTTTCAGCCAATAAAATATTACTAATATGTTACCAATTTATAACAAGCCAAAAAGTTTGCTTTATTGATAATTTGAATACGGGCGGGACCGCGGGTAATTTAGTGGTAATTGTAATATACTTAATCACAGAAAGTTCATATCTGTACTTTAAATTTTTTGAAATTAAAACTACATATTTTAAAAACACATGGCGACATCTATTGACGAATCTAAATAGCACATAAATAAATATTTTTGGAGTTATTTTAATAAATAAAATAACGCTATAGATATATTTTTTTTCAAGATAAGCTATTGTTAATAGTTTTTTGCCATATTTAGTAAGTTATCTTGCAAAAATATTTATAATATCATCGAAGTTTTCTTCTAACCAGTTTTTGTATTTTTTTTCTCAGAAATGAGATATTTCCGCGTAAAAAGTATCCTATATGTTGACCCAGATAACCAGCTATCATCATACCAAATTTCATCAAAATCTATCCAGTGGTTTTATCGTGATGGGTTCCCAGACACAGACAGACAAGCAAAACTATCGATAATAAAGAGTATTTAAATAAGATTTTCCAAAAAATACTTAATGTATCTATCCAGTAAGAATTCTACTACATGTATAGTTAAATAGATTAGAAATTAGATAACTTTGTGCGCGTCTTTAAACTTACTCTTAGAAGTCATTGTAGTGCATGTGTCCAAATGCGTGCCTAACCTGTATTACATATGAATAAAAATACATGTAATTTATTACAAGAAGTCTTAATAACAATTGCTGTACTGTAAAAGTTCACGTATCATAAGCTTTCATCTACCAAGCACCGCACGGCGCCGGCACAACTCTGACACATCGAAGTTAAAATCGATTACACCTCCGCTTTAAAGCTATGAATATATTAACTTATCCGTATGATTGACTCATTGTTAAGATTCGGTGTCATAAGATGTACGTATTTGATCCGTAAAGAAAGTGACCTATTGTTAGTCTCGAAACCGATAAATATGTATAATAGTTACATATATTATCAAGTATATTAACCAACTTGGAAAGAGGAGGAAGTTTTGTGTTTATTTGAGTATATATTCCTGTATTTAATGTATTAGTTTTCAAAGTTTGACGTAGAAAACCAAATAAAAAAACCAAAGTAGGTACCTATTTGTTACTGAATACGAAAATACGGCTTCGTCCAAAGAAAAAATTATGTTCTCTAAATTGGATCGTTGCTTTACCATTAATAGAAAAATTGGAATAAGGTAAAAAATGTGTACGCTAAAGTATGTAAGGTCGTGGACCGCGGTCGCTTGTGTCAAGTGTCACGGGCAGGAATAGCTGAGACGCGCCGAGTTCAAGAGGCACGACCGTCGACCAGCCATTGTCCGCTGTCGCACGACGAGACGAATCACATCGCAGGTTTCATGACCCACGTCAACGCGGTCACGAAACGATTTTCCACCAGCTTCTTAATAAAATACTAAAAAACAATACCGTAAAAAATAAATTTGACTCAATACTTCCCACGAACAGATCTCATAGATTTTTTAACCAAAAATATATATTCTTTTTTCTTGTTACAGATGTTGTTGTAGAGATGTAATAGTATATTCCCAAAAGGTTTTCAGTAAATTAAAAATGACAATGTATATTAGATATCGCACCTAAATAAAGCATATAAGATGTTCAAAAATTATGTCTAACTTTAGAAATGTCACTTTGATGTACATAATATGTATCTACGACTACCTACATACATAAGTGTGATGTAGCTATAGGAACTTCACTTTACTAATGCAAAAATCAATATTTATATATAACAAAAAATATGCCATTAGTTTAAAAGAAATTTGAAATTATGGGAAAATATATCTTTACAAAGAAATATAAACAAAATCAACTTTGCTGCTTTTCTCATATTAATGCAATAAACTTTAAACTGGAACTAACAAGATTTACAGAAGAAAAGACAAGATTTACTAAGCAAGAAAAAATCATGGGTCCTAGAAGTAACAAAGAACTTTATAGAAGCAAATGATTCAATAACTCCTTGTACGGAGTGCTACCGCTATCTTTTATTTTTTCATGATGATTACAAAATTGTCACGTATCTTGGAAATTTCACCGACATTGTAAGTACATAACATCATAGTCAATCAAAAAGTAATATGCAATAGTCTCAGACTGAATAAAGACGACGGACATGACGAAATTTTAAAGATTTCGTTTTTGACGAAAAGAAGAAATTTAGACAAAATAATATTTGGACAGAAGCAAAAGCGGTATTTGGCACCATGCAATTATTAAAATATGGAGTATTTGACGGATGTGATGATTGATGAAATATGAATCAAAATCTCTATTGAATTTCTTTGATTTTATTTATATTCCCCACTACGACTTATTATTATAATTATAATGCAACATGTTATGTGCATATAAATATACTTTATAGACATTTCAAAGATTAAATATAGATTTAATTTTGATCAATTAGTATTGTTGGCAAAATAAATTTAAATTAATTTTTTTGACAAAAAAAGGTCTTTCTCTACAATGAGATGAAAACCTAAATCGTTTATATTACTACAACAAATTAATTAAAATATTGATTTAAGTTAATAATATTTATCGCAATTAAATTTCTAATTACCACAGAATAATTTTACTTTTTGTCTATAAATATATTAAACACTAGCGAACTGCCCTCGGTTTGCTCGGGTGCCTCCATACGTACGTTTTAAATAGTTAAAAATAGTTGTATTCGTCCCTATTTAAAAAATCCAATAGGATCCCATCAAAAGCGACAAAAGTCACATAGAAACCAATACATATTTATTGGTTTCTATGTGGCTTTTGTCGCTTTTGATGGGATTCTATTGGTGTTTTTCAACAAAGGTATTGCAGTAGCAGCGATATTGTTGTACCTTAGGAGATCGACATATACTATTGCAGACTTCTCTATACTCTTTTTAAAAGATATTCATATTTCCTAAATGTTGACTTGAGTAATAAGTTACCACTACACAAAATTTTGTTAAAAGAGGTCCAGTACTCTTTGCGTGAAATGCACGTACCTACATACAGACATACAGACAAATAATTCGGTCATTGTTTTTGAAAAATATTTCGTGTATGTTCAAGTAAGTATAGATTTATTATTATCAATGTATCTTACATACACTTTTCAAGACTTATTTTTTTTATTTTAAGATAAGATAAATATACGATTTAAAATAAAATAAGACATTTTATGGTATTTATATTAGAATATAAACTAAATAAAAATATATGATTTAAACATTATAATTAACATGAACACTTAATAAAATAATATATTTATTATTTAAAAGCTAATTATTTTGTATAACCTCTGTTTTATTATTTCATATATTATTTCATATATTATGTCTAAATTAATACTAACTTATTTTTTTTATCTCAACTCAATGAATACATATGGTGTTTCATTTAAAATATAGTTTTTGTTTTTTTTATTATTATTATTTTTTGACATTGATTAAGAACAGTATATTAAAGTAAAGAACTTTGCTCTAATATGGTAGTAATTAAAATTACACACAACAATGAATTTGAATATTAGTTATCTTTAAGTCAACTTACAATATAACAGAAATAATATTATAGATCAAAATATATCAAGAAAGGAATATTTTTTTTATAGAATTAGCTTGACCAAAGATAAAATTAATATTTGTTTAATTATTTTTTACCAATATTTATAACACAAAAACAATTATTCTGATTTGCTTTTAACAGTGTAAAGAATTTGATTAGTTTGGTATATAAGATAAAGAGCACTCACGAAGACTGCATTGGCCCTGAAAAAAATAAAATACTTTAATATTCACAATAGAATTCATACCATAAAATATATTTCACTTTAAATAACATATATGGCATAATTACATTACTGTATAATTTAAAGCTAATATAACCAACTAAAAGAAAATAAATCCACATGTTTTACTGGAATGCAATGTCATAGTCATAATATTTTTAACTATTATTTTTTCTCGACATAAGCATGTTATATCTAATATATTTAAACGAGCAATTCTTGTAAATATATATAATCTGAATCTCGGAAACGGCTCCAACGATTATCACGTTTAAGATGGGGGGGGTTTCGGGGGCGATAAATCGATCTAGATTAGTTTTGTCTGGGAAAACGCGTGTTTTCGAATTTTCATGCGGTTTTGTTTCGCATTATTCCACGCAAAATGTGGTCGCTAATTCGCACGCTAGGACATAAGCATCGCGGTCAAGAGGCCAAGGCGCAAGTTTGACCACCACAGGTGTCTGGGTTCGTATACCGGTTCGATAGAAAGTTTTTACTTTTGTTTTTTTTTTAAATGTTTTTTTGGCCAAAACCTCCGAGGGAAGCTCGGTAGCCCAGGTACTGATTATTCTATTAGTGAGTTATAAAAATACTATTATTTAATAAGTTAACAAATCAAGTAAATTAACATGGTGCTTTAACTTGCTTTCTACAAAAGAACCCAGGTTTTAAGATTATTACAATTAATATTTAGGTAGATACTTACTGGCCTTCTTTGAAGTACTCCTTTAAAGTGTTAGAAAATCTTTTGGAATACTTAACAAATTCTCGTTTTCTCTGTTCCAGTGCCTGCTTTCCAGGGCCGGGTGTATATGATGAAACTTCATTAACTGCATCTAATAACTTTTTTATAGCTGAAGCTATTTCCCTATACAAAAATTACATTATTCATTATATAGTTCACTGAGTAAAAATATAATAAATAAATATATATAAACTTACTTGATAGTTTCCAGGAAAGTTTTCCTGTCTGTTATTTCATCTGGAATTCTGCTTAAAATTTTTTTCAAAGCAGCAGATTTCTTATTCAATTCTTGGAATGCTTCTTCTGATCTATTCAATCTTAAATCAGCGCCTTGTAACAATATATTATCAAAATTAAAAGCCATGTATTATTATAAATATCATAGAGAAAATGTATTAAATGTATATGTAAATAATATTTTATATAAATAAAACAAAACAATAACAAAAAAACTGTTACATATTAGATAATGGCCTTTAGGGACAGGATTTTGTTTCCAACAACAGACTAAAAGAATAACTTTCTTATTAAGAAATGCAAGTGGAGCTCCTGTTCTACTCAATAGGCGAGTATCACAAGCACATTTTAAACATGTTGAAGTTAATTATTTTTTATAGGAGATAAAATTTAAACAATTACGTACATTCAGTGTCTGTCAAAGTTCCTTGTAAACGTAGCAAGCTCTCATTCATATTTACAGGAATATCCGCTCGTCTCATGATGCCAGCAACTAAATCATAATTAAGTCCTGGAATAGCTGCCTCCGCCTTCGTAAGAGCAGCACGTAATGTTTGAGAAGCACCCAAATCATATTTTTCCAACTGAAATAATTGCATTAATTACAACAATCTACTATCACGGATCACCACACCTTACGAAACGTCAACAAGATCTTACGGCAGCTGCTATAGACGGAAACTTTAAATTTATATAGGAAACTAGCTTAAAATTCATCTTAATTTAAACATTAATTAATGCAAGCCATCAAATACCTGAGTCAAAACAGGACGTATTAAAACGGGCAAAACTAAAGAAGTGACAGGTAATTCATCACCCATTGTCATTATGACCAAATAAATTTAATTTAACACTACAAAATAGACAACGTTAAATAAATTTTAAGAAATAAACAGTGGAATATAAGAAATAAAGCTAAATTTTAATCTATATATTTACGATTTATAGAGTAAACAAAGTTGGCACTAAAGTATTAAAAAGTGTGACATATTTAACAATTTATGAAGAATGACATAATGTGATATGACATTTGCCATTGACAGTGTTATTTGCTACGAAAATGTAATAGCCGTCGTAGAATTTAATTTAACCATAGACTATAAACTGGTTCTTATTAGAACATTATCAACTTAGAGTATACATAAGCTATAGAGCGCGCGCTAGCAAGTATAAACTGTAAGCACGGGTATGAACAGACTCGAAATAGCAAGGATGACGCTATTAGTCACGAAAAGTCAATCGCGTTGACTGTCCTCGTGTTCCAATTCCAGAGCATAATGCCGTACTTTGGCGCACAATGCCGAAGTGTGCTAACGCTGAATTAGTTTTCAAGTGCACCAGCAAAGGCCACTAGATTCAGTGCTTAAAGAAAAAAATATAACTAACTAATATGTATATAATATACAATAATACACATCGTCGATATTATAAATTATATAATAAACTAGCGACTCGCCCTCGCTTCTCTCGGGTTCATCCCTAACTTGCTTCCCAATACAAACTTTCATCCCTATTTCACCCATCTATGTCCTTCCCAGAGTCTCAAATTATCTTCTTACCAAATTTCATCTAAATTGGTTCAATAGATCCAGAGATTACCCCTACAACGTCAAAAACTCCCAAATTTTACATCTTTATAATATTAGTATAGATATATAACTAATTAATATATAATTATAAAAATAAAATATAAACAAATATTACTAACAATAATGTAAATAAAATTATGATCAATACCACCTTGAAGAAAAAACACTTCTCATTTTTTCTGTTACTGTGTTGGTATACTTGCGCGCATCACGCCAAAGCAGTACTTTTCAAAATGCTCGATTGAGCGGAGCGTTGCTGTAGTTGGTACATCCGAAGTTAGCATTATGCTTTAGTGCTCTATTTGGAAAACAGGGTGTTTCTCTCATCCGTATTTATTTGAATTTATGTAATCATGGTGAAATGTGCAGTTCCAAGCTGTAAAAATGATTCACGAAAGCAAACTAAAACGAACAAATATATTTGTTTTCATCTGTAAATAATATTTTAATCAGATAACGCTGATTTTAACAAAATTACACAGACGTGAGCGGGTGTTCCGGGAGGCGTGCGGGCGGGTCGACAGTCGACACAACACGTGCTTCCGCGCCACGTTGTACTACTCGAATATATTGTATAACCATAGTATTATAAATTAAGATTCTTTGTAATTGTCAAAAATAAAACCTTTAAATTTTAATGACACCAAAGTACCTTACTATTGTAAGTAAATATTAAAATTAAGTAATATTTTACTTAATTTTAATTTTAAACATTTTTATAATTTTAATAAATTTTATGATGATGTCCTCCTTGACGTATCCGTCAACGGCGAACCTTGTTAGCTCCGGATATGAGAGCGAATGTGGCTGGCGAACCCAGACTTTGTTTTGAAGATCCTGTTGCAGGGCGCACAATGCAACTGACCTGTAGAGTTGTAAGTATAGACATAGGAAGGCTTTGGTCGGGTCTTTCTATGAATGCGTTTTGCATCCAAGTGTGTTAAACGACTTTCTTCGAAGATTGTAACAGCCTTGTTGATAGAGTTGCGCCAATATGGTCTCTGTTGCGCAAGTTCTTCCCACCTTTCTGGAGCGATGTGACACGCATTAAGATGTCGCTTAAGAACATCCCTGTATCGCAAAAACTGGCCTCCACGTTTGCGTTTACCCTCCTTTAACTGTGAGTAAAACACAGCTTTAGGCAACCTGGAGTCATTCATCCGCACAATGTGTCCACACCATCTTAATTGGCCCCTAATTAGCATTGCCTCTATGCCACTTAGCTTAGTGCGTCTTAAAATCTCCGTGTTTGAGACTCGGTCCTGCCAACGCACACGAAGAATTGAGCGTAAGCATTTTATGTGAAACGTGTCTAAGCGTTTAATATCTCCACTATAAAGACACCAAGTTTCAGTAGCGTAGAGCAGGATGGGCAATATAATAGCTTTATATACAGAGATCTTAGTATGTAGGTGCAAATCATGTGAATCCCAGACACGACCCCGAAGCTTACCAAAAGCTGCTGCAGCGTTTGCAATTCGTGAGGAGATTTCGGTATCCAGGCGATTGTCATTACGGATGTAGCTGCCTAGATAGCGAAATGATGACACTTCCTCAAGAGCCTTTCCACCCAAGAAAATCTGAGTAGTGTCTGTCATAGTATCACGTGCAGCTTGTTTTAGAATTTGCGTTTTAGAGACACTAATCACCATTCCAAATTTTCTGCACGACTCGCGTAGGTGGTCAAGATACGATTGTAAACTACTTATGTTATCAGCTAATAAGCAGATATCATCTGCATATAAGATATCCAAAATAGATATATCATGCACCTTGTCCTTTGATCTGAAACGTGATAGGTCAAAAACACTTCTGTCAGTTCTAACATTGAGCTGAATTTGTCCAGTGCATGCTTTATATGCGTCCTTCAGTACAACAGCAAAGTAAATGGCAAAAAGAGTTGGAGCCATGACACACCCTTGCTTCACGCCGCTGGTAACTGGAAAAGTGTCTGTAAAGTCGTTTTCGTGTTGCACTCTAGCCATCATTCCATCATGATATTGGCGTATTAGATTAACGAACTTCACAGGGCATCCAATTTTTTCAAGGATAATCCAAAGAGCAGATCTCGGTACTCGGTCAAAAGCTTTCTCTAGGTCAACAAAACACATACATAGAGCACGGTGTTGTTCAAAACTTTTTTCTTGCAATTGTCTAACCACAAAGATAGCATCGATCGTACCTCTTCTCGGCCGGAAACCACACTGGCTTTCAGGCAGGATCATTTCAGCCAACTCTTGTAGCCGATGATTTAAAATATGGGCTAAGATTTTACCTGCCGCACTCAGTAAGGCAATACCTCTGTAAGACCCACAATCTGAGGTGTCACCTTTGCCTTTATATAATTTACAAATAGTGGCATCCTTCCACCCTTGTGGTACTGTTTCAGATTCCCAAACCCGTAAAACAAGTTTGAAGAGTCCGTTTTCAATATGAGGTCCACCATATTTGTAAATTTCAGCTGGTAAACTGTCCGATCCTGAAGCCTTTCCATTTTTGAGTCGTCCAACTGCTTGGTGGAATTCGTCAAAGGACGGTGGTTCATCAAGCTCATATGATGTAGGTTGAGCTTGAAGGGAGTTGATATGGTTAAGGTCCGCTCCGTGTGAAACTGGGTTAAATACGCCATCAAAATGTTCAGTCCACCGGTTCAGTACCTCATATCGTTCTGTTAGGCGCCTTGATTTGTCACTAGAGTAAATTGGTGAAATTTTTTGGAACCTTGGCCCAAAGACTGTTCTGAGACATTCGTAGAACTTCCCAATCTGCTTTATTTCAGCAAAGTGTTGTAACTCCAGTGCCTTCATCAGCCACCAACGATTTTTAAGTTCTCGCACCTTTGATTTTAACTCACTTTGGACTCTTCTTTTTTTGGTAATACTAAAGTTGGCCTGCAGCTGTTGCCTATAGTCGCTTACAAGCTTCATAATCTCAGGATCAGAGTCATCAAACCAGTCTTGGTTCTTTTTCTTCGGCTTACCAACTACCCTTTCAGCCACTTGATGAAGTGAGGAGGCTAAACAATGCCAATGTTCATCAATAGGTACTGTAACATCAAGCGGTACCGACTCAAACTCTTTATCAAGATCAAGCTGCATCTCATTTGAGCTAATAAGTTTTGCAAAGGCCAGCCGCCTTGGTATTTTATGCTTTGCTCGGTGAGGAGGTTTATAGCTGAGGCGAACCTTCATCCTAATGAGCCGGTGATCAGTCCAACCCTCAGCACCCCGCATTGCTCTGGTGATAAGCACGTCTTTCAAATCGGCTTTGCGCACAATGACAAAATCAATGAGGTGCCAGTGCTTAGAGCGTGGGTGCATCCAAGATGTTTTAAATTTGTCAGCCATTCGAAAGAATGTATTTGTGATACAGAGGTTAAATTCTGCGCACAGGGATAGTAGTAGCTCACCATTGGAATTACACTTACCAACACCATGGCGACCGAGAGTGCCACTCCAGATTTGGTAGTCGGAGCCAACTCGAGCATTAAAATCACCCATTAGGATGATTTTATCGCTGGAGGGTATATTTTGCAAAACTTTTCGCAGATCTTCATAAAATCGTGATTTTTCTTCATCACCGTACATCATAGTTGGGGCGTACGCACTTATAAGATGTATGTATTTATTGGTGTCAATGTGGAGTCTAAGCGTCATAAGTCTGTCATTAATTCCTTTAGGTTTTTCTATAAGTAACCTAGCGATATTATTTCTGATAGCAAAACCTACGCCGCTACTTGCTCTCTCACTTGCAGACTTTCCAATCCAAAAGTAGGTGTATTGTCCACGATTCTCACACAGCTCTCCGGTATCTGCTAAGTGAGTCTCACTTAGAGCTGCTAAGTGAGTCTCACTTAGAACAGCTATGTCAACTTTGTATTTATACAATTCCCTAGCAATAAGAGCGGTCTTCCGCTCAGGGCATAAGTTGTTAGGACTATCTAGGAGGGTTCGAACATTCCAAGTTGCGAAATTGAAGGTTTTCAGATATTTTCGTACATTTTGACCGCAATTTATCGGTACTTGATGACCGCGGTTTGCCATCAAGGTAGGGTGAGAGACGGACTATGTTTAGGCCACCTTTTCTAGGCCCCTCCTCTGTGCAGAGGTAAGCAGAGCGATCCTAAATAGGGCTGCTTAGTCATCAGATGTGCTGCCGATCCGGCCATCCCGTCCCAATCGATTTTAGGAACGACCACCTTTCATCTGACCGCTTACGTGCAGAGCAACAGCTAAGAACCAGATCTACCGAAACCCGAATTCTCACCACCATCGCTCCATCGCCGCAAGTCTTTTGTTGCTCGTAAAATCCTAAATTCTAGCCAAGGTTCATCTGCGCGTGAATGGATTATAGTGGGCTAGCGGTTGCGCTGGTGCAAGCCCACTCACTCTTCTCAAACTGCCAGAATCCGATGGACCGGTAGACCGGTACGATCGGTGGTAGCTGAGATGCAGTGGATTGACCGCCAACCTTACAAGATCCCAGATTGGCGCCCTTTAAGGCGTACCACATCACCTTGCTGCATCGCCATGTGAGCCGATAAAAGATGTCTATCGACAGTTTTCGCCTCACCATGCCGAATTAGACTTTGTGTGCTTGGCGGGGGATCGACCGAAAAAAATAGCTATGACCATTTGAGGTCACAGCACTCTCCACTAGGTTTAGCCCACGGGTCAACGTGGTTACCGGGGTGTGGCCGCTGCGCACACGACAGCTACGTGGAGCCACTAGTGGAGATTATAGGCAGCTAGCGGTACAATCAATGCTACTGCTACTCGTCGTCAAAGACGAGTTGACCAAACACCAGCTTGATACTAAGATACCGCTGCACTCCCTGATACACCCCAATAATTTTATAATAATTGCATGGAATATTATTTATTTCATTTTAGCTGTTATTATTATAATTATTTCAAATTTTTGAGAAAACTTTATTAATTAGTCAACTTATTTAGTGTTATCATTATTATATTTGTAAACATAAAAAAAGTTTGCAAATTTGCGTTTAAGTCCCGTAGTGTAATTATTATATAATTATGGAACGCGAAAAGTTAAAGAGAATAATATATAATTTTAATTTAGTTTACTATTATTTAAACAAATATAAATATTTGCAACAGTATTACTACATAGATTTACAAATGAAAGATATTAATTTGAAATACTGTGATTTTAGATAATAAAGTCTATAATATGTGCGTGAATAAATGGTTATGTTAAATAGTTTATGTTAATATTAACTTAATAACTTTACTAATATTCAAATAACACTTGTTACAAAGGGACTTCAGGGCCATCTTTTTTTTAATCCTCCATGTAAAGTTTTACGTTTTGTGTTTTGAAATTTCAATGCGTACAAAATTTTTCTAGATTTTTTACGGCAATACGATTTTTGCTAGTGTATGGCAAAGAGAACGTAACCACTACGTTTTATTTTTTATATTTAGCAATATACTATATGGTTTTATTGTATCCTCTAAGTTGGCCACCCTGGTCAGACGTCAAAAGTACAATAGCATTAATTAGACATGGGTAACTCAATGAATTTTTATGAGCTGCAGGTCAGCTCATGAGTCATATGCTTGAACCGGAGCTGTGAACCGGCTCACAGTTCAGCTCAATTGATGTTATATGGGTACTTATAACTATAGATTTACAGCTAATTTATGACTCTGTTCAAACAAATGACATGTATGATGTACCTAAATTATATTTGTATGTAATAAAGCAGCATTTCGAAAAAAGTTATTATAGTCATATTTTTTCGTTCTTACACGATTATATGGTAATGCTAATTTCATGCAATTATATCTTTACGTCGCGATGAAATGTCATACCGTCAGTCGCAAAGAGTATAATAATATAGATTATAGACTATAGTACAGGTCCGTCGGCTCGGGTCCATCAAAATAGCTGACGTTAGGTGGCGCTAAAGTGATGCACGGAGCCATATTAAGTAATATTGAGCTGTGAACCGATTATCTAGCAACTGAGCCGCAGCTCAACGGCTCTAGCTACTGTGAACTGAATATTTGAACCGGCTCTGAGCTGAGTTACACATAGTGAGCATTAATCAGAATCACAAACTGTAGTAGAAATTAGAATTACCTATGCATTAAAAGTGACGTTTTGTTAGAAATGTATTGATTTCTCTTTGAAGATTTAAAATCAATAGAATAATTTACAGTCATAACAATAATTTACACTTAACAAAGATGGCTAAAAATACTTCCAGTTCAGCTTTTCGTAAAATTGATATAGATCAATATAACGAAGATAACTTTAAAGAAGATGAAGCCGTGCAATCCGTACCAACTGGACCTGACGAGGGAGAAGTCTGTGGATTACTCAATCAATATCCTTTTAATAGTAAATTATACAATTTCCAACGTAATACATATTGTTTACATTTTAGTTTTTATTTAAATGATTTGTGGGGCGTATCTTGTCTTGATAATGACGAATTATGAATCATAAGGTAAAATTTGTTAACAAAATATACAACAGAACATAGGATTTAATGAATTTATCTAAAACAATAGTATTTGAAGCAACTAAAACGAAATGTTTAATTATTCCATTTGATATGTAGCCATTTTTTTAATTACTCCATCTACTTCGGTAGATCTTCATGCTGTAACTTTTTCACGTTTGATTTATGTTTTCCTAAAATATAACTTCCTTGATTCATAAAATACAGGTCGATATGTTGAAGCACTGAAACATGTTTTAAGCAATGCCCCTCTAGGATCTTCAGATCAACAGATAAAAGTAAGTAAACATTATATTTAATTTTAATAAAAAAATAATGTTAACTATTGTTAATAGTATCAACCATAATGTGCCATAATATTATTTATATTACACTAGCATTGCCCGCGGCTCCGCCCGCGTCCAGATGACCAAAAACCAAATTCTTAGGTTTTACATATTAGTATACTACAGTAATGCAGTTTTTGTATTTTTTCACAGAAATTAGATATTTTCCCGCAGTAAAAAGTATCCTTATATGTTGACCCAGATAACCAGCTATTATCATACCAAATTTCATCAAAATCTGTCCAGTGGTTTTCCCGTGATGCAGTAACAGACAAACAGACACAAAAATTCTAAAACTAGATTTGGACTCTGTATCGATAATAATGTCTATTTCAATTAGATTTTGCAAAAAATATTTTAATGTACAGATTCAACTTAGTTACAATTTTATTATATGTATAGATAACATTTGATCCTTTACATACTATGTATGTATACATAATTTAAATCCTTAATTTAAAAGTAAAAGTTGGACTCACTTTAGATAGTTAAACTCTCTACATCAAAAGGTGGTAGAGAAAAGCAAACTATAATAATGGAATATTTTCTTTTCAGGATAATGCATTAGCTCTGACATTAAAAGTATTACTGGCAATAAAATCTGCCCAAATTGAAGAAGCTGTTGGTAATTTATCTCTGGATGATATAGATATCTTAATGAAATATATTTACAGAGGTTTCGAGTATCCCTCTGAAGGATCAAGTGGGCACCTATTGCTATGGCATGAAAAGGCATTTAATATTGGTGGTTCTGGATCTATTGTCCGAGTTCTATCTGATAGATTAAAAGTTTAATGAATGTTTACAAATCTTTAAATAAATGTAAAACAATGTGTATTTTTATTTATATTTTAATAGAGACTAAAAATTATGATTGCTATTTTAATTTTCTCAGATAACATAACCAAAATTTACTCTGTAACTCCCACATTGATACACCACTTTGTTTGGCACCTGATTGCAAAATAGAAAGAGCAATGTCTCTATATTTCTATATAAGGTTTTATTAACAATTGGCACCTTCATGCTCCATCTATATTATTTTCAACCCACTTCAAAAAGGAGGAGGTTCTCAATTCGACTGTTTTTTTTTTTATGTTTGTTACTTCAGAACCCCATCATTTATTAACCGATTTGGACAATTTTTGTGTTGTTTGAAAGTGTATACTTCCAGATTGGTCCCATTTAAATTTCAAAATAAAAATACCACCCCTAAGGATGGAAAAATAGCGAATGATGAATTTAACCTACTTCTAATTGTCATATTGACTTGAAACTTTGCAAGTGTTTCTATTTCCGTTGAGATTACAGTGGTTCGGTATTGTTGACCTGATCTGATGGTAAGGCCAGAAGGTGGATAAGTGGAACTCTTCAACGGCTAATAGTAGATACTTTGAGTTTGGGCTTATTTTGTTTGATTTGACAAGCCTAACACGTTAGAATTCTTACTTTGCTACTACTGTCTACACTAAAAAGGGAAAAATAAAAACTTTAAAAAAAAAAAATAAAAACCGACTTCAAACAAAAGCACTAAGTGATTAAAGCCTACCTATTAAATACATACCTAATCAAATATTTTCGAAATCGGTGCCAGCCCATACAAAGCAAAGCACACCGACTTCGAAAATATTTGATTAGGTATGTATAGTAAATGAAAACTACCAATCAGTTATTTTTTAATTTTTAGTGCTTTTGTTTGAAGTCGGTTTTAATTATTTTGTTAAAAAGTTTTTATTTACTTTGTATAGGTATAAGCAAATAAATTGAATAAAACAAAGTAATAAGACTTAGATTTAATTGAATTCAATGAATTTCCTTTTTACCAGTGGCATAAGTGTTTTTAGTTTATGATGTAATCACCTCCAGGCTACTGCAATATTGTAAAATTATTGTAATTTATAATTTTACTTAAAAAAAAAGGTAAGATAGTTTCTTTCGCCAGTTCTTCTTAGGACTCGGGCTTTTTGTTTCCATACTGGTGGTAGAATCGTGACGTTCATTAAAGAATTATGATAATGTAATGCTGAATAAACTAATTTTGAATTTCATGAATGATGAACAGCAGTATTATTAAAGCTAGTTCTTGTCCTATGGAAATACATAAAAAGTATCGGTCGGCAGCCATCCTCCTAAATTCTTCTTTTTGTTGAAGATATGTTCAGGCTAGCTCTGAACAGATCTTCAACCTTCTTTATACCGGTTCATTGTCGAATGTTGCACAGCCAGAACATCTTCACTACCTCGATGTTAGTGATTTTATCCGTCCAACTTATTTAAAATGTGAGTAATACGCCCTCATTTCAAATACCCCATACTTTTTACGGAGATCTATCATAGTCAAAGATTCGCAGCTAAGCAAGAAGCCTAGCACACATACACAAGCAAGAAGTATGACGGACCAAATATAGCATTACAGTAGCTTTGTACGTAGTTCGTTTCCTTTTGGTAAGGACTTTGCTCATCCTCATGAATAAGGCCCTTGCAGTTACTATTCAAACTCTTATCTCGATGTCACTCTCTCAAGAATCACTCACCCAAGACCTATGATAGCAGTAGGAACTTCTGAACCCGCACGGGGTATACTTGTCTTACACGTCCGGGTCGGGCGGCTTTTCCACTTTGCTTTATTGAGAGCATATACAAGTATATATGCATATATATGCATAGAGTAAATACAAATCTTATCATTTTCGGTCTAGTTGCATTATCTAGACTCTCCGGGCCACTACGATTATTGCCCTGAAACATTTTGGATATATAATCTTCCCAGATCTTTTAACCGTGTCTGTGATAATTCGATCCCTGTACTGTCAATCAATTCTTTTCTCTTCTTTTTTTTCTACTTCTTTTGAATACCCACCATTGCTTTAATTTGTTTGTGAAAATTATACGCATCAAACTTCGTCATCAAAGATTTCATATGTTCACACTTTTCCTCGTGCTATTTGGTGTAGGCTGGTCTAACTTTGCGTCTAATACGTTTGTGAAGAATTGAATATTTCTGTTTATCCGTAGATTTACATATGTGCATTTATTTAGATGATGAGGTCACGTGTGTCATAGGCTGAAATATACATATAATAGAACAATAACTTAGCAAAATCTGACCAAAATTCTAAAAACTAGATTCGGACTCTGTAACGATAATAATGTCTATTTCAATCAGATTTTCCAAAAAATACTTAATGTACAGATTCGACTTAGTTACAATGTTATTATTATATAGATTTCTGCAAAAACTTTTTGATATTCATGAAACTAGGGGAATATAATCTTCAAAATACATATAATAACCATTCTTTTAAATCGAAATGTTTATCTGTTTATTCCTTCCTTTCTTAGACTTCAAACTTCTCAAAAAAGTATATTTGGCTTTGGGGGGGGTCATTACCCCCATGACCCCACCCCCCCCTGGATCACGCTTGTTAGAAGTTCTAAGTAAATAAAACTAACGGTAAAATGACAAAAAATTTACTTTTAATCAGATGGCTAATTTTAAGGATTTTCGATCTCGCTGTCTTTGAAGGCCGATTTTAGCCAAAGTAGCCTCATTAAGTACTACTTTTTTTTTAATGATTGTAAAATCTGAAAGTCTGGCTTCTCAAGTCTACTTAGGAACTATGAAGTCACCTGTTTGGTTTTTTATTTAAAGTAGAAAATTTAAATTTTTCACTTAAGACCAACATTTTCATAACTTTTATCATAGTTACGAAGCTGATTATTTTATTCATAAAATTAATACTTATGAAGATTTAATTGCAAAAAAACAAATCTAGACAAAGTCTTCTATTTTTTTTTAGAAAATTTTTAAGTTGGTCAGGTCGAAATTTCTCAAAAATTCTGAAAAAAAATCATAACTCATAAACTATGAAAAGTCGCGTACCATACATGGGGGTGATTCGGATACCCTACGATACGAGGGACCTAAATTTTATATTTGGACGTCAACGTTTCGACCAACCTGTAAGTATATTTAACAATATTACGTCATGAAAGTTCTTAAAATTTCTATATTTTGTTTATTAGATCATTTTTTCCCATTAGATACAATACCTACTGTAGTATACTGTAATTAAACTTAAATATCTTTCGTTTTTTACGCTTTATAGACCACAAAAAATACAGACTGGTGATATACTAGGGTGCATTTGCCAAGATATAGTATTCTGTTCTGTATATCTAGTAAGAAATAAAAATACTAGCGTATACTTAGGTACTGTTGGAAATGTTCCGCCAAACGATCTAAAATTAAAATGAACGCTGATCTCGAGCGACTGCTAAAGAAAGTAATAGTTAGCTGAGAGAGCCTCTCTTTCTCGAGAGAAGGCGCTATATAAAGCAACTCAGTACACTTATTTCACGATAGTTCTAGCTATACCTTGGACTAACACTCACTTGTAGCACAATGGATATACCGGTTAGTATTTTTTGTTTTTGATTGCGTTGTCGGTATCGTCGACTAATGGTTGGTTACTCGGAAATAATCACATTACATAATTTATTACGTAAAGCCTATTTCCGTTTTCGTAATTTCAGATTTGAAAATAAAGCATTCTGAATTGACTTACATAAAATCTTTAAGTACCTCAGGTTATTATTATTTTATTGAATTATTTCGGATTAATAAAAGATGGCATATGTTTGACCGGTATTTTCAAATTATATATTTTTATTGCAGAAGTCAATAATATTACTATGCTGTACTACCATCTGCCTCGCTTCGCATTATTCCCATACCATACCAGTGGAAGGATATGAAACGGAACTTCAAAATCTCGGCGAACACGTGGAAATACCTGAAACTCCGGTTAAAGTGATCAAAATTACTAAGACAATTGCAGTGAAAGTTCCCGTGCCGTATCCAGTGAAGGTTGTGGAGAAGGTGCCATATCCTGTACACGTAAACAAGCCATATCCAGTGCCAGTGCCACAAATTATTAAAGTTCCGGTATCTAACGGTCATAATCAGGGTCATGAAGCTCTTGATGTAGGAAACCACCAGTTCCTAGATCGCCAACAAAATGGAAATTCGTATCAAGTGCAAGAAACGCCATATGACGCTCCCCCGGCCGAGTCCTACAATGACTCAGGAAGCCAATCGTACGAAGGAGGCAATAATGAAAATAGTTACGGAGTTCCCAGCGAAGAGTACAAGTCTGAGGGATCATCGGGCGCACTTTACGGCCAAGCACCTCAAAATTTTAACGGTTATCCTAGTGATCAAGATGGACATAATTCTTTTGAATCAAAAAGTTACGAACAGGCTATCCAAAATTATTGGAATAAAGTGAATTCGAATAGAAATAATATTGGAAGTTCTAATGGCTATCACTAAGAATTTAACTAATTAATACAAATAAGTTTAGGTACCTGACATATTTAACCTGTTAACAAATTACCATATCACTGAAACACCGTAAAACAAGTAGTCTTTGCCCTTGCATTAACTGTTGTTCTACAAATTGACCTACTTTTTGAATCCTGAGTCACTTTTAAGCATGTATGGATAGTGCATGTTTGTGTTGATCTGTTGAGTTATTTTTATAGATGTTGATTTTGTTACTAGATGTGTATGTACTGTATAATATTGTTGATTTTGAAATAAGTTATAAATAAAAATGAAACATCAGAATTTCTTAAAATATATTTATTTTCGACAAACATATGTACTTTCTAAAATAAATCTTTAGGTACTAATTACGTGATAAAATTAAATCCAACATACATTTCAATGTAAAAAGTGGTTTTATAAATTTTCCATATAAACTTTTTAACAAAATTTATTTAAGATTTAATTTAACTTTAACATAAAAACAAACACACATTACATTTCTTATGGTATTTAATTCTTATCAATAAATTGTACCTAATATTGTTAGGTCTATTTGCTTTTAGGGCAGCAACCAAACTCACTTAAATTGATGACAAACAACTAGAAACATATATTTTTTTTAAATCTAAAAATATATCTTTAAAAAACGTTAAAGTGCTAGGTACGAACCTAAGACATCAATTTTAAATTACTACTATAAAAATAAACCGAGCGTGTCATATGCGTATATAAAAAATTGTACGCAACATATCAAATCAATCTAAAATCTAATGACACATGTTATAAATACAGCTAAGCCTTTTATGTTATTTCTCAATAATAAACCTAATTTGATTTATCAAAATTTTCATATTCATACATGTAGAAATTAGGTATGGTATTATATATACCACTATTTTAAAATTCTTGCATTGATCATTACGTCATATTACAATATGTTGATAATTATATTATTATAATTGTTTACAGTCTAGATATCACAAAAGCATATTTTTTCCTGGGCAAGTGTTAAGCATCGCATTCTCTAACACGGTTACACGACCACTACCACGGTGACGGTCGTCATTTCTACGACACTACACTGCACTTGCGTACATTCTAAATAATAATAATTTATATGACTATTTATTTGAAACAAAAGTTACTAAATGGATTAAATACTTACTTAAAAATATATTAATTCAAATAATGTCTTACGTTTTGTGATGAGAACTGTAGTTATCCGATAAGATAATAAGCGTTTATATTTTCCAATATTATTTTATTATGGAAATACTTAAAAATATAGGATGAATATTTTTGTAAGTCATGTGTACGTACCTTTACGTTCCAATTACACTATAAGATATTACAGCTAAATTGCACGTGGTACTTCAACGGGAAAACGAAACGACGACTAACTTATACATCTATTTACCATACTCGATTTTTAACACATTAATTTTATTAAAATTAAACTACAAATTTAGATAAATACTCAATTAATACCATTTACAATGAAAATCGTTCATATAAATGCATGTTAAAATTGTTTGAATAGAATAATAGATCCTTAAGGCGCTTTGGCAGTTTGTTGAATTGTTAGATATAAAAATAATAATAAGCTCATGATGTTATCAATTTAATTGTTATCAAAAAATATTAATAATACTATAGCACTTAATTTTTTTTTACGTGTACTGCACTGCCAATGCGGACTATCAATTCAGCGGCTCTCGGAAAACACCAACGCTAAGCGTGATAAGAAAATATTGAAAAATCCTAATATAAGTTACCAAAAAAGTATTAAAATTAGAATTGTTTGAGCAATTTATACGTAAAAAATGTACGTAATTAAGATGAGAAGAAACATCAAAATACTAATAACTCCAGGGTCCATTATGAATTCGTCAGTGATGACGTCAGCAGTGGTAGCAGTGGCGGCGGTGTGTGGTAGGCTTTACGCGGGGGGTGAGAGCATCACGCGGCGGCGCGTGCCCCTCGCCGGCGTCAGCTTGCGCCGCGCCGGCGCCGGCTGCTCGTCCTCGTCCGACACGTACATGCGCGTCATGTCCGACGCCACCGACGCTGTCTCGCACATACTGGGTGGTGATAGAAGGTAATCGTTGTTATTAAATTTAGATTTCGGATTATGTATTAAATTATCTATTGATTTCATGTATTCAGCTCTTTTTTTAACCTCCCAATACTTGGCACGGGCCTCCCTTCGATACCAAGGAGATCAGGCCATAGTCCACCACGCTGGCCAAGTGCGGGTTGGCGGACTGCACATGACTTTCGAAAACTTGTAAAATTCCCTCAGACATGCAGGTTTCTTCACGATGTTTTCCTTCGCCGTAAGACAAGTGGTAATAGTTGGAATGATAAACAGTATGATAGATAGTAATAAACATACACTTACATGTATACAAATTATAATAATAGTCAGATTATTATTAATTAACGTGCTCAATGTGAGATAATCCATTTTGTAGTTTTATAAAAAACCCTAATACTTCGCTTAATCGAATCGCTTAATCTTACGGAAACAGCACAATAGATTTAGTAGTAGGCCAACAAGCGCACTCTATCCCTTTCACTATGAAAATCCGGTGAGACAACATTTCCACATAAATGGTAAAATCGGACGCAGGATTTAACAACGCTAACACCCCAATACTGGGCAAGAATTCTTATCAGAAATAATTTAAAAGGCAATAAATTCTTATCAGAAAAATCCAATATCTATTTCTGGTCTATCCGAGAAGTTGAATCAATCCAAATCGTACATGACTCATCCAATCCTCTACCAGTCTTTAACACCTTAAATATTTGAATTGGACTCTGACACTAAACTTTATATACATATATTGTTTGCCTAATTTTTTTTAATTTTACATAACTTTAAACGCAAGAGCAAAATTTCAATAAAACTAAAAAAAAATTCAAAAGAAAAAAACTGGTCAAAAAATGGTACGGACAAGAAAACAAACACCACCGACAGTGTTAGTATTACACATTTAAAAAACCGTACCTATGTACACGCTGGCCACTAGACCGAGACACCAAATATTTCTTAAGAATGACCTCTTTTTAGCGAAGCTTTAGTTCCGCTTCCGACCGCATGCAGTTGTTTGTTGCATCAACGTCCTCTTATATAACCGATTAATCGCACTCTTGTCGTTCAAGTTATTACGTGAATGTGTGCAGTTCATAGAACTAAATAATGATACTTTCATTTTCTATGTGCCATAAATCTAGACATATAATAAAATTGTAACTAAGCCGATCTGTACATTAATTTTTTTTGGGAAAATATTATTGCAATAGACATTATTATCGATACAGAGGCAGAATCTATAGTTTTTAGAATTTTTGCCTGTCTGTCTGTTACCGCATCACAGAAAAACCTCTGGAGAGATTTTGATGAAATCTGGTATGGTGATAGCTCGTTATCCGGGTCAACATATAGGATACTTTTTACCTCGGGAAAATGTCTCATTTCTGAGAAAAAAATACAAAAACTGCAATGTAAAAGTATACTAATATGTAAAACCTAAGAATTTATTTTTTGGTCATCTGAACGCAGGCGGAGCCGCGGCTAGTGCTAAAGTATAGTTTTTCAATTATATATTAAACTAGCAGAACCCGCGGCTTCGCTTGCGCTAAAACTACAAAAAAACCTCTAAAATGATTTCATACAAAATTTCATCCGCTATTTTACCCCCTTATGGTATGAATTTCGAAAAATGCTAAAACACGTATTTAATTAATTATATTGAAGAGCATTTATACCAAGTTTCAAGTAATTCTAATCATAAATAATTTCTTTCTTTCTCCAGCCCTCTAACTATCTCCACACAAAAAATCACGCCAATCCGCCAAGCCGTTTCGACGTGAAAGAAACACAGACAAACAAACAAACACACTTTCACAATATATGTAACATTCAGTAAACTTATTAAATATATTATATTTTTATTAAACAAGAAGTAACTATTTGAGTTTATTTGATATTAGTAACTCAGTGTTTCTAATAAAATGATAATTTATTGCTCTTCGGTTTCATAAGATCAATTAAAGTTTTCGTTAAAAAGGTAATATTTTAAATTTTTTTTTAATATTCTCAGATACTTAAGTAATATATTCCATAGTATATAGTAAATACTTCATTAGTATAGAGCTACTTTTAAAATTTACTAACTGTTAAAGCAAGTTATTTAATGCCCTAGTTTTCAATCTATAGATGATATGATTATGAAAACTACTCGGCAAAATAAACAATTCTAAACCAACTTGGCAAATTAGAGTCAAATTTATTTTATAAATAAATGTGGACAACATGATGATAAAGATAAAACATTCGGTCATAAAGACGCTTTGCATGGACTTACAGAAGTTGGCCGAACAGAATATTTGCGCGTATTTTATTTTTATACCACAATAATAGGAACAATTCAAGAATTTTGTTGTTTTATCTATAAATAATATCTAAAAATATAATTTAAATCACAATATTTTCAGTATTTATAGTTTATAGGTATATTTACTATTGAAATGTTTCAAGATTTTTTTTTTTAAATATATACTACGAAGATAAAATTTGTGCTGTTTAAAAGAGTCTGCCCACTCCACCGTCTTATACCATGACCGTGCTAGGACTGTGTCAGGCAAAAATATACTTTGCATTGAAAAGTGCGTCGCGTGCCGCGCACGGAGCGGTGACAATGGCGGCGCAATGGAATGGAATGAACGCAGCACTAAACCCGTTATGTACGGGTATGATACGCTGTTGATACGTTCTAGTGGGCATAGTAGTCCGTGCCGTGCCCGTTTCCGTGCCTGATAAGTTCATCGCACGGTCATGGTATGAGACAGTGCAGTGGGCAGACACCTTAAGCCTAATTTTGGATAAAAATAGAAAAAAAACTGTGAATGAAATATAAGCACCATGTATTTCACTCACTTTATTTTTTATTGCTAATATACTATTTTATTGCTAATAGAAAATTTAAAAAAATACGGAAATGATAAATCTAATTATTAGTTCACGTAACATCCCATAGTTATCTATTATCGATCTCGATATCGATATTTTAAAGTTTAGACAATCATCTTGTCTAACTGGCCTCAGGTATTTTTTGGATCTTAACACAAAGTCGTTGATTACTTTACTGCTGAAAAATAGAAAAAAAAAACAAATGAAATAATTCAAACCTGTTATTATAGCATTCCAATTCATCTTGGTAGATGAAAGAAGGTAACTGCTGGACGCTCGCGGGGAGGGACACTTGCGGCAGCATTGGCAATTTTGGATTGTCCTTATTTGGCTTCTTTGGTAACTCTTCATTTTCAGCTATTATGGTCCTAGATATTTTATTTATTTTAAATAAATATAATATAAAGTGCAAGTCGGACTCGCACACGAAGGGTTCCGTACCATTTAACCGATTTTTTTAAATTTACATGGCAGCCTTTTTGAACTTCGCCATCTTGGTTTTTTTATTATTTGTTGCTAAAGCGGCACTAGAAACACACTCTGTAAAAATTTCAATTCTCTACGTATTGCGGTTTAGATACAGCCCTCTGACAGACAGACGGACAGCGGAGACTTAATAATAGGGTTCCGTTGGCACCCTTCGGGTACGAAATCCCAAAAAGCTACTGCACTGTCTTCGGCACTACACCATTGTATAAAATTACTAGCGGCTCACCCTCGCTTCGCTCGGGTTCACCTTTAGAAAAGTACAAACAGATCTATTCCACGGGAACCGTTCATTTTTCCGGGATAAAAATAAGTAACCTGTTATTCGACCGGCAATATAAGGTATCAACATGCCTAATTTTACTAAATTAGGTGCATAAGTTGTTGCGTACTGAGCTGTATAAGTTACTATAGTTTTTTAACTATCCCACGGGAACTCTTTAATTTTCCGGAATGAAAAGTAACAAATTTCATTTAAATAGGTTCAATAGTATCGGAGATTAGCCCGTACAAACAGACAAACAGATAGAGAAAGAAAAAAAATGAAAAAAATCTGGATTTGTTCTATTTCTCTCCTTACGGGATGTAAGAAGAGATCTGACTCGTTTTTCAGCATTTTTTCTACCATCTATGTACAGACATTCGACCTCTACAGTTTTATTATTCATATATGTATATTCAGATAGAATAAATAACGTATAATAAAACAGTAATATATAATAATGAAAATAGTTATAGCGAGTGTACCTTAGGAGATAAACATATACTATGTAGAACTTTTCTATAGACCTTTTTAAGACTTACAATTTTCTTGTACAATGTTTGATGAGCCAACGTTAGCCATATAAATTTCTAAGGACAATTCGATTGAACCAGTTATTGTGTTTTCCCGTGGGAATGAATAATTTGCCTGTCGTAAAAGGTATTCTAAATGCTAACCCGAGCACTAAGTTTTAACACTATACAAAATTAAGTTAAAATCAGTTGATTACTTTTTGCGTGAAACGCGCACATCGATTTGACTAAGTTTTATTATAGGTATAGATAAGAATAAATATTGCGAGTGTAACTTAGAAGATAGACATATACTATTCAGAATTTTTCTGAAGGACTTTTCAAGACCTACAATTTTTTAGTATATTATTTAGATGTATGTAAGTCTTAAGGCTTAGCCAGCAGAAGGTTTCTAGGGAGGACTCGATAAAACCAGTTATTGTATTATCCCGTGGGAAAGGAAGATTTTCTTTAAGTAAAAGGTGTCTAGGCAGTGGTATCCCAGTGGTAACGCGCTCGCTTGGGAAACCGAGTGAAGCAAGTTCAAATCCCGGGTCTCGCACCTCTGATATTTTCATGTGCGAATCATTTCTAACACAATTACCACTTGTCTGAACGGTGAAGGAAAACCTGCATGTCTGACAGAACCTAGCAAGTTTTCGAAAGATATGTGAAGTCCACCAACCCGCACTTGGCCAGCGTGGTGGACTATTGCCTGATCCACCTCGTACTGAAGCGAGGCCCGTGCCCAGCAGTGGTACGTTAAAAAGGGCTGAATACAACATACATACATACATACAAAAGGTACCCTAAATGTTGACTCGAGTAATAAGTTATCATACAGGCAAACAGACAAACAGACAAAATTTTTTTTAATAACTATTATTTTGGGGTTTATGTTGTGTACATAATACGTTACAAATAAACAAAAACATCTATCCAACAGGAAAAGTACATTTTTCCGGGATAAAAAGTAACCTATTTGTTATTCTGATGTATGAACTACATTATTGTAAAGTTTCATCAAAATCCAAGTCGTTTTTAGTTTTTATATCCAGTAGTTTTTATGTACTAAGCTGTATAAGTTACTATAGATTTTTGACGATCCCACGGAAACTCTTTAATTTTCCGGGATGAAAAGTATCTAAAATGAAAAGTAGCTGATTTGTTTTTGTCATGTATGAACTATATTATTGTAAAGTTTCATTAAAATCCAATCAGTAGTTTTTGTGTACTAAGCTGTATAAGTTGTTATAGATTTTTAACTATCCTACGGGAACTCTTTAATTTTCCGGGATGAAAAGTATCTAAGATGTTGCCCGGGGATATAAGGTACCACCACGCAATATTTCATTTAAATAGGTCCAATAGATCCGGAGATTAGCCCGTACAAAGAGAAAAACAGACAAACAGCTCGCTCGGGTTCGTCCATACTTACGAATATGTTGTATTATCTCTTTAACCATTTGTCCAAATTATATGCAGTAAAAGGGAAAAGTCTTTTGTTTTAAACATTTTAAACGATTAATTTGCTTATTTTGATAAGAACTCATAATTGTTGATAATATGACCAATAAACATGACCTACCGATTTAAACTGTTTTTTAATATAAAAAACTACTTTTTGTGACTTAAATATAAAAGTTAGACATATACTGTCGCTGACTTTTTTGTAGGCATTATTAAGCTCTACAACTTTTCTCTAAAACATAATCATATATCTCTCATCGTTAAGGCAGCGTTCGTAAGAAACGTTTTCGTTCGACCGTTTTTTCTCCGACTTACTTTGCAAATCCGACTACCACGAAAAAGCCTTTTCATTCTTCGGGTTAATATATAGCCTATGACACTCAGAAAGAACGTGGCTTTCTATTGGTAAAAGAATTTAAAAAATCGGTTCAGTAGATCCTGAGATTACCCCCTACAACGTCACAAACTCACAAGATCACAAACTTTACCTCTTTATAATATTAGTATAGATGTATCACTAACGGCTAGACAAAAACAAACGTATCCCACGGGAACCGTACATTTTTCTGGGATAAAAAGTAGCGTATGTGTTATTACAGACTATAATCTATCTCTGTGCCAAATTTCATCAAGATCCGTTCAGCCGTCCTGGCGTGAAAGATTAACAAACAAAACTTTCTGCCATTATTAAATACGAAATTCTATGTTCGAAATACATATCATAAAATAAATTATTATCTAATAATAACTTATCTATAGTATATTATTTTTTTGGATTTTTACACTGAGTTTACTCTGAATACTATTTCAACACACCGTCGAATTAAATATTTTATACGTACTTTCCTACATCCATCGTGATTTTATATTCTTGTGACTTCTGCACTAACTCTAGCCAGCTGGGCTTGTTCACGTCATCATTGACTGTAGAGAACGACGACCCGGGCCTGTTGATGTTGACTTAACATTAGTCATCAAGCTTTCATGGTCACTGACAATATCAATAATCAAACTTAATTACGGCTCAGACACGTACGGTACCTGTGACTATGGTGCTTGAAATATCGAGAACATAAAAGTGAGGAACATGATATCTGTCTTACGAGAACGGCCGGATTGAAAAAAAAATAATAACTAAGAAATATTCGCGATTACACTTAACTATCTTGGTGCAGAATGTATCTAATTACTATAGCTCATTTTAAAAATTACATTATTTAAATAAGCTCAAAAATTATGGACATTAGAAAAAAGTTTTTAAAAATTGCAGAGAATAAATGGATCTTTAAAAATGGATAGATGCATTTTACTGATTAAACCAATATTTTAAGAGTTATAGGCCAAGATAGAAGAACCGGTTCTTTTAATGGGGGATAAATCGTAAACGGTAAGTTTTACAAAAAAAATCAGGAAACAAAAGATGCGAAATTTTATCCGCTACAAAAATAGTTTCAATAACTTTTGCTCTAAAGTGCATAGTTTCCGAGATATCGGCCAAAAACGTTTTTTTAAGATGGCGCCTGAAGCTCCACCGGAATCTGTCAGCATTTTGTGATTTTATACTCAGTAAGTGATCCTGACCTTATAAAAAAAATGGGGACGGAAATTTAGTGCAAAGTTGACCAAAAAAACGTCTATTTTAACTGTAGTATAAATCTCATTAGATTTAAAAAAGCTTAAACTAAAATTGCTATTAAATAGTCTAAATGTATGTCATACTTACGTGGGCGTAAAATTAACTATTGCTGCGAAATGATTTTGTTTTTTATTATGTATTTGATAGAAGGTGTCGGGCGTCGGCGATAGAGACGGTTCCTTCGTCAGCTCGGACAGAGTAAAACCGCTGGTTTTAGGCGATTTGTCGACACCGTTTTGGGATATTTCGTTTATAGAGAATTTTAGTTTGGCTGAAATATTAGAAGTCATTATATAACTAGTTTCTATCTGCAGTTTCTCAAAAGTGGACCAATTTTTTCAATAATATTTTTTTAGCTCTTAAATTACATTTCTAATTATTTAAGAACAAAGTATATAATTAAAAATATTAACTCACATATGTCAATTGGTGATATGGTGCCAGCGACTTCGTAGATGAAATCTGGGGTCCAGAAATGAGGTATTCTTATAAATACTTTGCCCGTGTCCACTGGCATGTGGAAGCCGAGTTTGTGTAGAAGTTGCAAGAATTTCAGATCCTTACAAATAGATGCTTGGTGGCAATTCCATGGCACCAATGGCACAGATTGTTTTAAAACTGAAAATAATAAAATAAAAATAAAGTTATACTTCTTTTGGCACGTTTGGAAAAAAAATTGAGAATAAAATTTTTACGATACATTCCTTTTACAAACAGAGCGTTGTGACATACGGGATGAAATCTGTAGCTATTTTTGTTCTGTTACGCCAAAGAAATAAAACTTCTTACGTGCGTACATAAGTACACACACAATTATTTGTTAAACGTCATTGTGATAATTGCAAATTAATTAATTTAATATCTGCGGAATGTTCTTCGATTTAAAGACATGTAAGAAGAAAATTTAGTATATGTCTTTAAAATCGTCATAATAATAAAATTATAAAATAGTATATGTCTTATGTTTGTCAATTTAAAAAATATTTACGCCAATATTACCTCTCTATTGGCGGAGGCATAGAATTAACGTTAACCTATAATGTCACTAATAGATTTGTATATGTATAATGTTTATGAAATTACGGAACAATGTATCTACAAACGCAAAATAAATAAAAATGTAGCTCATTCAAATAATCAATTTTTACATTTAAATTAAATATCATTATTAGAAGCGTTTGAGGAATGTTCCACTTCCGGCACCGGTTCAGTAAGTAGTATGAAAAACTCTAGTTTTTATTTTCCGAAACAAGGAGATTTCCTCTAAAGAAATCTGATCACCCTCAATAATATTCTGGTAGAAATACTAAATCATAATAAAAGAGTTAATACTCACGCAGAGAATGATACGACACGGGCGAAATGGCCGGCATATCGACAGGTTTCTGTAGGAATGTTTCGAACGTCTTCGTGTGCTTTTCATACGTCGTCGTAGTGGTGTGTCGACATACATCCGAACCAACCCTCTCCAAATATATTTTTGCAAAACATGTATCTAAAAGAACCGTTTGCACCCAATTTAAGAACTTAACCTTCCCATCTTGCCCCAGTTCATCGCACAGTTTTCCGATTTCATCCCCTCTAATGTCCTTACTCTCCCGTATCGTATTGTCCTTAACAGTTTGTATTTTCAGAAGCCTCTCATATTCTACTTTGTTAATGATAAATTGATTGTAAAGTTCCTTTACGACGGACTCGCGACTCTTAACGATGTCATCTTCCTTAAACATCTTCACCATATCCCCGATCACATCCGATGAACTATTACATTGCATATAATTCCAATTTAGCAATGACAATTCTTCTTCGGTCCATCTGAGGAAATCATTTATTTAACAATTTTGAAAGAAGTGGATAAAGCCTAAAAGTAGTAGTTAGTTTTCACGAAACGGGTACTATAATCTTGTTAGTAATACAAATACATATAATGAAATCGACGCAAATACAATAATTATACATAAAATTACTGTATTATTATTAAAAATGCCTTAAAAGGAAAACCTAATATATATTATACTTGTCTCGACCTGAACCCAGGACTGCACCAAACTCCAGATCTGTAGCCCTACATGCTAGCCACTAAACCTATGCGACACAGATAGCGTTAAAGGATTTTTCGAAAGTTAACTACTGCCTAAACGGCAGTTTGTATGAAATTATTATACAAACACTTATTATCTCAGATTATTCAGTTTACTTATTTTAAAAAAATATTAAAGAGTGCGTGTATGCATGTGTACACGCGCAAGAAGTAAAACTTCTGTAGGTAATCGGTACTCTTTATGAAATTCAATGTATGTTTTAAATAATTAGGATAGGTGAGATACTAAAAATAACGCATATTAGGCATATAATTACAATCATATATTTATAGAATAATTAAAGAAAGAATATTATATATCATTTATCAGACGATAACAACCCAACCACACCCCCAGCCCCCCCCCCCTCACCCCTTATCCCTCAAGTTAAGCGAGCATAAAGAAGTTTTACTTCAATAACATCGATAATAATAATTTCTTTTTTATTAACAAGCTGTAGGTACGAACAACAATTTTAACTATGAGTAATTAACTAGTAAGTATGTGGGTATGTTACATTACCTATGAACACTATTTCCGCTGACAGAGTTAATAGAATTCTTATTTTCCATAAGCAATTGTTCGGGTCCCGCGGCAGGATCCAGAATCCCTTTAAGGCTTTTATCCTCATCGAACATTTTTACATCTAACGGGAGTTGCGCAGAGCATTGCAGATTGTAGGGCTTCTTTACAAACGTGTTTATTACGTACTCGATTAAATCAGACCAATCCTAAAGAATTACAATTTGGTTTCATTCCAATAAAATGATTAAAAAATTGGGGTATACCTATATTACATACACGATACATACAGCATAAAATAATTTTAAAATAAAAAATATTTATTGTATATTTTTTAGTGCATAATTATATTTGTACTAACTAAAGGTACTTACTTGATAGGGCACACCCAAGAAAGCTAGTGTTTAAATATAAAACGACATTTTATACTTACATCGCATATCTCAAACTCGGATTTCCATATGGACGTGAATATTTTCAATATGTTCGGTTGGAAGAGGTGTATGAGGGAGGCGAGCTCGCCGCCCACGTGGTGCATCAGCGTGAAGATGCAGTCGTTCACGAACTCGCCGTTGCTTTCGTAGTCCTCCAGCAGCAGCCCGTATTGGTACATGATTTCCGGCGACGCGAATCTGACGTACACACATTATCGTAAACATATTAACATATCGTATTCAGCCCTTTTCAATGTCCCACAGCTGGACGCGGGCCTCCCTTTAATACGATGGGGACCAGGCCATAGTCCACCACCATAGTCGCTGGCCGACTGCGGGTTGGCAGACTTCACATGTCTTTCGAAACTTTCTAGGTTCTCTCAGACATGCAGGTTTCCTCACAATGTTTTCCTTCACCGTAAGGCAAATGGTAATCATGGTTGATGGTTAGAAATGATTCGCACATGAAAATATCAGAGGTGCGAGACCCGGGATTTGACTGGGCTGCCTTACTAACTACAACATATTAGGTAAGTATAATACATTTTATAAAATAGCTTCTACGGTTTTACATGCGCGTTATTTACTAACGGTTAATTGAATCGTTAGATAGATATATATTTATAATATTTATGTATTTAAAGTTATATATATGTGTAGTGTATCAACTATCTGGTATCCATAACAAAAGCATCGTAGCTTATCATGGAACTAGATGGCGCTGTGTGTTAATGTCCCAACATATAAAAAAAAGTACCTGGGCGACCGAACTTTGCTCGGAGTTTTTGGCCAAAAAAAACATTAAAAAAAACAAACTAAGAATTTGAATAAATACAAAAAAAATACAAAATTAAAAACATTGTGTCCGACCGGGATACGAACCCAGATACCTGTGGTTGTCAAACTCGCGCATTGGCCGCTTGACCATGATGCTTATATCTGAGCGTGCGAAATTATCGAACATAATATTTTGCGTGGAATTATTAATTATTAATTTATTGAAATAATGCAAAAGAAATCATAATAATAATAAAGCTCTATTTATTTATTCATTTATTTATTATAAACTTACTAACTAAATTTACATAAAAACATTTATTAAACATTATAATTTTACCTATTTGTATATAAATTTAATTTAAAAGTATGCACAGCTTTTTATAAAAGTATTTCATTAAAATTTTATTTGGTTAAGACTATATAAGGAGCCATTTTAGTTGTACAATAAAAAAAATGTCTATATCACATTGCTGAAATATAAAATTATATAATTTAGTGACTATTTATTAACTTATAATTTTTTAACTAATAATTTTGTAATCTGGAATTAAATTATTTTAAAAATCTTCATATTATTTGAAATGATATTGTATATATATAAATTATCATTAACAAATAAATAAACAATCACAATAAATTAAATAATTCAATTGAGTAAATACTAAACATTTCACAATAATAAATATAAATAAAATTTCTTTCCATACATTAATTCTGACAATAGTTATAAATTAGGTATTTAATTTCATAATTAAATGTATTTATTTAGTAAATGTCTTTTTCATGTATAGACCCCTCTCGGTTAAAAGCCTCCTCCAAAGTAGTCCTGCATAGAGCTCTCCGTTGGAGATTATGCTTGTATGATTGCAAAGGGTTTCTGTCTCTCAAATTTTGTTTTCAATATATAATTTGTTTCTGATATGCCTATAAAGTTTATAATTTTATCTTTGTGTTCTTTTGATTTGTTGTAGGAAATGCTGCTTTTAATTCTATAAGTTTAAGCTAAGATATGTATACCTTTGTTCATTGTATGTCTGTTTTTCTTTGGAGGGTTACGGTCGAACTCCCCTACAGTGACCGGCCGTACTGGTGGATAAAGATGAGGAGGTTCCTACGGTGTTTAATATTCTGTATCTTGCTGTGTTGTTTTTAGTTGTTCCTGGTTACCATTTGTGTGGTTGAAAGTTAATTTTGGTTTTTATAATATAAAGTCTTTAATATTACCAGGTATGGTTGTCTTTGTATGTTGTTTATTTGTTAGTTTTTGTTTATAATTGAGGTAAGGCGTTTCTGGAGATACAGGCAGACTTCTTTTTTATTTCCGTTTAGTTTAAGACTCTTTTTTCCTGTAGTTCATGATAGGATTTTTCACCTTCTTCTACTCTGAACATAACCAAGTTCTTGCGCCTAATATGTCTTTCTAAATTATTTATTGAGGTACTTTGTTCCTGGATTTTTTTCTCAAGAATTTCAATTTTTATTTCTAACTGTTTAAATTTCTCATTTAAGTATATTATTGTTGATTGTATTTTTAATGTCTTCTTTCATTTCTAACATTTCTGTTTTCTGCTGTCTTATTTCTTGTTGCATGTTTATTAGCAACTTTTTTATGTCCTCCATCTTAAGTGTGAAGTTGGAAGTAGAAAAGCTGATTGAAAAAGAGCACCAATTATACCTAGTTGAATTGCAATTTTATACCAAGTACCTATTAGTTTTTGAGGTTATAAACTTATGTTTTAATATTTGACGCTTTCACTTCACAAATTATTTTGTTTTATTGTCATCACACACAGAAAAGATGGTTTTGCACTGATAGTATCTTTAAGTTATGTTTGTCACTTTTGTATTTGTTTGGTAGGTGAATTTTTAAAAGCTCATTTGTTCTTCAACACATCAAGACTTGGTGATGTTTACATATTGCCCATAGGCTTTATTTAAAAATTTACTTAGATTAGATTTAATTTTTCTTTAGATTATTTTCACTTAAATATATTTAAACTTGATGTAAATACGGACACGATGTTGACAGTTGCACAGTGGCGCCGCCCACTCACCAGAAGTGACAATGCAAAAATTGTGCAAAAGAAAATCGCATGAAAATTCAAAAATTCGCGTTTTTCCAGATATAAGACTAATCTAGATCGATTTATCGCCCCCGAAACCCCTGGTGTGCTAAATTTCATGAAAATCGTTGGAGCCGTTTCCGAGATTCGGATTATATATTGATATATATATATATATATATATATATATATATATATATATATATATATATATATACAAGAATAGCTCGTTTAAATATATAAGATAAGATATATATGTAGATAGTTGGATGGATAACTTTTTACTTATCCGTCGTGATATTGTAAAGTAATGAATTGAACTATTTAATACATATACCGTTTTTTATTTATAACTAATTTGTATGTCAAATTCAATATTATATTCAAGCAAGATCTTTTCCACGTTTTGAAATTTCATGACTATACATTTTTTTTACCTTATAAATTAATAGAAAGCCCCCAGAGACACACGTGTTATATTGTTTTCTAGAACAGTACCCTTCCGAACTTTTTGTTTTGGTTTTGACAAAAGTTTTACAATAACTTAGGCTAAGGTTACTAAACTGGAGTTTCGACAGAGAACTTGTCAGACTACGACCTCAACGAAAACTTTGTTTGTAAGGTTTCGCCCGGCCTTCGTGCGATAGGCGTAGTAAGGCTTAATTTTTTTTTAAATACATATAGACGTCACTTCATTCCCTATGAAACAGAATTATATAGAGTTGTTTTGAGCAAGTTAACTTTTAAATTTTCAATAACTGTTTTTATAAACAAAAACACATATTTGCAACTAGCGAAAATAAAAATCATTTCGTTCATGAAATTGCTGGCAAGGTATCACCAATTAACTCACGTGTGTCAATTGCTGATGTCTGATATATTGCGAGCAATTACGTAAATGAAGTCTGGGGTCCAAAAATTAGAGATTCTTATAAATACTTTAACCGAATTTTAGCTATACAGTGTAGGTACTTTGCAACGAACTAAAATAAAAATACGCAAAAGAATTGCTATAAAAGTGCTATCGGTTTAAGTTTTCATTTGTAAAAGCAAAGTTCGGTCAAAAACTATACAATAATTATAAAGAAACTTACGTTAAATTAATAAGAACAATAAATAAACAGTCATGAAACGGAATCGTTCATCAAGCAAAACATTTAACATATATAAATCATATAAATTTGGCTCACTGTTTGATGTGTTCCACCATAATATTACTGCCTTTAAACTCAGGTGATCTCATAACATTGTCTAAAAACGTCAAAAGAATGTGATTCGTCACGATAAGGTCCTAAAAAATATAAAGTTATAGTAACAAAAAATAATAATTAATTAAAATGTTAAATACAAACACATTATACTTAAGGACACATTTTTAATATTTACTTATATGTACATACTTTCTTTTAACAAATTAGGATTCTATTGACGCGTCTATAATTTGTTTTTCTCAAAGGATATCCAGTTTTATTAAGAGCTACAGTTCTTTATATTCTGTAACAATTTTTATGTAAGTCGACAATTCGATGTACGCGGACTCAGGTGTCGAGTCATATTTTTATGTAAGCAGAAGAATAGCGCTACTGTTGCTCCTTAGTGGAGGTATCCATTGCTTGGAGTGGGTTCGAACCCTCGACCTCAGTAAAATAGGCAAATCCAAAACACTACGCCACGATCGTATTAATAAAATCACAGGGTAAACACAGACAAGAGAGTTTTGTAAGGTTGTCGCAAAGATGATCATTTAGGGTATCTTCCTTTCATCAAGAAACAAACTAATATACAAATTATTTTTTAATTTTCAAAAATTAACAAACAATTAATTTATTACTTAGCCAAAATATACCACAAAGCTATTGTAATTGTGTCAATGCAGCATTGCACGTCATCTTTTCAACCGGCTTTATGCAAGATATTTTCTTCGAGTTTTAAGCGAATCAAACATTTTTTATTTGTATCAACAACTAACAACGTGTTATAAATTATACCACTCACCTGTAAATATTGCTTAGAGTGATACTTAGGATTATAGTTTCTCAGAAGTAAAACTAAAAGTGAGCGCAATTCTTCAGCTCCGGACATCTTTATTTGTAATTTAAGGAGAGTTTCCTTATCACCGTTGCAAATGTGCGTTGATTTTTTATATAATTCAATAGCTTGAACAAACTCTCTAATGGCTGTTACAACCTTTATAAAACATGATATATATTAAAAATAACATACACCTAATTTCTTCAAGAATACCTAAATCAAATTTAAATCATTTAACATATTATAAGTCAAAATTTAATTATTATCTATACATATAATAAAATTGTAACTAAGCCGAATCTGTACATTAAATATCTTTTAGAAAATTAAAACTTATTGAAATAAACATTATTATCGATACAGAGGCCGAATCTATAGTTTTTAGAATTCTTTTCTGTCTGTCTGTCTGTCTGTCTGTTACCGCATCACAGAAAAAACACTGGAGGGATTTTGATGAAATTTGGTATGGTGATAGACCGATTGACCCGGACAACCATCCGGGTCAACATATAGGATACTTTTTACCGCGGGAAAATATAGGATACTTTTTACCGCGGGAAAATATCTCATTTCTGAGAAAAGTACAAAAACTGCAATGTAAGAGCATACTAATATGTAAAACCTAAGTATTTGGTTTTCGGTCATCTGAACGCGGGCGGAGCCGCGGGCAATGCTAGTTTCATAATAAAATGCAATTTAGTTTCTGTGTATTTGCTCGTAAAAGTCATTTTTAAACACAATTCACAAATATTGCCTCAGCAATCAGCATACAACTTAAAGTGCCAATGTAGTAAAAATTATTACAATTTAAATTAGCGAAAACTTCCCACTGAGCCCATATTAAACACTAGTTTACTTTTGCGATATTTTATTGATTATTCCCTATTCAGATATTTTTTGATTATTCAGTTCGGTTATAAGGTTATCTACAGAACAAAAGCTACTCACCAAATGCAATCTTCTTATATTAGGTTTCAAATCATTTCCATCTAATTTGATGGCGAGCTCGAATTGCTCACATAAATTGACTCCTTCAGCTGTCAGATAGGAAACCATTTCGAACGATAGAACTGAACAAACGTGCTCCAAATCCAACTCTATCTGAGTAGCGAACTTCAAAAAGTATGTGACGAGCCAAAAGAAATGTGACGTGTCGATTTCTAATTCTATATTTGTGAGGATTTGCGTATGTAGATTGCGGACTAAGGCGTTGTATCCCTTCAATAGAAAATCAACAGTAAATTCCTTTAAAACGATAGATATGTCATCGTTTGTGGGTGAATTGTGTGATAAGCCTTGCACATTTATTCTGAAAGAGAAAGTGTTACGTCATACGTGTGATCCTCTGTGATAAGCTAAGAAAAAACTACCCGCCAGTAGGTATAAGCCCAATATTATTTATTTATTACCGTCTCATTTTAATATGCGCAAATTAAAAATTGTTATATCGTAAAAATCATTTATTTATGTCCTAACTAAAGTATTTCGAAATCATTTAAAACTAGCAGGTTTTTTTAAATAACATAATACGAGGTATCACGACATTGTATCTATGTATTATAATATATAGTTTTAACATTATAAGCTAAGCAAATCGTTATCAAAATAATACGAAATAAATGCGCGGCCATTTCTAATAACATTCTTTATCTGCACGAATTTTATATTTTCTTACTCACATGTTGGCTTTGCATCTTTTGACAATTTTTTTCCTTTTCCGTTCTTGCAAGCTTGTAAAGGAGCGCACCTTACTGTTCAATCTCTGTTTAGGGTTGTGTGGTTTTTGATGTACTGGCTTTTTTGTCGGCATTTCATCTTCGTTACTAGAAGTCGATATTGCCTCTTGAATTTCTATTTGAGTACCGTAACCATAATCTGATATTTCCGAAACCGTTATTTTGTCATTTTTTGCGCCTAAGTTCTTTGCGCCTTGACCATCGAGGTCTATACGATCCTGAATAAAAGAAGATGATTGTCAAAAATTGTTTTAATTATAACTTTTCACCATTTTATATAATTTGAGTAAATACAAGAAAAAAAATGAGTACCTTTTTCCCGTTGTTTTTCTTGGAGCTATCAAAAACGTTGTTGTTGGTAGATTCACACGAGTCGTCAGACGTTTTATCAGTTTTGCTTTGTGACAGGAAAGTTTGGTTTCCACTATCACTGTTATTTCTATTATCCCAATCACTATTAACTGAGTTAGGTTCTTCGTTACACTTGCCGCTCCCGATGTCCGATGACTCGTCGGATGTCAGCATGGGCGACGAATCATTTCCATCTATTTTTTTAATGTTAAATATTTTTATAATATGAATGATCAGATCAGATTATTATCAAAATTTGAAGGCGTTCCATTGTAAAAATTCTTAAAAAAACAATTGTATTTAATTTTATACCATTTACATAATTAAACCAAAGATGCTTTTAAATTTACTGTTTATAAAATCATATTATTACTAATGCAGGTACATACAATGTTATTTTTTTGTTTTTAAGAAAATAAGTTAAGACTCAGAACACTATGTTAAACTTATTTGTAAAGTACACAGATTTTCCAATAAACAAGAATTTGGAATCATAAGTCTAAATAATTACATTATTTGATTTTGAATTGGTTTATATACCTCTATTCGCAGGTGAAGTGTTACTTTCATTGTCTTCAGAACTTTCAGACAGAGAGGCCTCGAGCCACAAATTGAGGAGTTTATGTAACGTGGCCACGTGTTGGTCTTTGTAAAAAAGAGCAATTAATTGAACCATCGTTACCCCCCAATATGCCTGAAAAAAATTTAATACAAAACACACATCTTGACTCTTACCAAAATGCATATAAAAACACAAATAAAGATGAATGAAAGACAAATAAAGATGAACGCAAGATACATGTTTTTATGAAACTTTTGGTAATTGTTATTCAATTAATTATAGTATTATAATTTATATGTATGTATTATTAACTAACCAAGTTATTAGTCATAATAAAAATTACCCAAAATCACAACTGCTCATGGCTACATGCGTGTTTACCATTACTTATTCATAGTCACTTACCGCATCTGGGATAGTCATCAATTTTATAAGAACTTTATCAATACTTTGACTGAAAAGATTCCATAATAACCGATTATGAACAGTATGAGGCGGGCTGCCGTACGTGGCACTGGAGCGATTCATGTCCTCTGGTATATGTAGTACATTACGCAAAAATAAAAGAGTGTCGCTTATATTCGTACATTGTTCCGGTGATAGATTAGGCTTTTGATCGGAATCCGCATTTTTTTTCATAAAGTCAATTATAACTTTTGTTGCCCGATGATCAGATATTGCGATCTTAGTCGCAGATAGTAAATTATTGATTTCAAACACAGTATGTCTACCTATATCAGTCTCTGTTACTGTATCTACGGAAAGCAAGCATTCCACAGGTATCGTCAAATTTCCAAGTATTTTGATTAATAATTCCACCGTTTTACCATCTTTTGTATTAATCAAAAGAGGTATAAGATCCTTTTGAATATTCTGGCCAAAGCTAATCCCTCTCCGATATGTGCGTAAATATTTATCTTCATTTAGTAAATTTTGAAGTATTGATTCTAAAGCAGCTGTAAAATGAATATCAAAATAAAATAGTCATATAATTAAAAGCTTACTTCAGAATTTACAGAGTTACTAATAACTTATTCCATACCGTTACAATTTTCATTTATGTAATATCCATCTGCATGTGCAAATCCGAGGTTACTAAAGGTATTATGAAGCTGCGGACTTCTAAGCACCCACTCCATGATATATCTGAAAATAATACATTCACAAATCTCAAAAAAGACACTAGGTAAGGAAGTTTTTGAAATACATTTAAAATGTAACTAAAACTCAAAAGCCATGAATGACATTGATAATGTGCCTAATTTGTAAATCAGTTAGTTATCGTTATTATGTTGTTTGCCCCTTTTTTTGGTGTTTTATGCAATAAACAGAAATTCCAAATAATAAGTTATTTTAACATAAAATCAAAGTTAGCACAAATAACTAAACAATTAAAATCTTATCTAATTCATATAATTTATCTTAGCACATAATATTTTGCTTTCTGTTAATCAAAACTTTTACGTGAAAAGATATACATAGCGGAAGTCCAGAGATAGAGCACCCTTGGGGTACCCAAATCCCCAATGTTACGCGATTGTACATAGTTTTTGAGTTATGATTTTTTTTCTAAATTTTTGAGAATTTTCAAAGTGAACAACTTTAAAATGGAAAGGGGGGTACAGTGAGCCGTAGTACACAGTGAATCAGTGGCTACTTCTCTTTGCCTATGCTTTCTATACACGTACCACAATAATGGAACGCATGCTTTAGTACTTACACCTCTACCCCGCCAGTGTCCATCACGCTCTCGCTGTTGAAGAATGTGTTACCGCCATTTGGCTATCCGTGAGTATCAAATCTATTTTTTTACTACTATTACTCGAGTGTTTTATTCACGAAAATGTTTAATATTGAATGACTTACTTTAAATTACCTAAACAATAAACTAATAAGCTTCAGAAATAAATAGCTGTTTGATTCGTATAGATTATGTAAGTTATAAGAATTTGTTGTTCAGGTGTTAGTGGTGCTTTGGGGAACAGTGGGCCATTTCCATGTGGGGTGCAGTGGATTGGCGATCCACTGTACTCCACACTAAATTTCGAGTTGATTAGACTATTTGATTTATAGTATGTAATAATAAATTTTGTTTCAGATTACCAACATAGCACAGCACCGAAAGAGAAAGACTTAAATTGGTCTAACTACTGAATAACTGAATAGACAAAATGCCATTGTCTTTGTTTTCCGGGGCAACAAAATTAGAAAAGTTGTAAAACTATAGAAATAATCCATATGCAATCTTACATAGATATTATGCCAAAAGATAAAACACATTGGCAAGCTACGTTTAACTCCCAATTATGGGGTAAATAAGATTTTCACTGGAAAAAGAATTAAAAATAAAGAATATATCGAGCAACGTCAACAAGATAAAATTAATAAGCTTGTGAAAGTAGCAAAACATATTAGTAAAAAAGTTATGCAGTTCGATTCTAGTGACGAAGATAGAAAAAAACAAAGGAGTAGTACAAATTAAGAGAAAATAACGACTAATAAGTACAAAGAGAATGAAAAGAAAAAAATCTGCGTCTAGTATAGTTAGATGCATATAAAAAGAAAGTATTTTACACAGGAAAGGGAAGGAGAACAAAAGTAAAGAATGGGTACAAATTACCTGATGTTCCAAATATAGCTTCAGTACCCCTAGAATATATAATAATGAAATTACCTCTGCCTATATTTTGTGGCACTAAACGACAACAGCAAGTCTATAAATGAGATTAATCTCAATTTTTCTCGCTTAAGTTTGTTAATTAATATTTTATTTTTTCAATTTCTTTTCGTATTAACGTGATATGTTATTATTTTTGAAATTAGTTTTATTGTGTATATGTTTTATTTTGTTTCGTTCAAGATTTATGTTATCCAATTAATAATTTTTAAACCTTAAATAATACCTTAAACTTCTTAATATAAATACTAAGTACATGTTTTATAAGATATCACTACAAGTAATGTGTTACTTACGACTGATAGAAAATAAATAGAGATTGATAATTTTGTAATATTGTTGATTAAAAGTGTTCACATATTTCATAAATATTTTTATTTATATATTTTTTTACAATATTGATTGATTCGCTGTAACCCAACAGTAAAATGTATGATGATTTCATGTGTTGATTCACTGTGCCCCAATAAGGTCCACTGTACCCCATGCGGAGATCCAATGTACCCCATATATGGGGTACAATGAATAATTTCCCTCTTTTTAAAAAAACCTTTGCTTTCAGAAAACTATTAATATTATTGCTAAAGTTGAACTAGATTTATATAGCCAACTTAACACCTCATTGCTCTACATATAAATATTGGTAATTTATACTTTATTTATATAGGTAAACTACATTTGAAAAAAAGTGATCCAGTGTACCCCCCTTTCCCCTACTCTAAAAAAAGTACAACACATTTTCAAGTTTTTTTTTGCAACTGAATCTTCATGAGTCGTACTTTTATGCTTTAAATAATCAGCTTCGTAACTTTGATGAAAATTATTAAAATGTTGGTGTAAATTGAAAAATTTACGTTCGGTGAATTATGACTTAAATTTTCAACTATAAATTAAAGATTTAAACGGGTGGCTTCATAAATCCTAAGTAGGTCTCAAAAGTTTTCAAGACTCAACTTTCATAATCATTAAAAAAAGTAGTACTTACTCGTAATAGGCTACTTTGGCTAAAATCGTAATTTCCATCAAAGTTTTAAGCTATAAAAATTAAAAACAAAAAATTGACTTCCAGTCAGTAGGACTTTTTGCCGATGCAAAGCAAATCTAATATATTTCGATACGTAAAATACATATTTACCTATTAGATACTCATATCTTAAAATATTGTCGGCTGGCACCGATTTCGAAAATATTTGATTAGGTATCTATTCTAAATGAAAACTCCCGTTTAGTTATTTTTTACATTGTAGTGCCTGCAAGTTTTTTTGTTTAAGTTTTTATTTGTCCATTTTTAGTGTAGCCGTAATAAGCAGATAATTTGTTAGAAGAAAGTTTTTTATAACATATTCGATTAAGCAATTTATTTAAAAAAGAAATTATTTGTTGATTTAAAAAAATCGCTTGACCGATTTCGATAAAATTTATATGGGACCACCTGGGAAACAAAAAAAATCCAAATCGGTTCAGATGTCTTCGAGTAATCGGTGAACATACATAAAAAAAAATTCGACGAATTGAGAACCTCCTCCTTTTTGGAAGTCGGTTTAAAAAAATAACTAAACGGGGGTTTTCATTTAGAATAGATACCTACTATATACTTTATTAACGTTAAAACGCACCTACTACCTACCTAGTTATTTATATTTATAGAACCGTAGGTCTATAGTGTAACTGTAAATCACTATAAAACGACGTAATCTAATAACGAAAAATAAAAAAATAGGGTGTCACTGCATACATGTAACTGAATGTACTAGGTGTCTTGTTAAGACTTCAAATGACTTTTTTATTTAAGTTAATAGTTCTTGAGATATATAAACTTCGAAATTCGTTTGTACGAAATGTGTCCCGCTATAAACATTCAATCGTCGATTGTTAAATCTTTTAGGAAATATCTATTTTATAATCACTAACTTGGGTGATATGGTATTATAGTGGATACTCTGACAAATTACTTAAAAACAGAAAATATTACGGTGAGTGATCTTAAAAAAACGTTCTTTTAGTATTATAATGATATTGTAAAGTGTGGGACAGTGGGCCCCTACCCCTAATAACAAACGATATGCATGTAGGACCGAACTACTTTTTTTCTGTGTCAATAAATTCAAACCAAAAAATATATATAACAATATAAAACGACGAATACGAAATAGACACAAAACAGAGGTATACAAGTAAATATAAAAAGGGCCCAGCACACCACGTGAGCAGCTCACGATGCACGAAGCAATAGTAGGTCACGCGGGTCGCGTGTACTGTGCACGTGCCGGTCGATGTAGGTAGGTACATTCGCCGAAGGCGCGACGTTATAGACTTCACAAACATTGACGTAGTACCTATACATAGATTTATCCAAATCTTATATATTACTATTATCATCAATAATAATTAAGTAAATTTCAATTTAATTTGGTTTTTTCAAATATATGATACCATCGTTTAAATTTTATTTGTAATTTTGAGTTGTTAAAAAATACATGATTATTAAATGAAATCTATACATATAAAATGCTTTGTTCTGTATGATTGACTGACGGATCAACGCACAGCCTAAACCGCTGATCATAGAGACCTAAATCTTGGAGGGAGTGTTCTTTTGATGACGTAGACATCCGATAAGATAGGATTTTCCGAAATTCAACTCTTTAGGAGGTGAAAAAGGGGAGCAAAGTTTGTATGGGACAACGTTATTCCTTGGTCCAATCTACTTCAAATTTTGCATATATATTCTTTATTTAATAGAATTTATGGAAGACGTGCTTCGTATTTTATTGAAATTCATCCCCTAACAGGGTTAAAAAGGGGCAGAAAGTAATTTTGGGGTCATTTGCTTCGAAGTTGATATCAATACTCCTTAGTGCTTTTGATATAAACTACATTTTATTTTGACACATTTTATAAAAATCAATCCGATTTAAAATAAAAAATAAAACGAAACAAATATTATTATACTTTTTCAAACTTCCTCATAAAACGTGACACTGGCAGAATGAATAAATGCGTCTGTTAACGCAACCTTAAGCCATCAAGAAAAAAAAAAACTTTTTAAAATTCATTCCATTAAAGGATGAAAGGGGGTTGTACTGTTTATATGGGGGAAAATTGGCGTTGGAGTTGGTTGTAGTAAGTTCGCGGGCAAAGCCGCGGGTTCTGCTAGTATTATACATAGTCTTGCCATAAATATTGTTACGAAGAAAAAAACATTTTTTCTATTGCACGTAACCTTTATTACTATTACAGTGTGTTAGTTTAATATATTAATATAAAACCATTAAAAATGTATAAAGCTTATTCGAAGTGGTCTCCATTGGCTGCGATACAGTCCGTTGAGGCCAGTTATCAATAGAAGCACGCACTCTTTCCATGGGAAAATTCTTCACTGCCAATCGTAGGAATTATTTTAGGGACTCCAAATTATCATAGCGTTTAGAGCAAGCCGAACTCTCTAAAACTGACCATAAATCATAATCCTGCGGATTAATATCAGGACTAGATGACGGCCAGTCTTCAGCTCTGATGAAGTCCGTAACGTGGGATTCTAACCAAGATTGTGTGGATCGAGCTTTATGACCCGGCGTCGAGTCTTGCTGAAAGGACCATTCTTGATTATTGAACATGGTGTTGTTAAGGGGCTTAACTATCTTCTCAAGAATGGTATCTTGATCCACTTGTGCCGATGTTTTGATACCTCTTTCACAAAAATATGGCTCAGTCTCCTTCATGGCTAACACCCCACCAAACCATCACTGAAGTCGGATAATGCCCACGTTGTACTCTGTTGACTAATTGGGAAGCTACTTTAGAGCTTTGAGCATAAATACGGTCATTTTGTTTGTTAAAAAATTGCTTAATTGTAAAAAAATTCTCATCCGTAAACGAATTTTTTCTGTGACCTCCCTTTGCGTACCGCTTAAGTAGTTGTTTTGATTTTACCACCCTATTCTTTTTTAAATTATCAGTTAAGAAATGACCAGTGTGTCTCTTCTAGGCTGCAAGTCCTAAGTCATCTTTTTAAATACGCGACATGGTTCTAAGTGCTATCTTCATCTCCCGAGATAAAATCTTTTGCTTTCGGACAGGATTTCTTCGAATTCTTTCCCTTACTGCTTTGATCGCCTTTTTCGTACGAACACTACGTGGACGGCCAGATCTTTTTCTGTCACAAACATGAGGAGGTTTCATTGTACCTATCAATAGCCCGGTGCTCAAATATTTTACTACTACCAAGCGTATGGAGAGTTTTAAAAATTGTATTTGGCTCCATACCTACTTTGTGTAATGCAATCACAGCGATTCGGCGCGAAAATGAGAAAACACAATGGACAATCATATAAAAATGACAGATTCCAAATTCAAATGTAATATTTTGTTTATTTTTAAATGTAACAGTATTTATGGCCAGACTATGTATACTATGTTTAAAGGACAATGTAATAATAACAAATGCTGCATTGATATATTTAAAAAGTCTTCATTTTCTTAAGTACAACTTTATATTCTAATCTATACTAATATTATAAAGAGGCAGAGTTTGTTTATTTGTTTGTTTGAATGCATTTCTATTGCATTGCATCTTAGGAACTACCAATCCGATTTGAAAAATTCTTTTTGCATTAGATAGCCCGTTTATTAAAGAAGGCTATAAGACTATATATTTTCAAGGGCCTACACCTCTAACCCTAATCCCACACTGCAAATACAAATAATAGTTACATGACTTCACTAACAAACCAGTTGACACAATATGGAAGGCTAATATAGATTACTATATATCGAGAGAAGCCTGCCCCAAACTAAATAAACAACTAACAATGAAACTAACACACCTAGATAGACCCAAACTATAAACGGTGGTGGAACTTTTAACAGGACACTGCCATCTCAACAAACATCTTTTTAACATAGGTCACACAACAGCACGTACAACGGGCAAAGATGCTTAAGTGCGGAAAAGGCTGTGCCAGAAGGACTAAAAATTGGACAGACCTCCATACATTATTGTAAAACTATATATAACAAAGACGAACCCGAGCTATATACTTGTCAATTTGTATTTTAAACGATAGAAGATTGTAGATTAGTAAGTACATTAATTTTAGTAGTAGTTTATACAATAATAATTAATTAGATTGAGTCATATTTCTTGAATCCAAATTTTACTGTATCTTTGTATTTACTTAACTAATTGAAATTAAACTGCCTATTACTATTTTATAAATAAAAAAATAAAAAGTTTACAAAAAATTAAAATGTCAGTGCTTGCTTAACCTTTTTTTTTTTAACGTTGGGAAATGCATTTACGCACGACGTGTGGGACTCATCGGCGTAATACAGCCAGTACTACCCACTAAAACCCAACAAAACCTTCCCTCGTCTTAATGGGGCGTCGCAGGATCGCTTACGTATTCAACTACGACGCCCCGACGGCAGGTCTGCCAAAGCAGACCACCACAACCATGGGGTTGCTCCAAGGTCCACTCTGCTATCAGAGAAGTACCAGGAGCAACCCGCAAGGTACACTGCCCCCAGAAGAGGGCCACCTCCCACCGCCCACCGAAGTGGGCAACCTCCCTGTGCGTTTCTTAGCTTCGCGCCCGGTTGGATTGCCGGGCACTACTGAGCCCCCCCACCACGACAAGGTGAACGCACGTTGGGGGGAGTGCCTGCTTAACCTAGCATCTATACAGGTAAATAAAATTGAAGTGCCTATGATGTCGAAATAAAAATTTTATACTAAATGCATACAAAATTGTGTAGTACTTATAAAACTAATTTTTATAATGTTTTGTCTGTGACTGTGTCTATTTGTTATGACTAATCTTCGAAACAGCTAGACTGATTTTGACGGGATTTTCACTGGAGAATAGCTGATGATAGATGGAGTAACTTAGGCTACTACTTTTATTTCATAAGAATAATTAGGATTCCACTCAAAAAAATTAAAACGTACCACTACCCAGGGATGCACCCTAGCAAAATGAGAGTAAGTCACTAGTTTTTAATATAATTAATTAAGTTAGAAATTGAATCTTTAAAAATTAAACTGTTTTAAAATACAAACTCTTTGACAACATAAACAAACATTATAATTGCAATTTTTATATTATATCAACAATAAAATAATTTTTACCTTGAATCAGTTCAGATGATACTATTGCGAAGGATACCATTAGCGTAGTCTTGAACTATTAACGTAATCTAAATACACAATTTTAATACATAATATTTATTTTATAAAATAAATCTAAAAATTATTCAAAATCTTTTGTTTATTTGATACAAATAATTATTATAAATAATTATTTAATGTTGTTGTTTTTTTTCATACGGTAAGACACGGCTAACAATACGAAAATCAAGATACACTAGTTCTCAACCATGGAATATGGATGACTAATAAACTTAAAACTTCTCAAGTCTCAAGCGTTCACGGTTCAAACTTCAAGTCTTCAACTTGGTTCAGGATTCAGGAAATGACAATAATGGATGACAAATAAAAATGACAATTGACAAGTGACACTAGACAGTAAAGTTTTCTGACTATCTATGTTTGTCCACAGACCTTACACAATGGAGGGTAGAAGTAAGGAGGACCATCTCAGTGTATTAAAAAGAGTCCGTTGAAAGTGAGCAAATTAAGGTGACGTACTATGGAGTAGCAGGTGGAAGAATTTTAAAAAGAGCGCCACAAATTATTAGAGTAGGACACTAAATTAAAAAAGCAAAGAAAAATTTCCGTTTTGTCACAGCGCATTTTTTTTAAATTATTATAATATACAGACAAACATGTTCATATGGAATAAAATTATACAGTATTTTTATAAGTACCCCAATTATTTGTAAATTAAATTATGATTATTTGCAAATTATATTAAATTTTAAAATAATATTTTATAAAATAATGTTATTTGTAAATTATATTAAATTTTTCAACCCAGCACACTTCACTCTATTTATAACTGCTAAATTCAAATCATTTCCATTTCCTACACTAGCGCTATTTCGGTGAGTGTTCGAACAATAATTTGATGTTTAAAAGTGGACACTTTTTCAACTAATCACCGATACGAGACGGTCATCCTTACTTCCACCAACAACGTTAGTAAGTATAAAGTCTTCGTGTCTGTCATCTACTTACTAACGTTGTTGTAAGTTTTATTTGTCATCCATGGTAGGAACTTTTATTTTAGTTAGTAGTTGTTTAATCTGTGGTACCATCAAGGCAGGAAGAACAACAATGAACAAAACTAAAAGTCAAGAAGTTTTATTGTCATCCATGACAAGAAGCGACACATTGTTATTGCTTAAAATCAATTTATTGTTAAAATTCTAAAATAATACAATCACCTTTTTTAGAATGACTCTAGATTTTAGAGATTTTGATTCGGATTCTTCTGATGATAGCAGTAATGATTTTAACGAAGAATCTGACTTAGAACAAGATCAAATATCCATAAGTGGTGCGTAAATTTTTTTATGGTTATTTAATCGAGTTTACTTTTTTATATACCGAAACAAAATAAAAATTGTTAAAAAAACTATTTTATAACATTAGACATGTGTTGATTTGATTGATATACTTCATTGTTATAGCAGAAGGGGAAGAAGGAAATACGCAGGACGAGACAAATGTTAATAATGATAATGACGAGGATGATGACGAAGATGAAGTTGTTAAAGCAATCAAAGCTGAAAAAAATCGGCCACGGGATCATCCCCCTAGTATTAATTGTGAAGATTATACAGTAGATATTTCCTTTCATCCCACAAGAAACATTATAGCATTAGCAAATATAGTAGGAGATGTATTACTATATGAATATAACAATGATGAGACAAAACTTCTGAATACCTTAGAACTTCATACTAAAGCTTGCAGAGATGTGGAGTTTGATGATGAAGGAATTATTATGTTTACTACGTCTAAAGTATATAAACAGAAAATATTAACCTAATATTGTTAGTAATTATATAAAGACTATAATAAATTATTTACTTTCAGGATAAAGCAATTATAGCAACTGATATTGAGACGGGAAAATTAAAACGGTGCATGGAAAATGCCCATGATGAGCCAATTTATAGACTGTTATCATTAGATCAAAATAAAATAGTCACAGGTCTGATTACTGATTTTTTTAATATCTACATATTTTTAAGTAAACAATGATATTTCATCAAATGACAAATTCTCAGAAAGAACAGTGCTGCAATCTCTACATAACTCTTTTAGTGGAGTGCAATTGGATTTATACCTTGGAACTCAGCTCTAATGAATATATTTGGCTGGTTTTGGATTCTTTATATTTCTTATACTAAAAACTAAAAAGTTTACTTTTTGAAACCTTCTGCTAATGTTTATTTTTTTAAGGGTTGTCAAATAAAAATGATGCTTCTTACTATAGTACTTCTACTCTAGTATAGTGTATCCTTTATACAGCCATAATTATTATTTTTTCTTTCGAAAATAACTGTTTCTCTATATAATATAGTGGCTTACCCTTGCTTTGCTTGCGTGCGTCCCTAGGTACATTATAGATATGAATAGTTATTGCGAGTGTCTCTTCTTTGGAGAAAGTCCTATGCCTTTGCAGATTTTTGTATAGGTCTTATTAAGACCTACAATTTTTTAGTACATTGTTTTGATGTATCTTTTAATGTTTAGCCAGCATTAGAAAAGTAGATTTCTAAGATTGACTAGATAGAACCAGTTACTGTGTTTTCCCATGGGAATGAAAGACTTTCCTGTAGTAAAAGGTATCCTAAATGTTAATCCAAGTTATGATAACACAAAATTTAGTAAAAATCGATTCTGTTCTTTTTGCGTGAAAAGCGTACATCGATTTAGCCAAATTACTGTTTTATTATACGTATAAAAGTAGGTATTACGGGTATATCTTACAAGATAGACATATACTATTGTGGATTTTTCTATTATATGCATTACTTAGGTAACTAAATAAATAACGGCTTCTACATGAGTGCATTGGCACAGTCGCAACAATAATGCATTAATAATTTTTTAATATTAAAAATATGATAGTTTGCATGGATGATGTTTGAAAAATGTAGGGTTCCCGTGAGATAGATTTGTTTCTAAATTTTACTAGGGACGAACCCAAGCGAAGCGACGGACAGTCACTAATAATATACGTGACAAGGCTGTTATAATATAAAGGAAAAACAAAGCTTGGTTTGTACTCGAAGTAAGACTAATATCCGATGGTACTGATGATACTTTTATAATGACACTAGCGGCTCACCCTCGCTTCGCTCGGGTTCACCATTAGAAAAGCACAAACAGATCTATCCCACGGGAACCGTTCATTTTTCCGGGATGAAAAGTAACCTGTTGCTTGACCGGCAATATAAGGTATCAGCATGCCAAGTTTTACGAAAGTAGGTGCGTAAGTTGTTGTGTACTAAGCTTTATAAGTTACTATAGTTTTTTAACTATCCCACGGAAACTCTTTAATTTTCTGGAATGAAAGGTATCTTAGATATTGACCGGGGATATAAGGTACTACCATGCAAAATTTCATTTAAATCGGTTCAATAGTTTCGGAGATTAGCCCGTACAAACAGACAGAGAAATAACCTCTACAGTTAAATAAAACTATCTTTTCGGATTATTTCGCGGATTTATTTTGATTTTTGGTTCCCGACGTTTCGAATGCTTTACAGCATCCATGGTCACGGGAGAGTGTCGGAAAAAATAAGACGTCTGGGAGCTTTCAACGAAAACGCTGCCTAAACCCTTTAAGATATAACAAAATAATGTATGGTGGAATTGTGTATCTTATATAGATCTACAGAAAAGTCCGCGATGGCATATGTCTATCTCTTAAGGATGACATACTATATCCATTTTAACTTAAAACGTACCCAGGGACGAACCCGAGCGAAGCGAGGGTGAGTCGCTAGTTATATATAAAATAGTTTGACTTGTCTGTCCCTATAGGTGATGATAATGGCACTGTAAAACTTTGGGACTTGAGGAAACAAGATGCCATATTTTCAATAAAGGTTGGTGAAGAATATGTATCGGACATGATAACAAATGAAGCTCAAAAATATTTAGTCTGCGCTGGGGGTGATGGAATGCTAACATCAATAGATTTAAAAGGAAGGTATGGAAATGACAATTTTTGAATTTATAATAATTAAACAATAAAGCAACGAAAACATTTGATATATTTTTTTTTATTTTTAGCAAAATATATACAACTTCTGAGCAGTATGATTCAGAATTAGTATGTATGGGACTTTTTCGCTCAGACACAAAGTTATTAGTTGGATCATCGGTTGGGAAATTTTATTTATTCAATTGGAAAGAATTCGGTCTCCACAGTGATGAATATGTTGGACAAAAACACTCTATACAATGCATGATTCCCATTACGCAAAATATTGTGGTCTCGTCGGGCGAAGATGGCGTACTTAGAGCAGCTCATATGTTTCCACAAAGGCAATTAGGGGTTGTGGGTCAACACACTTTACCTGTAGAGGCTCTTGACATAAGTCACGATGGCCAGTACATTGCCTCTTGTTCGCATGCTAACGATGTAAAGTTTTGGAACATATCATATTTTGAATCTATTGATTCTCTAATAGATGTTAACCATAAACAGAATAAAAAGAAAGATATGGTAAATAACTTACCTTCTTCTAGTTTTAAGAATGCTTCGGATTTTTTTTCTGGTTTAGCATAGTAATATGATAAATATATAATATTGATGTTTCAATAAATTAATTGTTTCAATAAATTAATAATAAGAAGTGTATCCTTTATTTAATACATTTTATCAACCGACTTCAAAAAGGAGGAGGAGAGATTTAAATTTCAAAAAAAATACCACCCCAAGGGTGGAAAAATAGCTAATGATGAATTTAACCTACTTCTAATTGTCATATTGATTTGAAACTTTGCAAGTGTTTCTATTTCCGTTGATAGTACAATGGTTCGGTATTGTTGACCTGATCTGATGGTAAGGCCAGAAGGTGGATAGGTGGAACTCTTCAACGGCTAACAGTAGATACTTTGAGTTTGGGCTTGTTTTGTTTGATTTGACAAGCCTAATACGTTAGAATTCTTACTTTGCTACTACTGTCTACACTAAAAAGGGAAAATTAAATACTTTTTAACAAAAAAATAAAAACCGACTTCAAACAAAAGCACTAAAAAGTAAAAAATAACTGATTGGTAGTTTTCATTTACTATACATACCTAATCAAATATATTCGAAGTCGGTGTGCTTTGGCTAAGTAATTAAAGCCTACCTATTAAATACATACCTAATCAAATATTTTCGAAATCGGTGCCAGGCCATACAAAGCAAAGCACACCGACTTCGAATATATTTGATTAGGTATGTATAGTAAATGAAAACTACCAATCAGTTATTTTTTACTTTTTAGTGCTTTTGTTTGAAGTCGGTTTTTATTTTTTTTATTAAAAAGTTTTTATTTTTCGCTTTTTATGTTTATCAAATCTAATATAATACAAATTAAGGCGATTAGTACACAATCAAGGGCTAGCAAAGAGCTACTTTATAAAGCGTACTTCTCTTTTATGGCTTGACCGAAATGCTTGAAAAAAATATATGTGAATCATCAACTCTTAAACAATATTTTCATTTGAACATTTTTTTCGTGAGACGAAAATATCTATTACTTTTTTATTTTAAAGAAATGTTATTTTTTTGACTTGCCTTTCGTACTGTTTCTAAACGGCTAAGAATTTTGGAATCATTTAAATACTAAAAAATAATATATCTATTTTACTTTATGCCTCATGAAAAAAAATTGTAAAGTATGTGTGCGTGCAAAGAATAATCGCACGCAGACAGATAAATGTGTAGTAAAGTACGCGCTCGGACGCTGTAGAATATTTTAATTAGTTTAATGTAAAAATTAAGTTCTATGTAGGTATAGTTATTGTTATTTTTATAAAATATATAATAATAATAGTTAATAAGTTTTTGGTGATTGATCTAAAAATTTCAGAAACATTCCGCGCATAAAGACGTTTAAAAATTATACTTAATGTAGAACTAATATTACGTAATTAATAAGTTGTGAAAATAGTGATTTAGTAAAAATGCCACGAAAACGTAAATTAAAGAAGGATGCGATTGAAAGGGCTAGGAAAATGCAAGTAGTAATGTAAGTACCAAATTATATAATCGCAATTCATTGTAGTTGTAGTAGAAAAAATATAAATAGGTATAATCCTCGCTAAACTTTTTGGCTGCCCTCAAGTTGGCGCTAGCAGAACCTCGCCACGCTTATGTTATACATACAGTATTGTAACTCGGCCCTGTGCTTGAAATAATTACAAACAGCCGAGCGGTACGTAACCACGCGACGGGGCTGCCGAGTGCCCGCGGCCAGTATTTTAATTTCATCTACTTACTTGAGTTTATTTCTAGTTTTGTGACTTCAAATATTATATATTTTATTTAAAAAATATTATTAGTAGATTTAATTAAAAAATCTCAAATTTATAAGGGTGGTATGTGACCCTTATAAATTTGAGATTTTAAAATATTTGCACCTCGACTAAGACATACGAAAAGCTTTATTGGTAAATTTAATAGTATACAAAATCCGCATTCGGATAAAAAGTTTAATTAAAAATACTTTATTTTTTGTTAATTAATTTTTATTTTTAAAACATATGATGTCTCGATACTTTTTTGTTTAACATTAGCGAAGTTACGGGACGAATAAAATGTTTATTTTATAAAGTAACATAATATTGCTATTTTTCACTTTTTCATAATATTTAGTGATTTGTTTTATTTAGTTTTAATAAATATAATTATAATATTTATTTTTAAATAATAAATAAATTTAAAAAATAAATTATAAATACATACACATACAAATAATAATAAAGTACATTTAATCATCACACATTTTAAATATTAAATTGAAATCCTTTTCGAGGTTACTTGTAAGACATAAATAACAAAATACGACAAAAAGTAACAAAATACATATTATAACAAAAATAACATAGGAGTTAAAAAAATTTTAAGTACTCGAGTGTTTTGTGTGCATGTACAGACGTGTCATGCACACTACACTGGACGAGCTCTCGGGCGCTGCGGGTGTGACCCGCCACTCCCGCGCGCCTCGCCCGTTACAGTTTCCTTTTGCGCAGAGGCTCGCGCTAATTTAGAGCAGCCAAAAACTTTGGCGAGGATTATACCTATACCTCTTTTACATGTTAGGAAATGAATTTACGCATATAAGAAAATAAAAAAAATAATAAAAATGTTTATTATATTAAATCTATACTAATACTAGCATTGCCCGCGGCTCCGCCCGCGTTCAGATGACCAAAAACCAAATTCTTTGGTTTTACATATTAGTACACTACACGTTGCAATAGTACACATTGCAGGTTTTGTATTTTTTATCAGAAATGAGATATTTTCTCGCGGTAAAAAGTATCCTTTATGTTGACCCGGCTAACCAGCTATCATCATATAAAATTTCATCAAAATCCCTTCAGTTGTTTCTCCGTGATGCGGTAACAGACACACAGACATACAGACAAACAAACAAACGCAAATTTAAAAAAAACTATAGATTCGGTCTCCGTATCGATAATAAAGTCTATTTCAATAAGATTTAAAAAAAATTGTTAATATTTTTGTGGATTGTATTATAACGTGTTTTCCCGTGGGAATTAGATAATATCCCGCGGTAAAAAGTAGCCTATGTTACTCGCCAGTCCTCCAACTATCTCCACACAAAAAATAACGCCAATCCGTCACGCCGTTTCGACGTGAACGTAGGACAAACAACACACTTTCACATTTATAATATTAGTATGGATATAAATTGCCTGCCTGCCTGTCTGTCTGCCTGCCTGCCTGCCTGTCTGTGCCTGTCTGTCTGTTTGTCTGTCACAAAAAATCTATGGAGGGGTTTGATGAAATTTGGTATGGTGATAGCCGGTTATCCGGGTCAACATATAGGATACTTTTTACTGCGGGAAAATATCTCATTTCTGAGAAAAAATACAAATACTGCAATGTAGGAGTATAGTGTATACTAATACATATGCCTAAGAATTTGGTTTTTGATCATCTGAACGTAGGCGGAGCGGCGGGCAATGCTAAATAAAATAGAAATAAAACTTTTTTTGTAACTTATAAGTATAATTGATATTATTATTTTTGGCGATCTAGAAGAGCATCAGAAAAGGAAGGCAAACGCATAGATCCGACAACGTCGTCACAAAAAACGATTGATGTGAGTATATTATTTCCCGTGGGGTAGTCAGAGATATTTCTTTTTCCTGCAGTGGCTGAGCAATACTTTATATTCAATATTACTTACCTAGACGTAATGAAACTTATTTCTTAATTTTTTGCAGATGGAAACATGGTCTGAATCAAATAAATCTGCAGGTCCATCGGTGCATGCACAAATGATTATGAAGGAAGACTATTCAAGTAAATACCTACATAACTATATTTGACAATAAACCGAACACCATTTCTTTTTTAATCTGCGAACATGCTTGAAATTGATTTATGTAATTCATATTGTTAAAGTGTTTTCAATCTGACAAGACTGATAATGATGATGATGATTGAAATTTTAAGATTTCAGCGCCAACTAGTTCCTAAAAATTTTAATTACCTTAGATATAATAAAACTTATATCTATCGTATCTTTTTTAGATGGAATCATTGTCTAAATCACAACAATCTGTCAGCCCATCCATAGCATTAGAAACGGAATGCAAAAATAATGATCAGTCGGCGTTTTCACAAATGACAATGGAAGAAGATTCGATTCAGGTGACAATAAAAAGTCAAATGTATTGATACCATAAATTATAAAAGAAATCAAATTTAAAGAGGGTTAAATAATTTTTGACCAGGAAAAGTGTTTCGAAAAATGTTTGAATTTTATTTCCAGGTTAATATATTTTTTACCTGGAAACATCGTTGAATTTGTTTTTTTTTTAATTTATAGGACGTTACCGTATATTTGATTAATTATATAAATAAAATAAATTATTTTTCAGACGGAAACATCGTCTGAACCACGGCAGTTTCTAGGCTCATCGATTGAAGGTCGACGAATAATTGATGTTGTGTATTTATATTCAAAATTGAAAGAAATTGCCAAACATGGACCCATGGATTGTGGTTTAGGTTGCATCGAAATTGTCGGAGAGCGGCAAGTAGGGTTATGTTCTACATTGAGGCTGGAATGTCAAATGTGCAAAGAAATATTTACAAACCAGAGAAATAAATACAAACCAGTGTGCAGTTCCTGGGATAATAGCAATAGGGTGTGGACACTCCCAACTTGAAGAGCTTTCTGCAGCCCTAAATTTGCCTATTATGTCACCAAAAACATACAAAACGTGTCATTGCAAGTTATCAGCTCACTGGGAAAAAGTATCTGTTAAAGCCATGAATGAAGCGGCAAATAAAGAATCAGCAATAGCTGAAGGCCGTGTGGACAAAAACGGAATACCAATAATTGATGTGATAGTAGATGGGTGCTGGTGCAAGAGAACATATAAAAAGAATTACTCGGCACTACCAGGTGCTGCTCCGATCATCGGCAGAAGGACTGGAGAGGTGCTGTTTTTAGGTGTTAAAAATAAATATTGTTCAATTTGTGCACAGGCGCAAAAAAAATCTGCAACAGAAAAACCACATTTGTTACAAAAATAACAACGGGCCGTCAACCGCTATGGAATCTGAAATCCTCGTTGAAGGCTTTAAATTCTCTATAGAGATGCACAATTTGATTTACGGGAGGATGGTATCTGATGGAGATTCTAGTACCTATTCAAAATTATTAAAAAGTAGACCATATTCTCACATAACAATAGAAAAAATTGAATGCCGTAACCATATTCTTCGGAATTTATGTAACAAGCTTATAGCTCTTCAAGCAGATACAAAATTTTTACTGAAGTTTCGTAAGATGATTACTCAAAAAAAAAATTATGATCCTTAGAAAAACTGTTCGGAAAATTATTAATTCTCATAAAGCAGATTCAGAACTAGAACGAGGATGTAATATTGAACTACTCTATAACGATATACTTTTGGCACATTTACACGCCTTTGGTGACCACTGCAAGTGTAAACGAAGTTTCTGTAATGTGGCTGTAGCTGAATCCACTGAATACAACAGAGACTTTTTTACTAGCACACTTTGGTCCAGAATTTGTCTTTTAATATCCAATTTGGCATCACACACTCCCAGTTTGATCAATGATATTGACAGCAATACGGTTGAGCGCTATAATAATGTAGTAGCAAAGCTAGTTGGGGGCAAGCGCATAAATTTCAGCAAACGAGGGTCGTATCAAACGAGATGCCATGCTGCTGTTGTCTCATTTAATACACACAAAGTGGTGTCTTCACTGTACAAGTCTCTAGCAGGTCGTAGTCCTCGAGGGAATGTAAATAAATTAGAAAACAGAATAATAAAAAGAATGGTGACCTAAAGAAAAATTGTTCGAAAGAAAAATAGTTTGCTATTATCTAAAGGAGAAGAAAAACACTATGGAGATAAGTGCGAAAAACCTGATATGTCACCAGACATATTTGAAAAAGAGAAGCACACTTTTTTACAGAATTTAGAGAAGTCTAAAGAAGAAAAACAACAAATTGAAAGAGACACAGTACTTCAAGGCTTGAACTGAGGCGTTATATACTGACAGCATCAAACTTTGGAAAAGTAATCAAGAGACGTAATGATATAAGCTGCGAAAACATTGTCAAAGACATTCTATACAAAGATTCCATTGCGCACGTTCAATCCATCGAACATGGCAAAGATAACGAACAAAAGGCGCTAAGACAACTGGAAATCCAAAAAAATGTTAAAATAAACCGTTGTGGTCTATTCATAGATGAGGAATATCATTACCTTGGAGCCACTCCCGATGGTGTAATTGACGAAGAAACCATCGTGGAAATAAAATGCCCAATAACGGTATATGACAAAAATATAATTGAAGTAGTGAAAAATAAAAAACTCCCATTTTACAAAATAAGTCAGCAAGACGAACTCCTAATAAATAAAACCCATCTTTGGTATTATCAAGTACAAGGACAGCTCCATATTACAAAAAAACAAAAGTGTTTGTTTGCTATTTGGTGTGGAGAAAATTTTCAAATAAAAGCCGAATTAATTATGAAAGATGACGATTTTTGGGAGCATAACATGAAACTAAAATTAATTAAATTTTATATAGAATGTTTGCTACCTGAATTAGTAGATCCAAGGTTTCCTAGAAATCTGAAAATAAGAGACCCTATTTATATACTGGAAGCAATAAAAGAAAAAGAGAAAAAAATAAAATTACCAAAGAGGAAGCATAATGAAAATGAACTTCGAAATATAAAACAAAAAAATGAAGAGCAAAGTATAGATCAAGAAAATGAAGAACAGAGTACGGAACATCAAAATAAAATACAGAAGACAGTTGATCCAGAAAATCTATATTTTGAGGATTCACCTACTAATTTGAGTTTACAAGTGTAAGAGGAACGCAATTGTAACAAAGATTATGTAAAGGAATTAAAGTTTACAGATTTATAAAAAAAATCATGTTTTATTATTGTGAATTTCATTTTATTCATAAAAATAAATAAATAATTAAAAAAACCGAGCCAAAAAAAATACTAAAACTTATACATAACCGAACGCGGTTTGTCTATCTACTATATACAGGGAGAAAGGTCCTCTTATGTCGGGCCGGTAAAAAAAATGATGTCGCGGTCTCACAAGAAACCACACTAGTTGTTGCGAAATCAAACAAATCCAAAAACCATGTTTTTTTAAAGAAGAATAAGTAAATATCATCGTTAAATGTACTTTAAATTTACATTTATAATATTAGTATGGATGTCAAATATTCGCGTATATCTAAGAAAGCATTATCACTTGACGTTTTGTAATATAGGCCGATTTTTTTACATTAACATATATTTTTTTTTACAATTCTTCATGTTTAAGTTTTTTTCTATCAGGAAATGACCAAAATTCTGATGGAAGTCCTTTTATATCTCTTTCTCTCTTAACAAAAGCTGTAAATGAAGATACACAGTTGCCAATAAAATAATTGGCTTGTCCTAAAATGGCCAAGTCAAGGTGAGGATTACTTGGTTTTAATCTTAATATACTGACATCTAAATATTCTAAGGCACTTTCAAAGTCTTCTTTCATATGATTGGAATCTGATGCAATAAAAATATACTTTATATGTCTGTACTTCTTAAGAGCCCTTTTGACTTGCCTAAAATGAAAAATATATAGTTAAAACTTTTACATAAGGACATATCAGTAGTATATAAACATTTCGTTAAAAAATGCTATTAACTTACTTTATTATTTCCATTTTTTGTGGGAGACACATAGAACTTGTTAACTTTCCTTTTTCATTTTTATATCCAACACATTGTGGTGCTGAAAATAATTTAGGGCTATCGGGTATATGTTGACAAGCTTTGACCCAGTCTTGTCCATTCCTCAAGTGAATTCCCAAAAAACCACCACCAGCCATATTCTTTTTTATGAATATCCTGGACTGCTCTAGAATATTATTACTCCAACTTAAATATTTTTGTAAATAAATATTTTCTGCCTGGACTGGAAAACTTGCTGGAGCACCTGAAGTTTTAAGTAAATAAATATAATCTATACATAGTATAAAACAAGTTTGCAATCTGCCGCTGTCAGTTTCTTCGCTTACTTCGTCTAAACCTTGCAATGAATTTTGATTCAGTTTTCATTAATAAAAAGAGAGATAAACAACGAAGGTTTTTGTATATAAATTATACAGAATGGCTGAATCTAGATAGTGTTTTAGCAAAAAAAAGCTGATTTGATGTGGCTAATGCTAGCTAAATCTTCAGAGATACATCAAAAGAATGTACTAGAAAATTATAGATCTCAATAGGCAAATAAAAAATTCCACACTAGCATGTTTGTCTCTATCTCTTAAAGTATGCTTAAAATAACAATATATATCTATAACAATAATATTTTTATTTGCATAAAGAGATTGTAGTTTGACAATTTATATCTATATTTTTATATATAAAACAAATCTATATATATAATAAAATTGTAACTAAGCCAAATCTGTACATTAATTATTTTTTGGAAAATGTTACTGAAATAGACATTATTATCGATACAGAGGCTGAATCTACAGTTTTTAAATTTTTGTCTGTTTGTCTGTCTGTTACCGCATCACGAGAAAACTACTGGATAGATTTTGATGAAATTTGGTATGATGATAGCTAGTTATCCGGGTCAACATAAAGGATACTTTATACTGCGGGAAAATATCTCATTTCTGAGAAAAATACAAAAACTGCAATGTAAGAGTATACCAATATGTAAAACCTATGAATTTGGTTTTTGGTCATCTGAAAGCGGGAGGAGCCGCGGGCAATGCTAGTTAGTAATAAAAAGAACTATGACTCGAGACATACCTGTAAATGCTAGCACAGGCCACTCTTCGACTGAATATTTCTTTTTCCATTGTTCCATCATATTATTATTACTTGCATCATAATTAAGAGGCCCATAAAATTCAGATTCAATAAAATTTATATTGAATGTATCCCAAAATGGTCCAAAAGGATTACCTGATTTGGCATTACAACTATTCTGTATTTCTCCCATTCTTTGAGTATAACAAAATGAAATTCTTTTGTGTGGAGGCCATAGAATTGGTGCGATATTTTTCATAAATAATTCCATGGTAATTACTTGATGATAATTATTCAAAGTATCTACTTTAAAGTATGTATCAAAGGGAACTTGAATAGACTTAGCTTCCCCATATCTGTATTCAACCCATGGTGGCAATATAAGTGTCCTATTAAGACCTTTACTAAAAGCTAAAGCTCCTAAAAAGTGATCAGCCTGGTTACCAAATCTACCTGAAATAAAATTATATGTTTAATCAAATTCCTTTTTATTATTAGACAATAATCTGCATTAAGCACTGTGAAATTGAATTTACAAGAAATGCAACGCATAGTTTATTCATAAATAATAAATATCTAACTTTATTTGCATAAATAATATTTTAAAATTAATTAAATTATGAAGAAATGTTAACTTAAAACAATATATTCTTACCCATACAGGGACAGTAAACAATATATCCATTGGCTGTGTTACCTAGGATTTGTTTAATATTTAATATGGTAATTGCTATAATTAATATTAGCATCTTGTTCAGCATATTATTCAATTTATGAACATAATTCCAATTGCGGTAACATAAATTATCATTATTACTTCGTTTCGGTATGTTACACAAAATGTATTAGACACACAGCACAGAAAAATTGTATTAAAATTCAAAGAAAAATACCATAGTCGAATGAGTTGAATACTAAATAAATATACCGGGCTAACCTAAACACATTACACATACGACCGACATAAAATAAATCACATAAACAGGGCTGCCAGAGAAAAGTCGTTCATTTACCGAAAAATAAACTTCAAAATACCCGGTTTGTCCCGCCGCGGCGCTAACCATGAGCAGAATACCCGCTTTTCGGGTAATTTACCCGCAAATAGTCAGCGCTACGCATATATCTACTAAGCATGGAAATGATTGCTACTTTTAAATCATTATCACGTGATGAAATTACAACAATTTTTCACGTGATTTCACCTGCTACTTTTCACGCATAGATTTTTGATTTCGACGGTCTGGTGTCACACTTTATATTATTTGCTATTAAAATGAAGTATGAAATGTCACCAATGGCGCTACTGATGTGATATGGAGCAGAGATATAGATCTGACGTAGTTGCATACGTACATGGTGCTTTGAATGAACCTATTTTCAAACAATGAACTTTCCCTCATACTTCTACAGGCTTAGGACTGACAATGTAAAATTAAATGAATTTTAAATATATCAGAGTAATCACACGGTAAAATTGTATTAAGCTAAGTTCCATAATTACATTGGCGTATTTAAAAGTTCATTGTTTTTATGTACAATAAGAATTTTTATAAAAGAATTTTATACACTTTTTTTTTGTTTTTCTTAATTTTTTTAATTTGTTTATAATCATTTTTTTTGCTTTTTGATTTTTTTGATGATTGATTTTTTTATGAGATATCTATATACAATAGTCTTCATTGCTTTTTAAAAATACAAGTTCCGCTGTTCGTTTTCTGCTTAATCGTGCTCTTTTTTGGGTTGCAAAATTTCCCGCTTTTGAAAATACTCTCTCACACTCCACTGATGTCACCACGATGTGACAGTGCTCATGAAATATTTCCGCCAAATTGGGGTACATATAGGAGTGAGATTTCCACCAAACTAATGGCGAAGAATCGCGCGGAAGCACTGGTTCATTAATAAACATTTCTAGCTCATTCTCAGCGTTGGTGGTTATGTCTGTACGTATTACACATAATCATTCAGTAAAAATTATAAGTATTTGTTGGATAAAAAACTAACAATGTGCTCTAAATTTAATTGTTGTTTCTAATTTAAAATTATTTCTAAACAATATTTCTAAGAATCCGAAATCATGCAACTCGAAATAAATAAACTCCCCAATTTACTGATCAACGGTATTAACTGAAAATTGTATTTTGTTGAATAAAAAATCAATAAAAACATCAGTACGAAAATGTATACGGAAAATGCGAGTAACGAAATGCATTCGTGAGTAACGTTTCGGTACTCGGTACTAGATGGCGTACCCGTTACTCAGTAACGAATACATACGGTTTGCTACAGCTCTAGATTTCACCAAGTTGTGATTTGTAGCAGCCACTATGAATTTAAGTAGCAGGTGTGACGCGTGATTACGCATTTCACGTGATTTTTCACTTGCTACTCGTGAAATGTCCCATCCCTAATATCTACACTTCACCACAGACTAGGACACAAACCATAGAATCATGATAGATGACAAATAAAACCATAGATCAATAATAAAACAGTAAACTCGCATGATACAGCTATGAGCTTAATATCAGAAATTATAAAATTAACCCTTTTTTCTAAAGGGGAAGACTTTTGCCTTTTTCTTCCATCAGATATAACGGTCACTATAATAGCCCTCAATATATTGTAGAGCTCTATAAATGTATGGTTTTTTTTTCATTTTATTTAAAATTTAATTAAAATGACAAATTGTACAATTATGCAAAGAAAATAGATATAATTTGTTCCCAAAAGAAAAAACTGAAGAAATTGTGGGCAAATGGAAATCACAATCTTTATATTTAAGGCTATGTGAAAATCAATCCACAGAAAGTGATTTATAAAAATTCTTAAATCGTGAATTATATTCATATATATGTATATATATATATATATATATATATATATAGGTGATTTTCAACCGACTTCAAAAAGGAGGAGGTTCTCAATTCGACTGTTTTTTTTTTATGTTTGTTACCTCAGAACCTCATCATTTATTAACCGATTTGGACAATTTTTGTGTTGTTTGAAAGTGTATACTTCCAGATTGGTCCCATTTAAATTTCAAAATAAAAATACCACCCCTAAGGGTGGAAAAATAGCTAATGATGAATTTAACCTACTTCTAATTGTCATATTGACTTGAAACTTTGCAAGTGTTTCTATTTCCGTTGATATTACAGTGGTTCGGTATTGTTGACCTGATCTGATGGTAAGGCCAGAAGGTGGATAAGTGGAACTCTTCAACGGCTAATAGTAGATACTTTGAGTTTGGGCTTATTTTGTTTGATTGGACAAGCCTAACACGTTAGAATTCTTACTTTGTTACTACTGTCTACACTAAAGAGGAAAAATTCAAAACTTTTTAACAAAAAAATAAAAACCGACTTCAAAGAAAAGTACTAAAAAGTAAAAAATAACTGATTGGTAGTTTTCATTTACTATTCCTAATCAAATATTTTCGAAGTCAGTGTGCTTTGGCTAAGTAATTAAAGCCTACCTATTAAATACATACCTAATCAAATCTGCCCACCTGAGCCTAAAGTGCAGTAATAGACATTTTGGTCGGTTTTGAGTTAAATATATATTCTAAATCCCCATTTTAGTAGCTATCAGTCAAATTAATTCTTTTTTCTGTAGCGCTAATAAAAGTATTTTATTTTAATGTTTTTTCGGAAGGTGTAACAGAAAAAATATCACAAATCTGTTAAAATATTCCATGTTTACCAGCTAAATCGCAGTACAATTAATACTGCACAAGATTTTTCTCTGTTTCCTAACTAAACTGCAGTGTTTTATCATATTTTGTGGCACTTAAAATAGTAGTTTGTTCTAGGAGATTCAAGAAAAAACTTATTAAAATGCAGTATTATTCGACTCTATACAAATTGATTATACTGCAAAGGTTAAGAAAAAATATTTTTTATTTATATTCCTAATTAAAGTGCAGTATTAACATTCCATACTGCACATTAACTTGTGGGGGATTTTGTAATTTCTTGTGAAAAACTAAAAGACATGCAGTATTTAATAACTTTACTGCAGTTTAACTTGTAGGATGTTTTGTAGTTGCTTGTAAAAGACCATTTAGTTTACAATATTTATAAATTTTACTGCATATTAGTTAGTTTGCTCCATCCAATTCATACTACCTAAAATACTTAAAGTCAAATACTATTCCCTAATACTGCGTTTTACTAAAAAAAGGTAAAATTATTGAAATATTAAAACACAGGACAGGCAATATCGCGGTTTGAGCCCTTTGAGGCAGACTGCCTCCACCTCCTTAATCTGTGGCCTAAGGCTGACTTGACATGCCATGCTGTGTCTGTACCAAAGAGATATGGAGGGTAGAACTAAGGAGAACTATCTCTCGTATAAAAAGTGACCGCTGACAAGCATTAAATTGGTGGCGCCACAGAAAACAAGTATTTGAATCTATACATCTATACAGATAAATAAAATTGTAGTGTCTGTTTGTAATGTCTAAATAAACCTTTTTACTAAATGCATATGAAATTATATACGGTACTTATAAGAAAAACTAATTTTTAAAATTTTTTGTCTGTCTGTTTGTTCCGAATAATCTCTGAAACGACTGGACTGATTTTGACGGACTTTCAGTGGAAGGTAACTGATGTTATAGGGAGTAATATAGGCTACTTTAAAAAAAAAAGAATTAGAGTTCCGCTCGAAAAAAAAGTATCCAGGGACGAACCCGAGTGAGGCGAGGGTGAGTCGCTAGTTTAAAACATAGCGTCATAAAAGTAAGAAGGTGAATTAAACAAGGAAAGAAAGATTTCCGCTTTGCTGTGGCGCACTTTTCAAAATAGTTCTAGCGTAGGCAAACAGCAATATAATTATATATTATTTTCAAGTAATAATAATTCAGCACACTTCACTCCGTTAAAAACTACTAACTTCACATCACATCTACTTGCTACGCTAGTGCAGTAACGGTGAGTTTCTGAGCTATAATTTGCTGCTCACTACTGGACACTTTTTCAACTTGTTTCCCATATAAGTTAATTCTCCTCAGTTCTCCCTTCCATAATCTTTTCAGACTATTATTTTTGTAAGACAAGAATGATGTTCTCCCGATCGATTCCGGCCACGGCGGCCAATCTCATTGAGACTAGCCAACTGCGCAGGAGATATTATAGTGCACAAGTGTACGCGCAGACACAACGTGCACTCTCTATTTCTATCACTCTCATATTCCGGTGGGACGACTGCTCGACACGACCAGTGAGAGTTAAGGCGCAGGACCGACGGCTTTACGTGCTCTCCGAGGCACGGGGGTGAAACACCGCAAACTTCCCAACTCCAGGCTGTTACTTATACAGAAAGACTCAATAACTAAACTTGGCCCGACCCGGGACTCGAACCCAGGACCTCCGGGTGTGCAGCCTTACATGCTAGCCACTACACCACGGAGGCAGTTAAGACAAGAATACTCATTTAGTAATTAGTTATGTTCAGAAGAAAGATTTTATGTAAATTTTATTGATCCGTGCATGAGAAATACATGTGATATAGTTTTATGGTGGATTAACTAGTTAAGATTATCAACATCTTGTAAAGATTGTTATATTGTTAGTCATATAAGACAATTTACACTATTAGATTATAATGTACAATGTTTTGATGAATAGTTTTAATAGCATAGTCATAAATGCATGTCCAGTTTTGTTTAAGAAATTACATATTTTTATCAAAATTAGAGGTAATTTTATATTACTATAAGTGTGGAATATCAGTGTTTTGTCCAAAAAAACAGATTAAATAGCAGTATTTTCTTAATATTACTGCACTTTAGTTAGTAACAATCATGGAAGAAATGTCTAAAATGCAGTAATAACAGGTTTTACTGCATTTAAAACAGTTTTTGAAAAGATTATACAAATAAAGTGGGTGTAGTAATAGGGGCTAAAAAATTAAAATTGCCATAATTATAGTTTTTTTATAAAAAAACTAACGTAACAATGTTTAGTATTTTAGTTTGGTACATATCCTTTCACTTCCCATTCAAGGTTTTATCGAAAAGTCTCTTTTTGATATATTTTTATGGATTCTAAACTTTAGGCGCGTTTTTCTCGAAATCGTGTTTTTGCTGTTACTGCACTTTAGGTTCGGGAGGGCAGAAATATTTTCGAAATCGGTGCCAGCCCATATAAAGCAAAGCACACCGACTTCGACAATCGCAAGTAGTGATTCCCATACAAAATAACCAGTTTTGAACTTTTCGATTTTCCAGCTGTTCTTATGAATTCTTCCTAAAAAAATTACATTTAAACCATCCCTGATATACCTCCAACAAAACAAAAAAAGAATTATTCAAATCGGTTTAGCCGTTTTTGGCTTTTAGCGAGACTAACGAACAGCAATTGATTTTTATATATATAAATTATAACTCAACTTGTCATTGTGACATTTTTTATCAGTAATCTGTTAAATTATAAATATACTAGCGGCTCACCCTCGCTTCGCTCGGGTTCGTCGCTAGGTACGTTTTAAATAGATATAAAAAGAAAAAATCTTTCTTTCTCACATTTTAATTATATGTTTTAATACTTACCTATTCCGGACTAAGAGAAATCCAAAAATTAAAATATCATAAAAATTGGAACGCGGTCGAACGGGATAAAAAGTATCCTATGTCCTTCTCCTGGCTCTAAACTACCTCCCTGCCAATTTTCAGCTAAATCGGTTCAGCCGTTCTTGAGTTATAAGCGAAGTAACTAACACGACTTTCTTTTATATATATAGATATTTTGCCTATTTAAATACAAATTAGTAATCTTTGAAGTTAATATTGGAAAGCATTGTATTTATATATGTAGCAATATACTCTATGGCATTGTATTTATATATAACTAGCTGACCCGACAGACGTTGTCCTGTCTACACGTCTTTAATTTCAAAATTTCAAACTTTTTTTAATAATTTTTTTGATGAAAATCATTATTCAAATTGTGAATCTAAACCATCCCCAGATCCCCTTGAACACACACGAAAAATTTCATTAAAATCGGTCCAGTCGTTTGAGAGAAGTTCAGTGACATACACACTCACAGAAGAATTATATATATAAAGATTTGTCTAACAATAACAACGATTACCATAGCAACCTAAACTATAGCAAATTATCGAATCGATTTAAAATATTTCCATTCCAGTGGGAACTTTGGGGTACAAAGTATCACACTCTTGAGTAAAAACTAAAAATGCATTGACCTGTCAAATTTCAAGTCAATCCATTGAGTTCTTTTCGGGTTTTGCGACCATAAACATACGGATGCTGTATTTATATATATGTAAATTATTTGATTGTATAAGTTGCCAGTTCTGATATAAAATACTTGAGTTTTCTTAAGTTGTCATCTTGAAAGGAAAAAGGGTTGGAAAAGTTTTATTTTATAAATTAACCAAACACATGACCAAAAACCAAATTCTTAGGTTTTATATATACTCTTACATAGCAGTTTTTGTATTTTTTCTCAGAAATGAGACATTTTCCCGCGGTAAAAAGTATCCTATATATTGACCCGGATAATCAGCTATCACCATAACAAATTCATCAAAATCCCTCTAGTAGTTATTCTGTGATGAGGTAACGACAGACAGACAAAAATTCTAAAACCTATAGATTCGGCCTCTGTATCGATAATAATGTCTGTTTCAATAAGATTTTTCAAAAAATACTTATTTAATGTTCAGATTCGGTTTAGTTACAATTTTATTATATGTATAGATTATAATTAATGAGATGTGTCATTCCTTTTCATAATGCTGTTTCAGGCATAACTCTGATTTAGTATAAAATAATAAAAACTGTATGACATTACATCGAATTTTACTTAGCCTGCCTGACCTACTTCTGAAGTACTCCCATAACAGTAATTAAAAATAATAAAATATTAGTTATTTTAAAAATTTATTAGGCTTTCACAGCATACACTCTTGGAGGAAACAGAGACTTCTTTCTGATCTCTTTTTGGGTCTTGATTTTAGCCTCATGTTTTGTGAGAGCTTTGCGCATAGCACGGGTCTTCTTTGGTCTCAAGTCTAGAGGCTTATATTTCTTGTTTTTGTAATGATTTCTTAAGTTAACCTTCATTTTCTGATGGTACACAATATAAACACGTGCAATTGCTTTCCTTACAACACGTCTGTAAAAAAAAAAATAGTTTCATCAGGTACATTCATTAGGCACATGTATTTCGACCCAAGTAAAGAAGTCTGTGATCATGCATTTAAAAATACTATAAAGAAATACACATCATAATAATTGTCATATTTGTCAGAGCTTTTATTGAATATGTAACATTTAGCAAGATTAAATATATTATAATTAGAGATGGGCCGACTATATATAGTTTTGCCGACTAGCTGACTGGTCAGTTGGAAAGTCTGCTGACTAGCACAAACATACACGAAGAATATAGCAGCTAGGCTATATTTCTCTTAATAATGAATAGGTACATAGTGTTTAAAACTGTGACATAAAAATAAAAAATAATCAGGAGATTACGTAATTATGCTCTTTGTTCAGAGTTGTAGAAACTTGCACTCATTTATTTTTTTGTTAATCTTATTAGTCATATAAAGTACTAAGTCCTAGGTATAATAATTGCTAATGGGACACCTACCAGAGAAGTATCTTACCAAGCTAAGCTGTCTAATCAGATACAAGTATCAAATAAAGCAGTGGCTTATTGTTGTGCCCAACAGATTGCCGCAGTGCAGAAGAGTTAAAATAAAAAAAAAATGTAAGACTCATACTAAAATATAAACAATAATTAATAAAAATCACAGAATTTCATTTCAATCATCCTATTGAAAGAATAGAATAAAGTAATGGCCAGACTAGTTGTTGCTTTTTGGCTACTAGTCACAGAATATAAATATGGCCAGCTTTCCCCACTAATCGGCCACTAGTTGGTACATCTCTAATTATAATAGTATATACACATTAAAGTATAATCTATGGCTATATATATTGTATTTATCGAAAACTTATAAAAATAAGAATAAATTGAAAATTAATGAACTCAAAATAATGAAAGCTTATCAACTAACAACTAAGTCCTATGCATTCTTGACACAATAAAATAGATTTCACTTACATTTTTGATAGTTTTGATGCAACACCTCCTGTTACCTTAGCCACTCTAAGATTAGTCAACTCCGTTTTCAACTCTTCAAGTTGCTTGAAGAGCTCTTTCTTGTCTTTCGTGCGTAACTCAGAGCACTTAACTTTCCCCTGAAAATTTATACGACCACAAATATATAAACAATTTAACCTCAGAAAAGAAAATACATTTGATAATCCTCATATTGCTGAAAATGAATTAATTTGTTGTTTCCTACAATCTTGAACAATTTTATTTAAAAACAAGCTTATTTTAAGAATTTTATGAAATATCAAAGTGGTAAGTTATGTACATAAAACACTACAATAATATATCTTAAATATAGAAATAAAGTCATAAAAAAATTATTATATGTGTGAATAGAAATAATTCAATAATATTCTTCTATTTATTGAATCGATGGTTAAAGTTAATTCAGATTTTTATACAAAAATATTCCACACACCATTTTTAAGACACCTTCTGTCACCGCTTAAACTGACATAAAGACAGAATTCAGAAAACACATTTCACAGATTCTATCTAGGTTTGTCACTTGTCAGTTTCCCACAGACTATTGTGTTTAAGGCCAGTCCCATATTATGTCGTCTTGATTCGGTTTCCTGAACAGTATACCATATGCGGAATTCCGTAAAACTAGCGCAGACGTTTGATTTTTTGTATAAGGAATTTTACACTGCCAGTAGGTAGAGTGATGTAGGCTCGTTGAAAAAAAATGATACTTCGATAATTAAATAATAAATAAATATGTTGGGACATTAACACACAGCACCATTTAGTTTCATGGTAAGCTACCCATCCATGACTGGAGTGCAAACATTTGTGATCATCAAACAAATGAATGCCCCCCAGAAAGACTCGAACCGCGACCGCTGGCACAGAAAGTAGGGTCCCTACAAAACTTAGCCAAACTAGTCGTCATTCGATGTATCGATACAAAATATTCAATGCCGAAAATTGTAATCAATAACTATATATATTTTTTTTCAAATTTAATTTATTATCGGAATTCTTAACAGATTTCGAAGCCGTAAAAGATAGGATTGAACGGAAAACACTGTAAAATTATTCTTATAAAGAAAATTAAAAAAAAACGTGAACGTTTTTATGCTAAAGGCTACTATACAATAAATGATTTTATAGAAGCAAAGATGGCATGGCATGTCTTGGAATGAAGTGTCCAGGCAACTTCAACTTGACAGAAATATTGTAAATTATAATTTAACTTTATAAAAAAGATAACGTTAATCCCGCTTAGTCTCTTTCGCCAGTTCTTCTCAGTTCTGAGGCTTCTTCTTTCCGAACTGTTAATAGACTCATAACATTCAGTAAAAAATAGTAATAATATAAAGCTGAATAAAATATTTTGAATTTGAATTTGTCGCGTGGTGTGTGTATATGCGGCAGCCATCGTGCGTCACTCACTTTCATATGCCGTAAAAACCAGTTTATTGGAAGGGGGTAAAATACTTTTGTTGTTATTAAGATTCTCAATTCTCATGCAATAAAATAATGTGCATTTTATGTAAAAAATAATATTATCCTTTATTGAGCCAGACTGAACTAAATACATTATTATTTTAAAACCATAAATCTCTGAAAATTTGTTCGATATACCGATATTTTTTCCTTGGGATATCGAGGTCGATATTTTAATAAATAACGATACATCGATATATCGATATTTTTTTCACTGCCGACATCCCTATTCTGAACGAAAATTTCCGTTCGTGTGCAGCGGATTAGCATAAATATATGCGAGCACTGCATTCGGGATAACGTTATTCGGTTTTTTCCGTTCTGAATGACCCAAACGCACGGTTTCCGAAACGAACGTTCGGAAAATGTACAAACGTGTGCGCCTAGCCGAATATTTTGTATACGTACGGTATGTATATCATATCGGTAGGTATATCAACGTATGGCTCACCAAACTTGGCTTCCCAGGATTTTTTTTCTAATTTTTGAATTTTATTTTTACTTATCGTTTTCTTGTCGTTTGTTCTTGATTATTCGCCAAAAATAATTGTTCGTTCGTAAATTGTTTATTTTAAATAAATAAACAAATATTAATTAAATGTACCCTCAAAATAGCCCTCTCAAACCAACATCAGTACCTTAGGAGGTAGACATATATCTACTATTGAGGACTTTTTTATAGGCCTTTTTAAGACCTACAATTTTCTAGTACATGTTTTGATGTATCTTTCAGGCGCGAATCCAGAGTTAAATTTTGGGGGTGGTCATAGGTGGAAATATATATATATAATAAAACAGTAACTTAGCAAAATCTGTACATAAAATATTTTTTAAAAACAATGACTGTAACCGTGTAACGTATAGTGTACAGAATATAGAACCCAAAACAAAATTTTTGTAAGTATGTTTGTGTGTTTCACTCAAACAGTACTGAACCGATTTTAACCAAATTTTGTGTAGTGATAACTTATTAGTCGGGTCAACATTAAGGATGCTTTATACTACAGGAAAATCTTTATTCCCACGGAAAAACACAATAACGGGTTCTATCAAGTAGTCCTTATAAGTTTAGATGGCTACCGCTGGCTAAACCTTTAAAGATACATCAAAACAATGTACTAGAAAATTGATGAAACCCCCTCCATTTCTCGGGGGCATTTTAAGGATTTTTGTTCTTTATATACCTGCTACCGTTTTAGAAAAAAATTCTGTGTATAACTTCACGCCAGACGAGCGTTTAAAGTATCCATATTGGTATATTTTTTTAAATTCTATATTTATTTTTTTGAAAGATGAATTTTTCAAAAAAAAATTTACAATTTTAAAACGATGTATAGCTATTGTACAAAAAAATCACGCATAATTATTTATTAGTTTTTTTTAAAAACTAGCGGCTCACCCTCGTACGTTTTAAATAGATATAAATAGTTATTAGTGCGTTAGTCATAAACATTTTTATTTATTTTTTGTTAATAATATTGACATTAATATTTATACGCTACTAACCTTTTTTTTTTTTTTTTTTTTTTTTTTTTTAAATTTTATGATATGGTATTAAAGTTCAAATTGACTTTAGTATTATTACGAATCTTTTGTATGGGAGTATAGAAAAATGTTGTTTTTAGACTTATTCATGCAATTTTTTAAATTTTTCTCTCCGTAAGAAACAATATCCTCGTACTGCAAGGAATATTCCAAAAAAAGAATTAGCGAAATCGGTTCAACTGCTCTCGAGATTTGCGCTTACCAACACATTCAGCTATTCATTTTTATATTATAGATGAACAGAGGTCATAAATCAAACCACTAAGTGTAACTTAAGATTGTATTGAATTGACTTGTAAAATATTTTTTTTAAATTATTGAATAAAAATTCAAAGCAATATTAGCTAGTAGGTATATAATATTATTTTCGTATTTGCTAAATGTGTATTTAAATTGAAAAATTTGTGTATAAGTAATTAATAAAGTTATATCAAAATAGGCTTGTGCTATTATTATTGTACTTAAAATTAAGTGTACCAATCAAATAGAAAACTCACACAGCCAAAAACTTGTTTGGTGCCGCAAAATTTAGAAGTGCCATTTTAAGCTTTGTTACATCCTAAATACCAAATATAAAAGTGAATAATGTTTATAACATATGAATGTACTTATGTACTAGTAAAGAAGAGCTATACTTCGACAGTAGCGAGAATAATAATTTTAAAAAATGATTGCAAACATAATTGCAGAATTTACTACATAGGTATATAAATTATATGTTATTAATTAAATGTTAAGAAACAAAAATATAGCGCAATATAACAATTTCAGTATCCTACACTTAAGTATTTTTAAATAAATGATATGCATTATGACATCAATGACAAAACCCTTACAACATATGTATAACTATGCAAAACATAAGTCTATGCCTCAACTATACTAATTTTATTAAATCTTGGGGCACCAGTCTTACAAAGGCTGTTTACATCAATGATTGTTTAACAAAATCGTAATATCATATAAATAATTATTTTAAATACACATTGTTAATAGGAGCGACGGCGCAGAGCAATTACAACCAACGCTGGATTTACACTTGGGGCACTCGGGGCTAGTGCCCAGGGCGGCAAAACTTGGAGGGTGGAGAGAAAAATTCTCTTCACGTTATTGAAAATGTTTTTTTTTTATTTTCCAAAAAATGAATACTAATTAAAAAAAACTAGTACATTTTTCGAAAAATTGAAATCTTTACAATTTAAAAAAAAGTATCTTTCATAAATTTTACCTATTTTATGCAAAATTTCGATAATTGGGCGGTATTTTTTAATATGCCCCGAGGCGGCGGTAAGGTTGAATCCGGCAATGATTACAACTTAATTATTTATTATATTAATGATCACATGCTACTTATTTATAAGTATTAATGTTACAAGTAAGAATGATAACTGGTTTATAGTTTATATTAATCCAAACGCTATAAACTTTATGGGCTTTTGCACAACCACATAAAGACATATCAGTAGGTACATATTTGATTATAGACGTGTATAATGTATATAATTAAAGAGTACATTATACATGTAAGGTTTACGTTAAATATTGTCAGTTGCACTGATGCCTATACCGAAGATTTAGCTACCATAGTATTATTAGCAATTTGGATGGATTTGTTTTCCACGTGTCTTGCTTGATGTTAGTTGAAACTTGGAATGTATAAAATATTATGTAATAATGGTGGTAATTGACACTTACAATATGATAGAACATTATAAAAGAATTGCTAATGACATGTTAACTTTTGTCGGATAGTGAAAAGGTTTAATTTAAATTACTTACAAAATTTACGCTGTTTATCATTTGTGATAATTCAAAGTTATACTGTTAGATACCTACTCCACAGTCGGAACAGACTGTGGTGACAATCTTTGGAATAAACACGCATAACCTTTCGATTTGCTAATTCAGTAGATACATTAAAAATAATAGTATGGCATTTCAATATTTTATTATCACGTCGTAAAAACGTTTTTTAGAAATATTTTTTAAAGCAAATAATACATTGAAAAGACTACACATGACTTTACGTTGTACTTTAAATTGACAACATTCTTATTTATAACAATGAACTTAAATATGTAGATTATTTTATAAAAAATTAAAGTAAAGCAATTCGTTTTAAAACTCTTTTTCTTCTTACATTATATTGCACTTTAAAGCGTACTGCAATAATAAATAAGCATGGTTTTAACAACAATTAACTGTTCGACTTTAGTAAATTACGCCTACAAAATATTCCAATCACTGATCTATAAATAAATAAATATGTTGGGACATTAAAACACAGCACCATCTAGTTCCATGGTAAGCTACGAGGCCTTCGTTATGGATAATACCAGATAGTTGATACACTACACGTATATAACTTTAAATGAATACATATTGTAAATATAAACACCCATGACTGGAGCACAAGCATTAGTGCTCATCACACAAATGAATGCCGCCAGGGGGACTCGAACCCGCGACCGCGTACACAGTAAGTACAAGGGTCACTACAAACTGAGCCAAATGTGTAATCGGCAGATCTATATCGATAAAATCATTTCGGTTACACCGCTGAGAAATACTAAATTAAATATGTCCAACCAACCTTACAAGTTACATATATAAATATACCTTATCGTGATGTAATAAAGCTTAATTTAAATTGAATGAAATTCTTACAAATAATTCATATTTTACAATTAACTAGTTTCTTTAAAAAAAAACAAATAAAATCATGCGAACTGATGGTACTAAATATCTCAATTGCCAAGATTTTATTCCTACTATCATATTAACACTTTAACATGGAACAAAATGGCATAGTTGCGGAAAACTAAATATTCACAGACGTGCAATCTGGCGCGATGTTAGAACACGACTGACATCTAATAAATAATAATATCTCCACGAGCGCGGACACGCCGGCGTGTCAGTTAACAATAGATTTCTTAGACATTTAATTAATTTCTTAGAAATTTACCTGAAGGTGATAAGTGTTGTTACGCCTAATTGTGACACGCGCGCCACACATACTAAGCACTTCCCATGTTTTTCTATCTTTCGTGGTTAAACTTTTTCAATATATGTAAGAAATGTAAAGCTAATATTTTGTGTTTTAGAATGTTTCTCGGCTAATAAACACGAATTTAGCTCGATTTAAAACCATGGTTATAATATTTCAAATACCTACTCTAATAAATTGTTTGTCTTAATATTATTAAAAATGAATATATAAATAAGCAATATATTTTTAATAAATAAAAAAAAATGTATAATAATTGTAGATCATTATCTGATCATTTCTAAATATAATCATCTTAATATAAATTATATTGCTGTATGTAGGTTTTGTGTGTAAACTATTATCAAAAAGTATTTAGTAATTAGCATTTGGCGCACCTGGACTGGGCTTTAAATATTTTACATATTATTTATATTCATATTAAATTCATAGTATTCATAAAAACTATCTACACGCAACAATTTCTAGGAGGCGCCGTGCTTAATTTATATTAATCCAGTAAACAATATTTATAAATAGCTGACCATAAATATAAATTGGCCAATGAAAGAAAGCTCCATATGGACGTATATGGCAATATTATACAATATATTAGAGATTATTTAGCAATTATTAATAAATACATTTACGCATTTAATTTAGTACATATTATAGGCATGAAAGATTTTCTCTCTACGTCTTTGGGACATCTTATCACAGTTTCATATTAGTTACAGTCAATACGTATAATAATTGTTTGGTTTTCGTATTAGCATTAAGCCAGTCTCCCTGCTTTTAATATCATAAGAAAAAAGGCCACGAATAACTTAATATTTATGTTAAAATACTACTCATTTTGCATATTATACAATATAATATTATGCAAATAAATATTAACAATATATTTTCGATACTTTTGAACAGTTCGCCATAATACATAATGTGAATATACATATTACGGAAATTCGATGATTCTTATATACATAGTACAGTTTTACTAATACTTGTTACGGAATAAATTGCCTTATTCCTCCATCAAAATCCAAACAAAAGACAAAACAAAAATCGTAAATTATGCTCAATTCGCATATTCCACTAATATAAATGTGTATACGCGATCAATAACAATACTTATCCTCACAAGCAATACAACTGATAACAGCGAGATAAAACCGTAGCAAACTATTGTTATTCGAACAGTCGTATTATAATAGGACTGTAGCATATAAAAATTGGACAGATTAATTCTAGGAACGTTTCTGAGCCCATTTGAGGTCGTCAGCGCGCGGCTTGCAGCCGGTGAGGGTTTGGATGAGCAGTTCCAGGGTGGACCAGAAGTGCAGTTTCTCCAGGGGCCAGTTGAGCCAGCCGGTGGTGATGCAGAAGTAAGTCTCGTGCGGCGCCACGTGGTGGATGCGGTGGTGGCGGCGCGGCAGCACCACGCGCCACTCCTGCAGCCACACCACCCACGCCGGCAGCCCGAAGTACGTGTGCGACCATTTGTGGATCTGCAATCATTATTAATAATACTTTATTTCTCATCGTAACAAAAAATTCTAAATTTTGAAGTTATACTTCTTTTGGCACGTTTGGAAAAAAATATGAGAATAATTTTTTTAAGGTGCGCCCTGAAATCGACACGATGAAGTGACTATGAGATGAAATCTTTAGCTATATTTGTTCTGTTACGCCAAAGAAGTATAACTGTTCACGCGCATACATAAGTACACACACACACACGTTTATTTTCTTTTTTTTACAATGGCTTTTCACGATATCTCTGTAGTATGTTAATAAAGAGTCAAGTATCTAGTAGATTCCAAGTGACACTACAGTATCAGACCAAGGTTACCATATTGTTGCAATGTCATTATAACGTAACAAGTAACGGTTTAGAAGCGATTAGATTTGTGGAAGTTGTTCATATCCTTTTACCGTCTAGAAAAAGTAAACGTTGCAAACGGCTAAACGGATTTTTTAGATATATAGCTAAGAACACTCTCCATCGAGTCAACTTTCGAAGCGGTTGATCCGTTTAGGCGCTTCGATGCCACAGGCAGATACACACGTTAAACCTAAAACTCCCTTGTTTGCGTCGTAGGTTTAAAAGAAACGATAGAACTCATGTATAAATCAGTTAAAATAATCGGAATTTATCATTATTGCATTACTGACCTGATTTGTCATCGCCACAAATATGCAGCATAAGTACCAGTAAGCAATCCAATGGAATTGACTTTCAATCGTGGATGAATCATAAGTGAGCAATTGCCATACAATTCGAGCCAGCACTGGTATGGTTATTGCAAAATTATCACCATTCGTTTCTATAAAATCATGACGGGTAATTGAAGTTGGATCAATGTGGTGCTCACGAAAGGGACGTAAAAAATTCTGAAAAAAAAAATAAACAAAAATGTAGTAAGTTATATATCAATAAACTTTTATTTTTTTTAATAGAACCATGGCTTTAGTTTAATCTTGAGCTTTATTGTTACAGACAGACATCTTCAATACAAGCTAGCGTACAATATATGCTACCGCTCATAAGTATTTGCACACCAGCATTTTTGACCATTATAATATTTTAAGAAAATATCTGATCGAAATAACTTTCCACATTTGAGTTTCGGTATCACATAGTAACTAAATGAAATCGTTACTTAATATTTTTATGTATCTATCTAATTATTTAAACGAGCAAATCTTGTATATTCATTTATTTATTTATGCCGGCGATCTCGGAAACGGCTCTAACGATTTCACTGAAATTTGGTATGTGGGGATTTTCGAGGGCGAAAAATCGATCTAGATTAGTCTTATGTTTGGGAAAACACATGTTTTCGAGCTTTCATGCGATTTTCTTTTGCATTATTCCAAGTAAAATATGGTCGCTATTTTCGCACGTTCGGGCCATCGTGGGCCAACGGCCAAGGCGCAAGATTGACAATCACAGGTGTCCGGGTTCGAATCTCAGTAGGATCAAAGTTTTTGTTTTTTTTTTTATTTATTATATAATAAAAAAGAACTCCGAGCGAAGCTAGGTCGCCCAGGTACTTTATTTAGACTTAAATGTGAAAATTATAATTTTTTTAATTTTTCGAAATTCGCCTACATTCGAGCGGATTCTTTGTTATGATAACAGTCCCAACTAGTTATTCTTTTAATTATTATTATAATTTACTATATAAGGGGGACCTCTCATTCTAACAATTAAAATCTTTAATACAAATATAAATATTTTATAATAGCTTATATGTGTTTTATATGCTATCAGAAGCATTTCAGTGATAGAAATACATTTCTCACAGTCATCTTGTCATCAAAATGAAACATGAAACGCGCTCAATGTTCATAATTTACACAAATTGAAAAACATGATAACCGAAATCGTCGTGATATTGATTATAAAAATTATGCTAACAGTTTTTATAAATAAAACTTAAGCTGTAGATAATTGCATAGTGTTGACAAGTCGACGGCCGACGCAATTCAAAAATAATTGCTTCAGAAATCGCTCAACAAATTAAAGCAAAACTCATTTAGTACTTCTATTGCCATAAGACGGCTCCTAGAATCAGGTCTTTTAGTATGAGTAGTGTTAAAGAAACTACTTCTCATGTGTGAAAACAAGATAAAACGACTTTAATGGGCTTACAAATATAAAAATTGGGCATTTGAACAGTGGGAAAATGTGTTATGGAGGGACAAATTAAAGTTCGAGATTTTTAGTGTGTCTGTGGCAAATATTTCTAAATAACAAATAATGTGATAAAATTACATTCGCATTGATATATTTGTTAACTACATTTTAAGCCATTTTTTCCCTATTACACATATAATTCAATTCATTTTTTAGTTATGTCATAACTGTGATAGCAGACACCTAATTTTAGTTAACTAGCTTTACCTTGAAGTAGATTGATCTGAATACTTCTGTTAACAGCTGTAGACTCTTCATAAATTAATATTTTTCCTATTTTAAATTACAATAATTATATTATTGTAAAAAATAAAATATTAATTATATATTAGTATTGTATTTACTATTATACCATGTTATTATAATTTAATTTTCATAAGACTAATAAACATCATGCAAGTTGCAACAAAGTAGATTGTTGGTGTAAGTACAAAAATGTAAACTTTATATTAAAAACTTCTTATTACTTATTAGGTATTTTACGTTTTGATGGCAGATTCAAAAATGTCTAAGAAAAAACTAAGATTATGAACAATGAACAAGATTATTTATCAGCATATCATATCTAACATTTTATGCTTATTTAAAATTAAAGTACAATAAAATAATAACTCTTCTATATTGCTGCAATGGCCATTATGGAATTTTTCTATGTAACAAACTTTTCTTAATAATAAATTTTACAAAAAATTAACAATTTAAGTGATACCTTGCCAATTATGGGTAGATCAACTGCACCCCATGTATCTGCTGCCCAATGAACTACTCCTGATGCAAAATCAGCAGTGAGTACACCAGCTATGGCCGCCAGTAGCAATGAAGCATCTGCACGAATGTATTTGGCCATAAGAAAGCCTGCACTGATGCATAACGTACAGCATAACACTACACATACACCTTCTTGTATCCTTTTCCCTAGTAACAAAAGCATATAATTATATATCTGTAAATATAAATAATATACCTAATGATATTCAATTTAAGATTCACTATTGTTTAATTTAATAAATAATAATAAAAGAAACACATAAATGTATCTGATTAAATTACATATTTGTTTTATTATATATACAACCAATAAAAATCTTTTTAATAAAAGATTGCATTATATTATGTACAAAATATGTATACAAATTAAGAATTAATGTATTTGTGAATTTGTACAGATGTTACCAATAATATATATTACTTGTAATGACCTTTAAGCCGAAGGTTATGGGAATCTGCTCACCTGGACTATAAAGTTCGGCAAGCTCTTGTGCACCTCGATGTTGAGGACCCCAACGGGGCTGATTACCTACTTCACTACGTAGTTGGATATTAGCATTTGGATCATCTTCCGACATAGAATGTTCTAAGATCTCACGTTCGGTTTTAACTGGAGCCAATAAAGTTGTAGCCATGGTACTTGCGTACTCAAATTGCTCACAACCCAAACCACTTAATCCATCTCTTTTAGCACACGCCGCTATCGGTAATTGTAAAGTCATATTTAATTAAAATATAAGATAACAATAGTATTTTTTGCAATAGATAAAACTAGATAATCGTTTTTGCTCATCTAATATGTACATGAACATCGTACGCGATTGTTAATATGTAAATCACACGTTTGACAGTCTGACGACTGACGAGTGACAACTGACAATTGTGAATTGACAATTACGAGAATTTGAATTTTGTAATAAAATTAAAAACATTGTTTTATTTTATCGAAGAACATTTCTTGAAAGGAGGGCGCTACACGTATGATTTATTTATATTTGATCCAAGGTTAAGCAATTTATTATGATATCTCTTGTATACCTGGTTTTTACTTCTATTGTGTTTGCATTTTACCTGTGCAATATATTGTACCTGGAAGTTAGACCAGCTGAAGAACGAATTGAGAAGGAGAGGTATATCCTCCTCCAACCTCCAAGGACAGGTGGTCCTGACTAACTGACGGATCAACACGCAGCCTAAACCGCTGGTAATAGAAACGTGAAATTTGGAGGATGAATACCTTTTATTATGATGTATGCATCCAATAAGAAAGGATTTTTTGAAATTCATCCACTAATCGGGTAGATTCCTTAAGAGGATTAAAGACTGTATGAAACAGTCATTCTTAATGTGAAATACACAGAAAGTATAAAAAATAAGAAATATATTTATTTGATTTTTTCGACATTCATTCCTTAAAGGGGAGGAGAGGGGGGAGTGGGAGAGGGGATTAAGTTTATATGGTCAAAGAATTATTTATGATCAGAATTACTTGAAAATTGGTATTAACGCACTTCAATACAATTAATTAAATATATGTGCTTGCATTTTTCGAAATTCGATCACATAAGGGGGATGAAAGTTTGTATGAAACTCTGTAATTAATGTTTAAAAAAGTATGAAAAAAAAATAGCAAAAAATATTCACAATTAAGAGTTTTAAAATCACTTTTCGTAAAATGATGTCCACATAACTTTAAATATGAAGATTGTGATTTTGCCAATTTTGGTGATCTAATTGCTTTAACCCATAATTTCTTCAGTTTTTGTCTTTTGGGTACAAATGATGTCCATTTTCTTTACACCCGGCACAATTTGTCATTTTTATTAAATTTTAAAATGAATGAAAAAAATCCATCCACGATTTACAATATACTGAGGATTATAGTGATAGCGACATCAGGCGGTCTCCCGCATTACATGATCTGTGTCACTATGGAGGCTAGATGTAAAGAGAACTATCTCGTGAAGAAAAAGTGTTCATCAAAAACAGTTAAATTAGGTAGCAAGTGGGTATATTTTGAAAAATGCGCCAAAAGTATCATCAAAAGTTCACAAAAAATAAATCACTCGTTACGTTTATATTACCACAATTTTTTCCATTATATTTACTTAATTATTTTGGACTAACTAAATAGTTTCAATAACTACTCAAGTCACCCAACAAATTAAATTCAAATCATCACAGTGAAGTGTGCAGAGTTAAATTTAATATATTCGATTACAAATGATAAATTCATATCATACCCTCTTGCTACCGAAGTTCCAGAGAGTGAACTCGTTATTGTTTATACCCTGAATTTGAATATAACTATTACTCGAATATTGTGATTTTGATTTTAAATAAAACTATCTTTTCGGATTTTTTCACGAGTTTATTTTGATTTTTGGTTCCCGACATTTCAAATGTTTAACAGCAATCATGGTCTCGGGGGAGTATAAGGTTTTTGACGTCTTAAAGGTCATATGGCCTTGTTTATAACCATGATTGCTGTAAAGCATATATAATGAAAAAAAAATGCCAACCACGCATAGAGTTTTACAAGAAATACTGAGGATCTTACACATTTACGATGTGAGTTGTGACAGATTTGGCTACATTATGAAGTAGTCTTAGTATAGTGTGATGTCTATATTCAAGAATCAAGATATTTATTGCGGTATTTCTATATAAATAAATAAAAAAGTATTTATTGCCATAGAAAAGAGTAAAAAAAGTTAACAGAATCAGTAAAGCTTAAAGTAACTTATGGCAAAGGGTAATAACTCAGCTGATGCTGCTAAGACCGAATCTCAAGCAGCGCTGATTTTCGGTTACACTCAGCTCCCTAGGGTGTTGCGCGGGTTAGCGATCCTGCGACGCCCTATTAAGACGGGGGAAGGTTTTGTTGGCTTTTAGTGGGTAGTACAGGCTTTGCCGGTGAGTCCCACACCTCGTGCGTAAATGCATTTCCCAACGTTAAAAAAAAAAGGGTGTTGAGCGGGAGCAAGGCAAGAGGACTATTCCTCCAGTTAACCTCTACAGGAGTCAGAGAAAAAACGCAATTAAAACAAAAATCAATAAGAAATTAAAAAAAAGTGTACATGTGTGTGTGCGCGCGTCTGTGTATTCCTTCTCTATATGAGTACTTCAAATTTACTGCAGCGTGTATGAGGTTATTCTAGGGCTGAAGACAGAACTGCATTAGTTAAAATTAGAAAGCACAAGTGCATCTACGAGCATCAGACATAGATTTTCTTTTATGTATGCCCTGATTTTGTACAAAGTTTTAAGTTTAAAAAACGCATTGCTAAATTTTATATAAATGTGTTCCGTGTATTTTTGATGGCAATCTATAGTTAAACCAAGATTTCAAGCAGCATTAAGTTTTATTTTATCGTTAAATTTTGTAACCCAATCAATTTGGCGCATCGTACCTAGAACTAACATTTGTGACTTAGATGGATTTAATAAGTTAGAGAGTTTTTAGTTAACCGGTTAAATATGCGCTCCAGATCCTTATTTATGTCTTGTTTGGCTGATTTAGTGTTTTCACCTTTAAATGAGTAGTACAATTGGGTGTTATCGGTGTACAAGTGATATTTACAAAAATGTATAATGTCAGGTAGGTCTGCAGTAAATAGCGTAAAAAGTATCGGGCACAATAAAGATACTTGTGGGACCCCACGCGTTATTGGTTTCAGAGTGGAATATTTCTTCCCTATCCAATCCTCCAAGAAGGTGCGAAACCATTGGCAAGTATCTGCTGAAAAACCATAGTGCTGAAGTTTTACCAAAAATAATTCAAGAAACAGGCAAAGGCACGCGAATCAGCTTAAACCTTTATCAGAAGCCTCAGTCAGATCATCTGTTATATTTAGAAGTGCTGTCTCTGTGTCGTATCCTCTGCGAAATCCAGATTGATACTTAGGTATAACGTCACTTTCGTCAAGAAATTTAGTAATCTGGTTCAATACTACCCTTTCTAAAACTTTTGTTGAGCCCGGTAATATAGATATCGGGCGAAGATTTTAAAGTTATACACAATACGTATTTTATATCAATAAAAATAAAAATTATTACAGTCTCGGTGACTGTCTGTAACCAAATCATGGAAGTTTTTGACCCACTTCCCAATGTTCGATTGAGCAGTTTTTGTGTTCATGCATGATTACCATAATTAATTAATGCGGACTATGTTTTTTTATGCATCCCCATGATATGGATTGAAATGAAAGGGTTTGCTACGAAGAATACGAATAAAATAAAAAAAGGACAAGCTTTAATAAAAGCTTGTCATTTAAATATAAATGCTCTTAAAACCAAAGAACTGTAACTTCTTACGTGCGTACATAATTACACACACTTTTTTTATATTTTATATATTTCCGAAGCAAACACGATTTGAATTTTTTTAACCGTGCTTTTTTATGGAATTCAAAATTAATGCACAATTTATTATATTATCAAGAAATAATTTTCAAGGCTAAAAGATTTTTTAACTTTTTTTTAAATGTAGGTATATAGTTTTAACCACAATGTGGTATTGTCTGTTATATTTTTGTAAATTGTGTTGTGTGTGATTATTATTAAAAACATTATATAGCCAAAATCAGTATTCCGACTTTTCTACACCATTCAAAATGATAATAAGTACCTACAGTTATTTTATTAATTTTTTTTATAATATTATGCAGTATAGGAAGTAGGTACACTTAGTTACTTTGAAATAAAACTACAAACTGATAAATACATCTAAAAGTACTGTATTTTAAATTATTATAAATTTTTATACGAAACAGAAATGTTAGACGTATTTGCGCCAAATGCCAATGCAAGAGTCTAAAAATTGAACTTGCGTTATTAATAGACAAATGATGTTGGCGTACGACTATTAGCTATTGAATGCTCGTGAAATTTGTATAATTTGGAAATATTTCTATTTATCAAGATTTGTGAAGTGGTATACAAGCATAAACACTCATACAAATGATGTACACTCTTTAAGAATACCTATTATTAAATTCGTTCCAATTTTATTTAAGCTGCGATTGAATAATCTGCGCATTTCAATTTCCAAAGAGGTATAGAAGTAAAGTAAGTTATTTTTATTACTAAATATTTTTATATGTTTATGAATAATTTATAGAATTACGACAAATTAAGAAAACTTTTTTATATTTTGTATCTTTCTCATTCAAGTAATCTAAATGCGTTTTTGATTTTTTTTATATCAGGTTTAACATGACAAGATATAAAGAACTTAAAAAGCTTGAGAAATTGGCTCTAACAAAACTGGGAGAATGGGTAGCAAAACAAGCAGAAATATACATGATTCCAAATGCACAACTAGCCCAAAATAATCCGGCTATGGCACAAACGGCCTTAAATTCCAAAATTGAAAATATACGTTGTTATTTAAACATTCACGTACCATGGATGCTCTATGATAAATTTGCAAAAGAGGCAATAATGGCTTTATCTGACCTACTAGAGAAGACAAAACACTCATTAGGATTTCGGGGATCGATGGGGAAATTTGTAAGTCAAATGAATGTAATTGTAAAGATGACTGAAGTCCTTTTTACGAAAAATTTTACTTTCGTTTCCATTGATGCTATACCGAAAATGATTAGATCTGTTTTTTATTCTAAACTTCATATGTTAACAGGTCTTGAATATTTAAATTTAGGTTCACTTTCTGGTGGTTGGAAGACTGCAGATATGGAAGAATCTATCGTACAAGCTTTAAAACAATTACATCGTCTTAAATATCTATTTATAAACTATGATTGTACTGACAATATTTTGAAATGTGTAGCTAAAAATTGTACTAATATTAGAAAACTCGATGTATCTTGCTCTAAATGTATCACCAATGAAAGTATAACCATTCTAAGTAATCTGAAAGAGTTAAAAAGTATCCAATTATATCATACGTTTGTTACGTGGGAAGGATATGTTAATTTACTGATTAATTGCCACAATTTAGAAGATATCGGTAGGTGCGATGAAATCGGCAAAGTATTAGAATTTATCCATATAAATTGTCCAGAGGTTGGTCCTCTAACTTTAAAAGTTTACGTTAGCCGATACGCTACCAGTCATCACTTACAATTAGCTGTAGAAATGTGTCCTTTTATTTGTAGCATGACTGTATTTCACAATACTTTACAAAGTGATCTTATGGTTTTGATTGGATTGAAAGATTTATATGATTTAAAACTTTTATCATGTGACTTTTATGCTGATCAAATAAAACAAGTACTACAAGTAAAAGGATGTAATATATTAAAGTTACATTTAGAACATGTGGACCAAATTGATCTTAATGCTCTTATGTACATAAGCCAAATGTGCCCTTTGCTTGAAACCTTAACATTTTATAATTGTACTCTAATTCAACACACATCGTTATATACAAAATCATTAGAAATTCTACCCTTTCGGAATTTAAAAAAATTGACATGTGTATCTACATTTAGCGATGAACAATTATTATTTCTATTGACAAACTGTATTAATGTAGAGTTTATTCAAATAGGAACGGCTGTTCAACTTACTGATGAATTCATGTTGAAAATTTTAGACAAAAACCCATTAATATATTTAAAAGAACTACGCATTATGCAGTCTGATTTTTTAACTATATTAACTGCTGAAAGATTAATCCAAAGTTGTATGAGCTTAGAAATATTAGTAGACCTGGAGAGTTGGTCATTATTAACAGAAAGTGACCGAGAGTACATAAGGAGCTTTATTAAAATAAATAATTTTAATGTTGATACATCTCCTATACGGAGATACGATTGTTAAATTTAATAATAATTAATTAGCTTAAAACCATTTTTTTTTAGTTTTGTGTGAAATCGGAAATATCTACCTACCTATTTAACAATAGCTAAAAGCAAACTATTACCATATGACATTTCGCCTTTTAATAATACTTTTTAAAACCGCTAAATTATCACCCTCGAGCCCTCTAAAGACTACGAATTGTCGTAAATTTTTCGTTTCTTTATCAATTATGTCAATTTTTTGTCGTTAGTATGTTAATTTTACAACATCAAATTGTACAATTAATAAAAAAAACAAAATTTATTGTGTAATCAAAATTTATTTTAAAATATATCCGAAAATAACATTAAAAATTTAAGTAATAGTATAAAAAATGTTTTAAAAGAGAACAAAATCGAAAGTGCATAATAATTACAAGACTTCCGCGACAACATTCAGACAAAGAGAGTCAATAGCATTCCCAAGGCAGGCGGCCGGTCGTAAAAGTTATGCCAAATCCTATCAGCAGTACAGACTACAGACAGAAGATGTACTGCGCCGGCCGCCGACCCCAATTGATTGGGAAATGGGCACGGAGTTTTGCCATCTATTGGTAACAATTTATATATTAGTTTAAAAAAACATGTAATTTTTAAAAATTACGAGTATAATAAATCTGATTAACAGTCTATTTACTTCTAGAGATATATACTTAATAATAAAGGTATTAAGTACATTTTTATAAGAACATGATTCTTAATGTAAAATGGATTTAGGCTAATTAAAATAGATTTTTGTAATGTTACCTTTCGTGTTCCTTTATGATTTCCAGTAAAATTTATCAATCTTAACAAGTAGTAAATTGTTGTTGGGATGAATTTTTATTTTATATAATTTTTATAATTGTAGAATTTGAATATAAATTATATGTGTAACAAGTAGTAAAATGACCTCGCCATTTATGGTTATCCTAGTCACAGATTATTTAATACCATATTAGAGTAGTCGAGTTGTAAAATATATTTTGTCATTTGTGGTGTCATTCTTTTTCAATTTTTTGAAAGGTATGGTAATGTTGTTTGATCACTATTGTACTCAAGGAACATTTTTACTCTAGGGAGATTGTACTACCTATAGTTTGTGGTCACTGGTCAGGGAACTCAAATAAAGTAAATAGAATTTTGCAGTCCGTTAAAACAACTGTCAAAGTAAAAAAATAGTTAATAATAGCGTGTTTTTGCTGTTTAAAGTTTATTTGTCATCCATGGTTTAAAGCTCCTATTTCTAAAGCAGCCATAGAATTTGTTAACTTTCTTCAGGGTTTATGAGAAACTTTATTAATTGATAATAATCAACCATTTTTGAGAAGAAAATGAATAATCCTATTATAATATTTTTATAATAAATTTTTATAAAACCTATATAATGTAAGAAAATAAATGGAAAATTCAAATTCAAAAATTTCATTTATAAAATCTATTAAAAATATAGGTACTGTACAATCCAATGTTGTCCTTGGGAGTAGGGTTCCCTCTGGGTTTATAATAAAACTCCAGTGATTGGATTGTGGTTAACAATTTATTTTGTTCAATACCTTATATACATATCATCTTAACCAAACGATAGCGCGTTTTAGATTACCCCCAATGCCATCTATTAAAAATATATGTACAAACATTTAAACATTTAAATTTTGAATACAATGGAACGCGCTTTTATACTATGCCAGTCCTAACTTATCGTATAGAAACTTATACAGGTACTATTCGGGAGTTTATATCAACAGCTGGTAACTAATACATTGAAATTTTTGTTTAACTTCATCTTTAGCACGGTAATGTTATAAAAACATTACCGTGTCTTTAGTTCGAACCATGGATGACAAATAAAACTAACTGGGAGGTCGGGAATTTGAGAAAATTTCGGCCACACGCCAAAATAATATGTACTAGCATTGCCCGCGTTTCCGGCCGCGTTCAGATGACCAAAACCCAAATTCTTAGGTTTTACATATTAGCATCCCTATTTAAAACTCCAATAGGATCCCATTAAAAGCGACAAAAGCCACATAGAAACCAATAATTGTTTATTGGTTTCTATGATTCTATTGGAGTTTTTCAACAGGGATACTCTTACATTGCAGTTTTTGTATTTTTTCTCAGAAATGAGACATTTTCCCGCTGGAAAAAATATTCTTTATGTTGACCCAGATAGCCAGCTATCACCATACCAAATTTCATCGAAATCCCTCTACTGGTTTTTCTGTGATGCGGTAACAGACAGACAGACAAAAATTCTAAAAACTGTAAATTCGATCTCTATCGATAATAATGTTTGTTTCAATAAGATTTTCCAAAAATTATTTAATGTACAGATTCGGCTTAGTTACAATTTTATTATAATTATGTACTATGTACCTATAGATTTCGCCCATGGACGAATTAGAGACTTCGCCTATCAGTATTTGCTACAATATATATTTGTCAGACAATAACAACGGTGACCATGGTAATAATTAGTCATAATAGCTTTCATTTATTTTATGCACATTTATCCCACAATAATGACAATATGTCTGTAGGTGTCACATACAAATTCAAATTTAAATTCAGTCCGCGCGAATATGTACTTATACAGCTTCATTTGCATACTAACGAACCAAGACTAAGTCTTATATGTACTAGTTTTATGTTCAACCTAATGAACACCATAGCACCTTGTAATAAATTCACAAATCTTCGAATTATCATCATACACTTGCGATCATTTCGTAAGTTTTATAATCTTTATTGTAAAATCAACCTTATATCAAAAACATAAAGCACTTTTTCCCGTTCTTGCTTTGTGAGCTAAGTCGTTTTGTTTCAGTTTGCTTCTTTGAATTGGCGCGTATAGTGGCCGACTTGGGCCAACGTTCTTAGCCAAATAAAATTGTTAAAAATTTCATTTTTATATTATTTCGTAGATTAAATCTTAAAATATTTACTTAATCTACATGTACTTAAAATCTACATGTACCTAAATTGAAAAAATTTATTTTCGCGCATTATTTTTGCAACTTTTATATATATTACTAGCATTGCCCGCGGCTCCGCCCGCGTTCAGATGACCAAAAACTAAATTCTTAGGTGTTACATATTAGTATACTCTTACATTGCAGTTTTTGTATTTTTCCTCAGAAATAAGATATTTTCCCGCGGTAAAAAGTATCCTAGGATCGCGCGCTACATCGCCCGGTTTATATAGCTTGAGCAGGCGGTCGAGCGATGCGGGGCAGAGGGGATGGACTCGCCGTAGGCATCTCAATGCTCGCCAAGCATTAAAAATGTTTCGCTACTAATTACTTCTAACAACGATATCTCAAAAACTATTCATCTGATTGATTTAGTGTAAAGAGCAATTTTAATCTGCATTAAATGACTAAGCTAACTAAAATATTCATTTGGATAAGGATTAATACCGAACTAAAGAAAATAACTTTGAAAATAACGTAATGTTTTTTTAAAAATGTTAACATAAAAGTGGTTATTGTAAGTCAACCGTAAGAGATAGAGATATGCTATCGCGGACTTTTTTGTAGCATTTTTATAGATTTTGAATTCTCTAGTACATTACTTAACTGTATCTTTGCTAGTTTACGCGGCGTTCGCGTGGAAAGTTCCCATTTGGCGAGATTTTTTGCGACCTCTTCAACATTTGTCGCCGTATTTCAGCTAATTTACATAAAAGCATAATAAATTATATACCTAAACCTTCCTCAAGAATTACTCTTTCTATTGTTGAAAACCGTATAAAAATCCGTTCAGTAGTTTTCGAGTTTATCGCGTACAGACAGACAGGAGGACAGACAGGAGGACAGAAAGACGCGGCCGGGGGACTTATTTTTATAAGTATAGATAATATTGCGGCATTGTGAACGTGTTTACATTGGCAGTGTTTTATAGAACTAATCAAAATATACGCTCACTTTGCAAGTGAGCTTATATTTACCGAGACAGATTTCTTACGCCGACCCGATATCTAGTAGTATTGTTGATCGAAGATCCCATACATTGATTATTCTATTCTACTAGTGTTGATGCCACTTGTCTAGGCCTTCTGTACTGTTACTAATTCACAACTGTATTGTTAATTTTATTAAAATTAAATAATAACAATTGTTAAACGGTAAAAAATGTTTATGGAAAAAGAAATAAATATTATGATACAATATTATTTTATCATATAAAATTAATGTTACTAATTATGTGGGACAAGGGCAAACATGTGAACTGGATATATACCAGCAGGAAAGTTTGTTTGCTTGCACTGTTTTATCCTTTTTAATTTTGCCAATTTAAATATTTTTAGGTATAACTTTAAAGGCCTTGTGACAGATGAATCAGTTTCATCAACTTCTGTTTTCCCTGATGATGTAACATTTTCTTTAACAATTAACACCCCATTACTTGAAAGAGCATCTCTGAAAAAAGTAGTAAAAAAATATTAGTTGACAGATTTATAATAAAATATATAATACATTGTATTATTAAAGAATTAATGGTATAATATTATATCAGTCTGAATACACAAATTACATTAGTAATGTTGCAGATGTAATGAGGTACCCTACCCCAGCCTGCAAATTTATGATATTCGCAATGAAAAAAATACTAATCGATAGATTTTTAATAGCTCAATTCAACTACGTAGCCCTTCCAAATTGCTCACCATTAATTATAAAATTAAAAATCAATAAAGTCCTTGAAAAAAAATCATTTATCCGTATATTCAAATTTCTATATCTTTTGATATATACAATATTTTAAATTGCTCAAAGTTCTAAAATACTGCTCAAGTTGCATTTGTAATTGCTCAAGTAGAGTTCTCACCAGCTCCACTTTCCTTAATTATTAAATAAATATAAATAGTTTGAATAAATTTAACGTATAGATAGGTGAGTGCTGCGCATGCGCGCAAACAGTAACGCGAGTCGCAAGGCAAAAAAATCAAGTAATCAGGAAAAAGAGGACGGTACTAAGGGCTCTAATGAGATGGAGTCAAAGAGTGAGACGAAGCTGTTGAAAATGAGATGGAACATCCGAGAGGCGATCAGCTCAGCATCAAGAGATGGAATGTTTGTGGCGCTTCCAGGAGCTAAAAAGGATCGTAGCAGTATTATTAAATTATTGATTGCTGATCAGAGTTCAAAATTCCTTTATATTAAAGGCAGTTTATATTCATGCAGTTTGTTTCTTTGAAATAAAAATGTCATTAAACTATATGTATATTTAAAAATAAAAAAAGTTCCGTCTTGTATTGATGTTAATAACATTTTACTAATGATCCCTGTCATGGCTATTAACTTAATAGAATAAGCATTTGAACATAAGATTTTGTCTTAATTTATCTGTTGGTATTAATTTTCATTTATTGGTAGATTCCAGATCTGTTCTTTATGTTATAATATCTGAAGTGGAATCACGTAATGTGAACAATTCATAAATTCAATAAATTTAAAGAAATCCACCGAGAAACAGAATTAAGACGTTGAATTGGAACGATTGTCCAAGCCCGCCGAGGCCGACCAACAATGCGCGGTGCGCATGCGCACGCTCACTTAACCTACGTTACATTTATTACAACTATACTTTTAATTATTTAATAATCAGCAAAAGTGGAGCTGGTAAAAACTCTACTTGAGCAATTACAAATGCAACTTGAGCAGTGTTTTAGAACTTTGAGCAATTTGAAATATTGTATACATCAAAAGATATAGGAGTTTGAATATACAGATAAATTATTTTTTTTTCAAAGACTTTATTGATTTTTAATTAAATAATTAAAGGTGAGCAATTTGAAAGGGCGACGTAGTTAAATTGAGCTATTGAAAATCTATCGATTAGTATTTTTTTCATTGCAAATATCATAAATTTGCAGGCTGGGGTAGGGTAGGTGATGTAATGCTTTTACAAGTTCAATGTATAACATATGATTAAGCTGACAATTAAGTTCAGTAGTAATTTTAAAAGAAAGTGATATTAATTAGTTGGTACATATACATATATTTGTCACTATAAGTATATGGTAGGTATAAAGGATTAATTAATTTAATTAATGTGTACCACAAAAAATAGACTTATTATTTACATATTTTATTGAATTTACCTGCATTTTATAAGATAACTTGTTAAGTCTGTATCCGTTAAGTAACCCAAAACCCATTGATTCCATATGACATCATATTTTCTTTCAGGCTCAAATTTTTGTAGACTTTGTAAATACAGAACACCTAATTTTATTTTATATTCTCCTACATAATTTGAAATGGAATTGATAAATTTTTCATCCGGTTCAATTATGTCAACTGTATTAAAATGAGGAGCTAACAAATATTTGGTAATTCTGCCTATTCCAGCTCCACAGTCAAGAGCAATTCCAGTACTTGGGGCATTTTCTAAGCTAAGAATCGATTTTAAAAACAATGTTGAACCATCAATATCTATATCAGATATAAACCCGAAACCACCAAGCACTCCATCTAAAGTTGCTGGAATTTCAGCCCAGTATTCTGAAGCTTTCTTATAGTTGATATTTTTTTCACTCATACTTCATTTATTTAATTGACTTTATGACAATATTTTAATGCCTGGGAAAATTACTTTCGATGTGTTAGATTTTGATTTTGGCAGCGGCATGCAGCACGACGGTATACTTATTTGAACATTGTAAGTTTGTATACAAATACAATCTATATCAATTGCTACTTTCTATTGCCTAGGCAATATTTTCATGTATTTTATATTAAGGCTCAAGCTTAACATAGGCTATCTAGATTTCTAATATTTTTAACTTTATTATTATTCATTTCCATGTTCTATAGCTCCCGTGTTATAACCTTATCAGTAACTAATAAGTATACAGAAATATTATTCAGTTAAAAATTTAGTCTCCCTATCTCTCTTTCTAGATAATGGTTATACACCATGGATGACAAATAATGTTTCAAGCAAATACAGACCAGACAACAATACCAGAAACAACAAGATTAAGAAAGCAAACTACTCAGTACTCAATGTCAGTGTACTCACTACACCACAGAGTACATTGGTATATACTAGGCACTACACCACAGACCAGGAACACTGGTCAGTGGCATGGCTGACAAATAAAATGATCAGTGGTCACCGAACACGGAACAACCATAGAGTTTTATTAGATTACTAGCACTGCCCGCGGCTGCGCCCGCGTTCAAATGACAAAAATCAAATTCTTAGGTTTTACATATTAATATAGTCTTACATTGCAGTTTTGGTATTTTTTCTTAGAAATGAGATATTTTCCCGGGGTAAAAAGTCAATCCAACATGCTGACCCGGATAACCAGCTATCACCATACATTTAAAATCCCTCCAGTGGTTTTTCTGTGATGCGGTAACAGACAGACAGACCAAAATTCTAATATCGATATATATATATGTATCGATAATAATGTTTAAGTTTTGTTTAACTCGTAAAGAGTCTAGGTGGTCCCAAGGATTTTATATATGTTCCATAAACGTGTTTATGGAATATATAAAATCCTTGGGTGGTCCACACTCCACTTTCATCATCTAGCGACTTTTGAACCTTGTCTAGCGACTTTTGCTTCAGTTGATTTGGGACTTGGCAACACTATAATAAATTACAAACAAAATCTAGTGAGTTGTCGTTTGTCAAATATGACATAATCACAGAGTACATTGGTTTATACTTGGACATAATTTATCAAAGTGGATAATATATTTATATAAAAAAAAAAATAATTTTGCGTTTATAAACAACATTGAATATTCAATTATTTTAAAGCATCATGGATATAAGAGCTGAAAAATTAGCAAAAGCACGTAAAAAGGTAAGTTAGTTAAAGACTAAAATATTTGCTAAAGATTAAAATTTTGTAAATATAAAATTACTGTTCTAGTTAAAAGACCATCAGGAAAAGAAGACTGTAATAAGCCAAAAATGCGAAGGATCTGTACAAATTGATCAAACTACCTTATTGCAACAATCTTTAAATGATAATACAAAAACTACTACTGATAACGTAAACGAAGAACGCCACTTAACAGTCAATGGTAATAGAGATTTATATAGCAACCAAGACAAAAATAAGTCTGATGTTAGGTCGGATATAAATGTCACTGAAATTCTAATTTCTAACAGAACTAATCTTGAAATGCAGATAAGTGAGTTAAATGGAAAGTTAGCAAACCTTGAATATCTACATGAGTTGGAAATAAATAATCATAATACTGCTAAACAAAAAATTATAGCATTACAATCTGAAGTGACAGATTTAACAAACAATTATTCTATCACACTTCAAGAAGCTAGTATCAAAGATGACACTATTAAACAATTAAATACTTTAAATCAATCTCTTAAAGATGAAAATAATAATTTATCTGAACAATTGGAATTTACAAAATCAATGTTAACCTCAAAAGAGTTTGAAAATGCACAGCTACAAAATCAAATATTTACTTACCAAAATCAATTAGATTCGTTACAACTGCAAATACAGCAATTAACTAATGACTCACCTATTAATATCAGACAAGATAGTAATATATTAGAAGAAACTGATGCTTTATTACAAAAAATTCCTGGCTTAGAGCAAAAAATAGAAGCATTACAGAAAGAGAGAGACCACATACAATCTCATTATGAGCATTATGTACATGAGTTAAATGAACAACTAAGATCTGAAATGATTAAAAATGAAAACCTTGCAAAAGACTTACAGAACTTATATAATAGAGAAAGTAGCCTTGTTGACCAAATAAGTGATATGGAAATACGTTTACAAAACTATGATATCAAAAATAAAGCTGATATGTGTAAACAAGAAGTGGAATTAGAAATACAGAAAGAACATCAAGAAGTTAAAGTAAGTGTTTTATTATTTTTATATTATTTAGCACAACCATGCAATTATATAACTTACATATTCTACGCATTCACCACTCTATCTCTACCATTATAAATGTGAAAGTTTGTACGTATGTGAGTATGTTTTGTTACTATTTCTTATCTAGGGATACACTTGAGCAAGGTGAAGGCAAGTCATAATAAAAAGTAAATGCTTTACTCATGTCTATACCTAGAGATAAACAGTAGAATATGTTTTATTTAAAAGTAGAATATGTGTTAACTTGTTTGTACTCCATGTCCTATCAGTACATTAAAAATCACTCAAATCTGCCTAGCTGTGTCAGCATAAAGAAGTAGCAAACATGCACACATGTATATTGGTAGGTACAAACTTTTGCAATTATATTCAATTATGGCTAATAGTGGCCAAGTTGTAGTTGGCCATCTGATAAATTTAAGAAAGGGCTGCAATGGTAATGTGGTGTCAAAAAAAACATGATTATAAGAATAAATAATAAATATGCCACAAATTTAAATAAAGTTTTAATTTCTTAGAAACACTAATAAAAAATATAAGAGTGCTTTACATACATTACTAGCTATTTTTTAATTTTAAAATGATGTACATTATGACCATAATGTTGGCTCTTAGCAAATTGGATGATTATTTTAAGCTGTAAAAAATAGAAAGCATGCTTGAATCTTGCAGACTTTTTTAAGCTTATAATATCATTTGAATTAAAACTAATACAATTTTATGGAATTGAATATTCAATGTACAAAAGAAATATTGTTCGCTTTGAGCCCGCACTATATATATATAATAATATAATAACTACCTCGGTGGTGTAGTGGCTAGCATGTACGGCTGCACACCCGGATGTCCTAGGTTTGAGTCTCGGGTCGGGCCAAGGTTAGTTATTGAGTCTTTCTGTATAGTAAGCAGTAATAGCCCGGAGTTGGGAAGTTGGGTGGTGTTTCACCTCCGTGTTTCGGAGAGCACATAAAGCCGTCGGTCCTGCGCCTTAACTCTCACTGTTCGTGTCGAGCAGTCGTCCCACCGGAGTATGAGAGTGAAAGGAATAGAGAATGCACTTGTCTATACATATAATAAAATTGTAACTAAGCCGAATCTGTACAATATTTTTTTGAAGTTCTTATTGGAATAGACATTATTATCTATACAGAGGCCAAATCTATAGTTTTTAGAATTTTTGTCTGTCTGTTACCGCATCACGGAAAAAGTACTGGATGGATTTTTATGAAATTTGGTATGATGATAGGTTGGTTGGTAAGAAAAAATGAGAAAGCACACTCAAATTTGTCAGATATTTATATTAAATATTCTTTTAATGGCAAACAACTGGAAACTATATTTATAAATCTCATTTAATCAAGAAATCTTATTTAATAGAATAGTGTAAAAATATTTTGAAGGTCCTCGTAATATTAGTATTAGTATTACAGAAAATCCATGAAAACGATAAAAAGCAAACTATGAACTTGTTGTTTTTTTATTATATCATATAATATTAAACGGGTATTTTTGTATATATAAATTTATTTTGTTCTGTTAACCGATTTGGATCAAATTTTGTATTTAGATAAGGTTTGCTTTTTAAGTTTATCTTTTTAAGGTGTCTTCTGAAAAAAACATATTTGTATCCTATACTATCTTTCCCGATTATAGCCGAGTGAAGCTCGGTCGCCCTTTTTCTATTCTTTATGTTACAGAAAATAACTCAATAGTCCAAACCGTTTATATTGAATAGAATTAAGTGATAGTAAATGCATAAGAAAAATTGTTAAAGATCGTATTCCTCCGTTCCTTCCACAGTGAAATTACGTTGATATTTTTATTCAGTATTGTTTTAATGTCATATATCAAACCTGGATGTATCAGCCAAGTCGTGGTAAATTTTAGTATGACCTATGATCATTGAATACGTATACAAAATTTGGTATCAGTGCTGTTGACCGTTTAGGATATCTCTCATTTGGAGCCAACTCTGAATGCAGCAGCCAAGTCATGGTAGACTTAAGAATGGACTCTGATAATAATTGAATGCGTATATATTTTGTGTGTCTACTGTTAGCCGTTAAGGAGTTGCTTCATTTGGAGCCAATCCTAGATGGAGAATCAGGTCATAAATTATTATCAAAAAAAGAAAAACATTTTCATCGGATCTGAACTAATATGTAAAAATTCAACTCTTTAGAATAAGAGGAAGTAGTTCTAATCTCGCTTGCAAGATTTGATCCATAAATAACATTGGAGTGTGTATTCCAACAAACATTGCAAGTTAAATATAAGTTTTTAAAACGTAAAGCTCTTAGCTAATACTTTAAGTTTGGCCACATAGACATTCAGCGTCGTATAGGCTTTCTTATTTTCAATTTTGTCTAATTTAAAAATAAAGTTATTTAACTTTATAAAGACCTCTATTTCTAATTAAATTAAAACTTTACCAAAATACATATTATATATGCCTTTATAACTATTTCAGGAACAACTTGAAGAAACTAACAAGAAATATAGTCAATTGAAGATGCAATACACAGAAAGTATCGAAAAAATTCAAGCATTACTACAGGAAAAAGACAGTATGAGTTGTAATGAAAATATTTGTAACCATGACAATGTTGATATTACCAAACTTACTGCAGACATAACAAGCGATAAATTAGCAGCTCAAAGAGCAACAGAACAGAATAAAAAGTTAAAACTTGATGTAGAAGGACTAGAGCAAGTCGTAATTAAAATGGTATGTATTACCCTGTGGTAGCTTTCGTGTGGTTCTCTGTGGCACTTAGTATCTGTGTACCTAATAGTAGAAGAGAGTTCATTCCATACATTAAATCTAATAGCAACTTTTATCAGGATGCAATAAAGTTCAATTTTCCTCACAGATAGCACACTGCACACACACTAGCACTGTATGAGTAATAATATATCTCTCTATTTCTTCTGACCTATCATGTGACGTAAGGGTTGTCTACAACTGTGTTGTAGCGCGCGCCCTTACAATTCAGTCGGTCCGCTCCTACCACACAGAATGACCCGCCCACGGGCTTGTTGCTTTGTATCTAAAGTATAAAAGGAAGAAAACCTGATATTTTAAATCCTGTTCTTTAAAATTGTTAAATCTTTACGAACATCGTCAATGCGAGTATACGTTTGTTCGTTTGTCTCCCTCGCGCGTATCGATGGTATCGATGTTGTTTGTTTCATACATCCAGGTAAATCCTGCTACATCAAGTGTCCTAAAAGGATTTATTTATTTATATTGTGTAGTGACAACCAAAATTCGTTTTCAGGGAAAAGATAAGCTAGAATTGACGGAAAAATGGACACATGAAAAACAACTTAATAAGGGGTTGGCACTTAAACTAGCTGAAGTTGAAGAAAATTTTAAGACCATTCATAACCAACTAAAGGCTAAGGATGATGAAATGATTAGATTGCAAAATGAATATCGGATAGTAGAACAAAAACATGAAAAAGCTTTGCATGAATTAGATCAAATAAAATCAAGTTCAAATGTTACACACAATCATGAATTGCCAAGTGAAGAAAGTCATAATAATCATTTCGACAACAATATAGAACACACAGAAACATCACAAATGTTATTGCAGCCAGTTCCTACAGAAATAAAAATAAACTCTACCGATGCCATGCGCATACAAAAAGAGGACGCCATGGTTAAGCTTCAGGAACGCTTTTTGAATATTATGGACGAAGTTGCCAACTTGTCTGACGAGAAACATAGACTCGAACATATTATATTGCAGTTGCAAAACGAAACAGATACAATCTGTGAGTACGTAGCCCTCTACCAACAACAGAGAAGCTTATTAAAAAAAAGAGAAGAAGAAAGAAGTAACCAACTAAAAATATTCCAAGCTGAATGTGATAAACTAAAGCGCCATTTAGAAGAACTAAGTGATTTGCTCTTGAGATTAGCCGCTGATGAGCAACTAGCCTCATTTTTAAAAGAAGAATCGAAACACAACGATTTGGCTCGTGTAAAGGAGCTGCTTCAAAAATTACAAAATTGCTCATTGATCAACCCAAAATTTAAAAATTTACATTTAAATGTTTTCTACCCATGCAATTGTTGTTCTGGCCAACTCATAGATATTTGAAAATGGTGTGATGATTCATGATGAGAATTCCAATAACAATGTTTTTATAATCTTTAATTTAAAGAAAGGATTACATGTTTTTGCCGATATTTTGCAAAAAATGCACATATTTTTATTTTATAAACGTGATAAAATAATAATATAACATTAAATATATTAATATATCTATAAATTAAATAACTATAGCTTTTTTATACACATGTTAAATATAAGAAAGATAGAGGCAAAGATCCAATGACTATCAATTATGCGTTGATGCGGACGATCGAACTGATTATTAAGAATGATGGTAGGATAGATAGATTGTTGGGGAAAATTATTAAAGTATAAGGTAAATAATAAATAAAATATTTTTTTTATTCAGCCCCTTTATGTCATTCTCTATTTGTTTCTATCTTTCAGTTCTTTTTTATCAATTTGTTGTGGAACAAAAGTTCCATAATAAATATATTCTTGCCTCTCGTTCATAATCATATCCATAATCGTTACGTTTTTTATATTAATAATATGACATTTTGAATAGTTTAAAAAGATTCGTAAAAATTTAGCCTTAGAAAACCGGAGAAAGCTCGAACTATGGAAACCTAAAATGAATAGTCTCAATTGTAAATTCGAACTTCCCTGAGACTCTCCTTTTGCATTTCACTGGCGTGGTAAATGTAGACAAAATCATGTGTATATTGATATTAAAGAATTATCGTATTCTCGTACAATGTGCTGCTTCCAATCAATCATCGTGCTGTTTCGCTTCGAAATGAGCGATTCTCATTTAGTAATTTACAATTCTTTTGAATTCGAATCAAAATATACATTACTATAAGAACCATCGGTTTAAAGTAAAGTTTTGTTGAAAAAATATTTTGACAAAGAAATAATATTATAAGGAATCTTCACAGGGGCTCTAGCCATAAATTGTGCGCACCCTTCTTTATTACCGACCTTAAAGTAGGAGGTATTCGATTCATCTGTATTTTTTTGGCAAAAATAATTTAAATATGGGTACAATAAGCGAAACAGTAATGGGTACGGCGCCTCTAAGTTCTTCATTCTAAAGTTTAGAAGAATGTATAGTATAACATATGTAGGTACACATATGTTAAAAAATATAATATGTATAATGTATAAGTAATTATGAGCATGATTTTATATTAGAAATTAATAAAATTATTTTATAAAATTTCTAGCTGTCATAATCATTAACTCATTTCATTTAGTTTAGATAAAGCAGGTGTCATATTCAAAGAATATTATCCAGTGTTATCTTGGGTCATAGCATTATATGACTTATGAGTAAATATATACGCCCTGTTTTCCAATTACAGAGCATAATGCCGCACTTTGGCGCACAAACACGAAAAACGCGAAAAAACACTATATTTTGACTACTGAGTTGGTTGGTCACTCACGCCAAAGCAGTACTTTTCAAAGTGCTCGATTGTGCGGAGCGTTGCTGTAGTTGAAAAATTCGAAGTTGACATTATGCCGCATAACGCGCTTTAGTGCTGTACTTGGAAAACAGGCACAGATGTATACACAAAATTTCTAAGGAACAAACAAAAATTTGTGCCTCTATTTTGATTGTTAGATGAAGTAGAAAAAATTTATTTAATTAATATAAAGGCGAAAGTTTCCGAGTAGTGTTCAGTACGTTTATATCGCGCTGTAACGACTCATATTTTGGAATAAACATACAAAAAATAACTTGTAATATTTTTTACCATTAATGTCATATTTTCATTTACTTGAATGTATCTTTAGTATTTTATTTTCTAGACATTTAATGTAGAAAATTATAGCCTGTAATTTAAAAATGATAATATAATGTATAATATGCAGTTGTGGGCTGTAGCAACTGACAAATAAACTGTGTGAATATAGAAATAATAATCTTGAATCTTTGGAATAAATAAAATACGCATACCTGATCTTCTTTGTTTTATCCAAATCAATCAAACAAATGTTATAAATTATTTACTCTAAATATTTGTTTTATTGTTTCGGTTTTCATTTATTTTCTTATTTTCTATATATAACATTACCTATGAAATAAATAAAACGCATTTACTTTAATTATAATTTAAAAATAGTACGTCAATTTCTGATGTATCTATTCAATTTGTTCATTTAATCGACATTTTGCTTTAGTCTTGCGTTTCTTAACAAATATTGTGTACATAAATTTTAACCTACCTTTAATCATTGTAGAATTAACTTGAAATACATGTTTATATTTATGGTGATGGTCCAATAATTTGGCAGTGGAAAAAAGGTAGGACGTAGATAGTGGAACTGTGAAATAGCGAAAATAGTAAATCCTTCCGATATAATTTTCTTGAAAACAGTGCATTCTTTGTTAAAAAAATCTTCAAAAATATAGTACTTCCTGCTTTTAGAATTTTTAACGTAAGAAAAACATACTTATATAATAATATATATTATATACACAAACATAATACCTATAATGTAACTTAGGATTGGTGATGAAAAAAAATTGTATTCATTTTTGAGAATTTTTATTCACATTCACAATGAAAGTCTACACGCTATTTTGAATTATAAACTCCAGGCGATGTCTAATATCATTTAAAATTTTTAAATGTTTATGGTCTAGTAATATTTTTTTTCTTGACTTTTATTCTTTGAGGTCAATTAAAATAATATTTTACATATTGTACAGATGTAAATTATTTACCAAACCTCAAATAAGCAACAAGGGTTCCCTATAATATTTCGTGATTAGCGAAATAAGCGTACCTACTAAATAAATTATGACTGGCTCTTCATGGCTTTCAAAATTAATTTATAATTACGGTAATTATCGTTTTCCAAACGATAACCCCTAACGTATGTACAACCAGTAGCGTAGATATAGGTGGCGATTGGCCCTGGTTTGTTTGATAATGATGGTATCCTCATCATTATTACATGATCATCTCATTACCATCCCCAATATCACTCATATTAGCCACGCCACTGTGTATAATTAAATTAGGCCATGTAAGTAATACAGGTAATGTAAAGGTGCTTCCACACAGGAGTTGAAAAATGTAAGTAAACATTTGTTAGTGAACATTTCATAACAAAAACATTTTATAACAAAAGTTATTAAAAAAATTTTTAATAAATATTTTCTAAAATTTGCTAACAAAATAATTTGAAGCAAAATATAACAATTTGTAACTTTTGTTAGAAAACATTAAATCCGAGGACAGCGGGTGGTTATAAAATGTTGGGAAGTGTTCTACAACTTGTTTTATCAGTATGGAAGCTTTGAAAACATCTAATAATAGTTAACATGTAACTGAATGTTATAAAACTTTTCATGTTAAAAATGTTATGTGAGGTTATCCATTTTTTTAACTGTGTCGAAGCACCATAATAATACAAATTATAATGAGTAATGACTATTTTTTAACGAATGTATGGAAGTCTTTTGTTTTATATAACATAATATATTCTAATTTTCAACATATTACACCAAAACCAATAATTAACAAGCATTCTGTATCAAATATCTACCATCCTCTATAATAATTTTATAATATTTGGAAGATTTATTTTCTAAGTACCTACCTACATACATTGTCTTCTTATATACACACAACACGTCATTTTAGTAGTTCATGACTTCAAGAGCAATTATTTACGATATCGTAAATAAATAGTAAATTAATGGAAATAACTACGAGGTAACTAGTTTCAAAGTAATAAATAATATTTGGTGTTTAATATTTTACTAGAATAACTTAAGGAGCTTTTAGCATAATTTAAATTAGCTAATAAAATTTATCTTCGAACAGATATCTGAAAGAATAAAAGATAACATTTTAATTGCATAACACAAACATCATATATTTAGGGATGTTCATATATAATTTTTAAAATGTACGTTTTATCGACACAAGACGTGACGACAATATTTTGAGCCTGATATAGAAGCTAGACAGATTTGTATCTGTAATAAAACTTAAGAACCTTGGGCGGGAAGGATATATAGCACTATTGACGATTTCATTATAAGCAGAGAGTAAGATTTCGAAAAACATATGATAAAAAATGTTTACGAAATTTTACATATAATATAACTATTATAATATAATATGTATATTTACCTGGAATTACCGAGTAACTATTTTTCTTTCTTAGGACTATCTACAACAGCTTCTTTAATTGGCTGAAAATAAACATTACATTATTGTATAAGAAAAATTAATTTTATTATTTACTTATTTTAAACTTCTAAAATTGATAACCTTTCTTAACATTAATTGTTATGCTACATAGTACAGTCATTTGTTGCTCAAAAAAGAGGTTTTATAGAGTTCGATGTGCTCTTTCCGAATTTCAATTGCTCACACCGCCATATTGAAAAAATGGTAACTAATTACAGTTTTTGACAATATCTCTATTTCCATTCATTTTACGATAAAAGAGAAGAGAAAATTTCTTACAATGATAATAAGAATGTTTTTTGTAAAATCGATGGTTTTGGCGTGCAATCGCCGCAAAGTGTACTTCGTGCGTTTTATCTAAAAAAAATATTTCCACATAACTATGAGGTAGAGTAAGTGGCGCGTTTTTTTATCGTGGTATTCTATCCCAGTAGGCCTTATCCAAATGCAATGCACTATTACAATATTTAGCGCATTCTCCTTAGCTTCGCAATTCTTGATGGAACAGGTGTTGCGCGTTCATCGCCTACAGTACCTATAGAATGGTTACACATAGGAATTTTTTCAACATCATCCGGGATGGGATTATTAGCTTCATTGCAAAACTCTTCTTTCTCGATTTCGAACAGTCTTCGTTTCTTTCTCTTTACCCTATCTGGTTAGATAAGCGAAGGAGAATGTGCTAAACATTATAATAGTGCATTGCATATGGATTAGGCTTACTGGGATAGGATACTACGATAAAAAACGCGCCACTTAGTCTACCTCAAAGTGATGTGGAAGTGAATTTTTTTTTAGCCAAAACGCATGTTGAAGTGCACTTTGCCGCGCTCATACGCCAAAATTATTGATTTTACAGAAAACATGTTATTGCATAAACTGTAGGAAATTTTCTATAGTTTAATTTTATATACATATAATGTTTTTACCGGAAAATTAGTCGGAATGGACTTATTGTCAAAAAATGCCATCAGGCGCCATTTTTCCAATATGGCGGCGCGAGCAGCAAAGATCGCCAATTTTCAAAACTTCAGGTAAAACTACCAAATGACTGGATTAAGTACTTAAAGCATAACAATGATAAGACTTGATTTGATTATAAGACTATAAGTCAACTTACCTCAAAATATCTATGATAAAGCACAACTCCATATACACAGCCAATTGAGACTAGAATTTGTATGACTAGCCATACAATCACATTACACACTTGCGCTTGTCCAAACAGTTCCTTGCCGTTCTTAATGCATAGCATGGACTCCGTTACCATTATCGCACCATACACCCAACATTGGGTTCCAACACGTTTGCATCTTGGATCAGTAACATAAGTATAGTATTGTCTGAAATAAAATATAATATTATCCGATTATAACAAAGTGAAATGATCCGACTTCGGCGAAGCCCAACAGAGGGTTATGTGTTTACCTGTATGTATGTACATAAATGTCTTTGTTCCCCGTAATTACTAAGCGGCCTAACCGATTTTGATGATTCATACGTCATTAGATTCGTCTTGGTAACACAAGTGTAAGGTAAAAGGAAATTGTTAAACGATACAAAAGAAATGCTAATTGACCAAACTAAAAAGCTGTAAATAAAGAAAAAATAAAATTAAGAAACGCGATTGTATAAAAAGCGAACTGAAAATAAAATCAATCCAATTATTTTCCCTTAAAAACCTCATTTGGGCTATTACTAACATTGTTAAACAAATTAGCCAAATCGCTCCAGCCGATCTTAAGTCATACGCTTAGCAACAAACATAATTCCATTTAATTATATAGATAGCCTAGCATTGCCCGCGGCTCCGCCCGCACTCAGATGACCGAAAAGCAAATTCTTAGGTTTTTCATATTAGTGCTCTTACAATGCAGTTTTTGTATTTTTTCTCAGAAATAAGATATTTTTTCGAGGTAAAAAGAATCCTATATGTTGACTCGGATAACCAGTTATCACCATACCAAATTTGATCAAAATCCCTCCAGTGGTTATTCTGTGATGCGCTAACAGGCATACAGGCAAAAATTCTAAAAACTATAGATTCGTCCTTCGTGTATCAAAAATATTTAATGTACAGATTCGGCTTAGTTACAATTTTATTATATGTATAGATAGATTATAGTTTTGATAGAAAACATCTGATAATAAACTTTAATTAGACTATCAATCACAATCCCATATTGTGTTTCGCATGTAAATGCTGAATTATGACCAGTTCCGTCTTTACCATAAGGGCACAAGCCCAGAGCCCCCAGTTAGCCGAAAAGAAAACATTTTCGTTCATATGGAAAATATAGGAGCTCAATTTTTAGGTTATACACTGCACTGTATTAAAGGAATAATAATAAGTTCCTTCATCAGCTTTTTCCATCTTTTTAGCTGAATTCTTTACGCAATCGAGTGTTTTGTTATTTTTTGTAGTTTACCAACATTTTTTTATCATTAAAAAAATATGCAAATTTAAAGATAAAATATGTACTGCAAGTGTCGTAGTAGACGATTGTGCGTTGTTTATCACACCTTGGGTCTTCTGCGCGATGGCTAATAAGTAATCAACAGCATTCCCAAAGAGGGTTGACTTTGATCAGTCGTAAATTTTTTGCCAAAAACATCAGCAGTACAGAAGATGTACTGCGCTGACCCCAAGTAATTTGGGAAGTGGGCAGAAGGATGATGACTAAATTTTATTACTCACATTTTTCACCTTTCGAAATTGCCCCAAATTATTGTGTGCCCAGATAGTGCCCTAGCCCTCGCATGGTATAAGTAATAAGACGGCCCTGATTATGACTAAAACGACAAGGTGTGCGCATTGTGATCTACTTGCGATGATTCCAAGAATAAGCAATCGTTAGTAACAATTATTATTAGTTAAGGGATAATTTTTAGGGTAATCCGTAACCGAATCGTGCCAACGGAACTCTATTACTAAGCCTTCACTGTCCATCCGTCTGTTAAGAGAGCTGTATCTCATTAACCGTAATAGGTAGAGAGTTGAATTTTTTACAGAGTATGTATTACTTTTGCCGCTATAACAACAAATAATAAAAAATAAAAATATGAGAATCATTTTTTTAACGTTCGTAATCGTTCATAAAAGTTAATATACTACATACATAGAGTAAAAGTTATATTAATAAAAAGTACATGTACGATGGTACGGGACCCTTCGTGTGCGAATTCGACTCGCACTTGACAATATATTGAACATTCCATAGAAGCTTTTGAGAAAGATAAATAGGTGACTAATATTTAGACTGTGAATTATGCACCATAAAGAATTCAAGTACATTGAATTAATACCAACCTTACTGAAGGTGCAACTATAACCCCAATTAGACACAGTCTAGCTAAAACAAGAGGATGTGAGGGTGGCATTTGAAATATATGTTTTAAGAAAAATGTGTTTAGTTCTGATATCTGCCAAAATACAACGAGTTGACTGAGTGCAAAGAACCTCATATAAGTACATGTGGGGTCTAGCCACCGTACTGGCGTCCATTGAACTGGCGTAAATTGTAGAATGGCCCTTTTAATTTTTCCTGTAGTAGATGATATATCTCTAAAAACATAAAAGAGGTTTGAAATATCTATTACAAGGTAAATATTACAAATGATTACTTAATAATCTACCACACACTTACCTAATACCAACCCATTTGTATTCTCTCATTTCCAGTGCTTTACAAATCTTGAGGCCACACCAAATGCCAAAGCCATTACAGATAAGAACATCTAATATAACAGAATCCCACCAACACTCCAAAAAATTTGGTAGCAAATGTGCAAATGCAATTTCTGTTATCTCCCACATAATTGATATAGCCCACAACAATCCAGTGTGTCTAAAAAGTATAGCTTTGAACATCCATCCCAAAAAGTGACCCCATGCAAATACATCTACATGAGACCAGATTCTGGATAAACTAATGTCTGAACAATTAACTGCATATTCCTGAAACAAAGTCACATAAATAATGCAAATAAATTATTAATATGACAAGTTACACATTCTTGATTACTGAACTGATCATTTCATTATGTTATTTATATAAACTATGTCCAAATATACTATTATCCCAAATGATGAAAAAATTTTTTGTAAGAGCATACTACAATATATTAAATAAAGGAAATAATTTTTTAAGTAAAAACTTTTTTAGAATTGTTGTGATTTGAAACTTGATGAAATGGAAATGTGACACTAAAAAGAGACAAACACATAAATATAAAGGATTAAGCCGGCGAGAGAATGAGATAGAATACATTGCCATGTTGCCATGATAAATGTTTTTATTGTCAGACAAATATATAATATTATATTCTTTTGGTTTAAGATATTCTATATATATATATGTATATATATATATATATATATATATATATATATATATATAATAAATTAACCTTATAATTATCCTACTCCTGATACTCTATATTCATCTCATTCTCTCATAGGTTACTTTTCTGAAGTTTCACTTCTACCATAATCTGCACACACTTCGCTTTTTTTTAATGAAATTTATACTTTTCAAAATAATACTTTCTTATTATTCCAATATTTCAAATTTTAAATAAAACTATCTTTTCAGTGTGGAAACAATAGGAAGCAAAAATAAAAATAAATCTGCGAAAAAATCCAAAAAGATAGTTTTATTTATAATGCTTATGAAGACAAAACTATGTGAATATAATAGCGAGTGAAGTTTGTAAAGAATATTAAATTTTGATGGAACCCATTAAATATTATTAAAAATATTTAATTAATACATGAGTGCTACCTGGACTCTTTTTATTTAAGTCATATTATTTTGAACAATAGTTTGCTCACCTTGTCCATGTCAATATTAAAATTCCGTAAGTTTGGATCTATCCAATACATTATTTCATAAACAGTAGAATAACTTTGAAATAAAAGAAATAGTAATGCCAGTAAGTAAAGAACTGACATGCCAAATACAATTCTCCAAACAGCTGGATGTGGTCTTGTAAATGGACCATTAGGAAATGTAAGTACTGATACTATTAAGAAGAAGAAAATTACACAGCAAATTCCTGACCAAATGTTATCTTGTGTATTATTTTCATCCCTGGAAAAAGGCAAGCTGTTATTAATATATCACATAAAATGTTAATAATTTTCAGTCAGTAGATATAATTATTGAAATAATTTATTATTATATTAATAATTTTACAAGAAATATTGATAGAGCACTTTTTTTAATTTCATATAATAAAAATTGATGCTACTACTTATACCTTACAAATGCTGTATAGATAACAGAGGCAATTGATACTGCCAATAGGGTTATGGTATGAGGTTTGTAAAAAAAATTTAATGATATATCATCCACTGGTCTTTCATTTATGTAACTGAAAGCGTCTTTGGATTCGTCAGGAACAGCAGGATTTCCTAAATCCATTGTGTCTTTGTGCAAACTCCAATATTTTAACTTAATATTTTTTTATTCCTAGAAAGTTTTTAACATGCAGCAAAGTGCATCTATAATCATCTCGTGATACATAAATTCATATTATCTAAAGAAAAAACTTATGAACCCACAGACACAAGCAACTTAGAAAATTCACAATTTCACTAAATTTGAACAATGTGGTAATAATTTAATGACAGTTACTGTCAAATGTCAGAAATTTGTGTTTTTATTTTACTGATACAAGACAAGGCTTTTGAGAGAATTTAGTTATGGTTACACCTCGTCCATCCGCTCTAGATTAAGATTTTCATAGAATAAGAGAGACGCAAAGTCAGCGTCTGTTCGGCCCACCCGGCATCCGCCGGCCGAGTATGTAATCAGACATTAAAGGAGCCTCAAATCGGCTACATGTCTCACATTTAGTTTTATTTTTTTTCTCAAATTAATTTTAAGTTAGTATAAATAGTTTTCAAAACGCTCCGAAACCAAAAGTGGCGCAGCCGGTAGGATTTTCTTATAGACTCTTATAGAGTCGTAGAGATCCGTCGAACCAAATAAATATTCTTTTGTGTTGTGGGAAGCAGAGAAAACCGAATATGGGAGTAGCGGTCATGTGGTGAGTCAAACTTTTCGCCAATCCTTGTTCCGCTAATCCTCCTGTATTTTTCATGTTAATTATAAGTAATTGTTATTTTTGAGATCAAACCTTGCTCATTATAACTTTGTTAAGCTGATATCACCGTATGAATTCTTCGGTCTCATCTTTCTTAGAATAGGAACATAGATTACTTATGAACATAGAGACTTCGTTTAATAAAATTAAATATTGAATTGATTTAAAGAAATTACATAAATGTATTAAATTGTTACATAATTAAATATATAATAATGTTTAAATTTAAAGGAAATTAATAAATACTTAAATGATTTTACAGTATATTATTTTATAACTTTTAGAAATTATATTTTAATAAAATTTCTTTTAATTTTTTAAATTTTAGTTCTTTTAAATTGTTTTTATTGTGTGTGTGTGTGTTTTATTATAAAATTTTAATTTTATAATAATTTTTCATTGTGTGATTTTTTGTAAAAGTTTCTTATTATTTAAAGTTCATATTTAAAGCCAGTTGCATCCTCTAATCATTTCATTACTCTATCATCATGGCAACCACTACCGTATCATCAATATTAAAACAAATTATAGATTTAATTCCTCTGTATAGTGGTGATAAAAGACAGCTAAATCTTTATTTAAGAGATGATGCAGCTGCGCTCTTGTCTGGACGAGAGGACATTGTTACATGGTCCACATTGAAAGCCTTGTTAATCAAACATTTTGGAGACCCTCGTAGTGAAGAGTACATTAATATCGAGTTAGAATCTTTAAAAATTAATCCAGTTGAAACTTTTCTTATTTTTTTGTAATAGCATATATAAGGTGTTCGGTCGCTATTAATGTCGAAGGTGATTTCCATTCAAAATTCAGATTTAAAACTTGTAAATTCAGTTATATATGGACTATAGTAATACAGATCTAAACGTGTTTTTATATAACCTCCCGGAAAATATAGTGTAATAAAAATAATAACTGGTAATCTGGATCACGATGACGCGGTTAAGTACGACGGGCTTATCTCTAATTTAAATCATAATCAAATTACTATTTCAAAGAAACTGACAATAGTCTCTAAAACGTTTGATAGTTTCATTAATGTAACTGAAACAATGAACCAGAACTCTGTTCACTTTCATAATCGTTTATATGATTTAAATTTAATTTTTAATTCTGTAAGCTTAACTTAACGTATAATAATTTGTTTTAAGATATATTCATTAGCAATTTTTCATGAACCTGAAAACAAAACTCTAGCCATATTCCTAAATATCCTTACCTTTTGGCGAAATGATTAAAGTACTTACCACTTGTTAAATCATGTCCTTCATTGTCGACCACCGATCAATTCCTATGCACTGCAGACAATCGAGCTTTATATTATGAACGTACCTGTATAGAACAGCTCATGACGACTTGACTCCCATAAGCAGCATCAGGTCCAGATCGAAGAAGTTAAGATTTAGCAAATTAATTCAGATGGCTGGCTCCTCTACAGTACAAAACACTGACCAAGCAACACGGCCATGAGGTCAGTAAGCAATTTCTATTTGGCACTTACCTGATGACTATCGATGAACCCTGTGACCTGGAAATTCATGGAGTTCGCTTTCACCATAGAACTCTAATATAATCAAATGTTATTAAGAAGATTCCAATTATTACACTACCCCAACTCAAAGCGGATATGACTCTATCTAGCGCAAGTGTACTCAACATGAAAGGAATTAGTTTTGATAAAGTGAAATATATGGCCTTTTCGTTGAAACATAGTGCGGTAATTTAAAGTGTTTTAAATAATAAGAAAGACAATAAAATCAGTGAAATTTTAGGTTACGTAACATTTGTTTTAATAGTTTTAAGTCTTTTTATCTTAATATTTTATATAATTTGGCTAAAATCGCCAATATGTTTATCGTTTAAGCAAAATTATCGCAAAGAATCTCAAATCGATCCTCCGATAATTTTCCTCTCAGGGATGGAGGAGTTATGGTTACACCTCGTCCATCCGCTCTAGATTAAGATTTTCATAGAATAAGAGAGACGCAAACTCAGCGTCTGTTCGGCCCACCCGGCATCCGCCGGCCGAGTATGTAATCAGACATTAAAGGAGCCTCAAATCGGCTACATGTCTCACATTTAGTTTTATTTTTTTTCTCAAATTAATTTTAAGTTAGTATAAATAGTTTTCAAAACGCTCCGAAACCAAAAGTATTTAGGTAAAGTAATAATAATAAGTAGGTAAACCATAAATTATTTTTTAAAAATATGTATCATTGGATATGAATTAATACTTATACAGCTACATTTGTATACTAACGAACCAAGGTCTAAGACGAAGTCTTATATTAGTTTTATTTTCAACCTAATCAAATCATCCTTAAATCAAAAAACTCTAAGCACTTTTTCCCGTTGTTGCTTTGTGAGCTAAATCGTTGTTTTGTTTCTGTTTGCTTCTTAGAATTTGCGTATGTATTGGCCGACCTGGGCCAATGACTACAAAAGAGGGCGCCATACGTATCGCCTATTTACATTTAGTCTGCGGTTAAGCAATCTATTGTGATATTTCTTTTAAACCTGGTTTTTTGCTTCTATTGTGTTCGCATCTTACCCGTGCAAGTTATTGTACCTGAAAATTAGACCAGTTGAAAGAAGAATTTGCACAGCCATAACCAGTGGTCGTAGGTGGAGTGGTGGTAGTGTGGAGGACGTATTCCTTATATGATACAGGCATCCAATAAGAAAGATTTTTTCGAAATTCATTCCCTAATAGGGTAAAATAGGGGATTAAAGATTGTATGAAACTCTGTCATTCTTAATGTGAAATACACACAAAGTGGTGTTTAGTTGTAAGATAATAATTAAAAAATGTTTTTAATTTTATTTTCAAAATTTATTCCTTAAAAGGGTAAAAGGAGATAACATAGTTTATATGGGCAAAGAATTATTTATAATCAGAATTACTTGAAACTGGTGTTAATGCTCTTTAATCCATTTAAAGAAATACGAGTTTTAGAACTTTTCCTAATTTAATCCTGTGGGTGACTTATACTATTATAAATTTAATTTATCATATTTATATATTAAACTTTTCATTCAATAATATTTATATATTATTTTATGTTTAATTTACGTATCTATACTATATACGCACCTATATACATACATACAACACGCGTACATAATTATTTACGATAATCTTTACATCCTGGGGCTGCACAATTTGTCATTTTAATTAAATTTTAAAGAAAATGAAAAAATCAATCCACGCTTTAGAGCTTTACAATATACTGAGGGCCATAGTGATAGAAACATCTAGCGGGAGAAAAAGGCAAACTACTTCCCCATTAAATAAGTAAGTTCTATCTTATAACCTAATGTTTTCCACATATTTATGGAGGGTAGAATTAAGGAGAACTATCGCTCGTATAAAAAGTGACCGATGACAAGCATCAAATTGGTGGCGCCACAGAAAACAAGTAGATAAATTTAAAACATAACGCTAAAATAGAGCCGGATTCAGCCGTGGCGCCGCCCCTGGGCACTGTAAAAAATGCCGCCCCAATTATCGAAATTTTGCATAAAATAGATAAAGTTTTGATAAAGTTTTTTTTAGTTAATAATTTTTTGAAAATTATACTATAATATAAATGCAAAAATATAATTCATAAACATTTACAATTTTTCGAAAAATGTGCATGGTAATAATTTTTAATTATATATTTTTTGGAAAATAAAAAAAACTTTCGATAACGCGAAGATAATTTTTTCGCATCCTCCGAATTTTGCCGCCCCTGAAAATTTGCCGCCCTGGGCGCTAGCCCCGAGTGCCTCTGGTGTAAATACAGCATTGCGCCAAAAGCAATAAGAGTAATTGGTAGTGAATTAAACAAGGAAAGAAAGATTTCAACTTTTTTGTGTTTTTATTAGTCATCCATGGTTGTGACGCACTTTTCAAAATAGTTCTAACATAGGCAAAAACCGATTTAGAATATAATTACATATTAATTTCAAGTAATAATAATTCAGCACACTTCATTCCGTTTAAAACTGCTAAATTCATATCACTTCTACTTACTTGCATCGGTAGACGGTAGCGTTATATCGCTGAGTTTCTGAATTACAATTTGCTGCTCATAACTGGACACTTTTTCAACTTGTCTATACTAATATTATAAATGTGAAAGTTTGTTAGTAGGTATGGATGTATGTTTGTTACTCTTTCACGCAAAAACGACTGAATGGATTTTGATGAAACTTTACAATAATATAGTTCATACATCAGAATAACACCGAGAATACTTTATATCCCAGAAAAATGTACGGTTCCCGTCGGATAGATTTGTTTTTGTTTTTTTAGAGGCAAAACTAAGCGAAGTGAGGGTGAGCCGCTAGTTTCTCCTTAGTTCCGTTAAATACATTATTGTTTAATTATTTATAAATAAACAATTTACGAACAAACATTTATGGGGAACAATCAAGAACAAACGACGAACAAAAAACTATATGTGGAAATAAAAATTAGAAAAAAATAAATACTGGGACCCAGGTTTGGTGAGCCTAAAAATCTTTAAGATTTACTAGAATGTGACAGAGGATAAAAAATGTTCAATAAATGAGGGCTACCTATCGTTACTGGGTGTCCTTTCACTTGCGTTAAAAAAATATATTTGTTAGTTTGGCAGGGTCATAAATTTAATATAATACTTAATATTTGTTAGCGCGGCACCAGTTTATCAGGATTTTATTTTACACACTCAATATAAAGGATGGTTCGAACGTTGACGTCCAAAAATAAAATTTAGGTCGATTGTATTGTAGGGTATCCGAATCACCCCCATGTATGTTACGCGAATCTTCATAGTTTGAATTTTGAATTTTTTTCTGAAGTTTTGAGAACTTGCAACCTGATCAACTTAAAAAATTTCAAAAAAGAAAATAGAAGACTTTGTCGTGATTTGTTTTGTGCAATTAAAACTTCATAAGTAGTACTTTTATGAATAAAATAATCAGCTTCGTAACTGTGATTAAAGTTATGAAAATGTCGGTCTTAAGTGAAAAATTTACGTTCGATCAATTATGACTAAAATTTTCAACTTTAAATAACAAAATCTTAGCGGGTGTCTTCGTTAGAGTATGCATATGTATATACGAGTAGGTGTCATCATGGTTCCTAAGTAGACTAAAGAATGCGCCAGACTTTTGCAATCATTAAAAAAGGTAGTACTTAATGGGGGCTACTTTGGCTAAAATCGGCCTTCAAAGACAGCGAGGTGGAAAATTCATAAAATTAGCCATCTGATTAAAAATAAAATATTTTGCTCATTTTATCGTTCCTATATCCTATAGGATAGCTTCTTAATTACAATGAAAAAAAAATTGATGAAAAAAAATCTGAACATTTAATTGTCCCTTGTTTTGAATAATTTAAAAACTTATATAAAATATTCAAATGAAGAAGAACAAGAAAAAGCGAGAAATTTTACTCTTAACTGTAATTTTTGAAAAAAAAAAGACCGGAAACTACGTGGAGACGAAAATAAGCACGGAAACTTCAATACGCAAGCTTTTCCCCAGTTCACGACTTGATTGGTAATATTAGCGTTTGATTCCTCATGTCGAGGATTCAGTTTTTTTTATAACAATTGATATTCTTTAATTATTATAATATAAATTAATTACTATTTTTTTCAGATTTCAGATACCTATTAAAGTTTGTGAATAATTAGTTCCATTCAATTGGATCAAAAAAATCATTACTTTCCTAAACAAGATAATATACTAACTGCATAAAATATATAGGTAGAAAAAAATAGTCAATCATTTTTTTTTAATTATAGTTCTCTGGCGTGTTAGGGAATAATTATGAGAATAAATTTCTCATGATGCGACAATTTTAGACTACAATATGAAGTTAGTCGTTAAATCTCCCTTTCAATAATGTAAAGTGATGTCTATATTCAAGATATTTATTCCTAGACATGGGTAACTCAATGAATTTTTATGAGCTGCAGGTCAGCTCATGAGTCATATGCTTGAACCGGAGCTGTGAACCGGCTCACAGTTCAGCTCAATTGATGTTGTATGACTTATAACTATAGATTTACAGCTAATTTATGACTCTGTTCAAACAAATGACATGTATGATGTACCTAAATTATATTTGTATGTAATAAAGCAACATTTCGAAAAAAGTTATTATAGTCATATTTTTTCGTTCTTACACAATTATAGGGGAATGCTAATTTCATGCAATTATTATAAATGCTAGTGAGTTTGTTTGTTACGCTTTCACGCCTTAACTATTCACCTGAATCCCGATTATCATTAAATACAGACAGAAAAGGACATAGAGTACCTACCTACTTTAATTAACGTAGGTACCGACTACCGTAGTTTCCTGTATCACGCAAGCGGAGCCGCGGGCGAAAACTAGTTATTTATATTTAATCTATAAAACTATTACTTAATATTAGTTTATTGTTGTATAAAACTAAGTAGTAGAACTGCCTTCCGAGACGGTGGTAACTTCCGCACAAACTAACTACACTGAAAATTTAAAATGTAAAATTGACGATTCAAAAGTGCTTGTAAAAGTCTATTTGAATAAAGTATATTTAGATTTTATCCTGATATTATTTTAAAACACGGAGCGTGTAATTAATTATTATTATTATAAGAATAAAAAATATTAAACAATTAATTTGACCTGTCTGTAAAAAGTATAGATTATAGACTATAGTACAGGTCCGTCGGCTCGGGTCCATCGAAATAGCTGACGTTAGGTGGCGCTGAAGTGATGCACGGAGCCATATTAAGTAATATTGAGCTGTGAACCGATTATCTAGCAACTGAGCCGCAGCTCAACGGCTCTAGCTACTGTGAACTGAATATTTGAACCGGCTCTGAGCTGAGTTACACATAGTGATTTATTCCTGTATTTCTGTATTCACAAGACTTGCCTTAATATATCGATAATAAAGAATTACAAGCTTATATTTAGTTTCACCTGTCCCGGTGTATGTCTGTAATCTAGTCTTGCAAGTTAAAGACCCAGTTCACAGTATCCAATTGAGCTGAAATTTGGCACACACGTTTGGTTCTCGTGACAATGCTATTTCTCTATTGCCTAAATGGCGCTATTTTTAATCCAATACGGTGAACGTTACAAAGTGGCGATTTATATGTAATTTCCACATTAACCTCTATGATATGGGTATCAAATGAAAGGACTAGTTAAGCGAAATACGATGAGTAAAGTAACGTCATTGCAAAGTAGTATTGGCATGCAGGGTAAAATTTTTGTTTTGTTATGCCAAAGATGTATAACTTCTTACGTGCGTACATATGTAAGTACAAACTTTAAAAAAAAATTGAATAAATTGAAAAATACGCGACTCGCGATGAGGAATCGAACACTGAACCTCCGAGGCTTCGGACAAGTATTGACTTACCTATTCTAGCACCGGGATACTCGTTCAATAGATGGTAGTATGTAAATGGGAAATGTGCTCATCAGAGCTATTTTATATAATGAAGCTTTACGTATTAATAAAATTGAACGAATATGGATAAATTGTTTTTAATATTTAGAACAATATAATCATATTTGTGCACGTATTATAATCACTACATAGTATAAAACAAAGTCGCTTCCCGCTGTCCCTATGTATGCTTAGATCTTTAAAAGTAGGTACGCAACGGATTTTGATGCGGTTATTTTTAATAGATAGTGATTCAAGAGGAAGATTTATATGTATAATAGATGCATATTATAGTACAGAAAAGCCGAGAAATTCAAAGATTTGTATTTCATACTAACCGTCAAAACGTACCTAGGGACGAACCCAGGCGAAGCGAGGGTGAGTCGCTAGTTTATACGTAAAATTGCGAAAAAAGAATTTTGATAAAAATAAAAATGGAAAAATTGTCGCCCCGCCAGAATTTGGTTTATGAAGTGAAAAGTTCTTTAGGCAGGTTTGGATGGGAAGTAAATTCATGCAAGTCGTCATTGAAATGATCACGTGACGTGATAATGCTAACACTCAGACTTCAGAATGCCGATAGATGTCAAAATAGATAAATGTAAGCAGTTTTAATTTACAAATTTTAATTTAAGATTGAACATTTAATTAGAATATCCAAAAATAACAGCTTTTTTATCGTTTTAAGGTTTCACTTCTGTCTGCAATCCTCGTGACTGCTTAAAAAATTGTTATGTGGGGCCTCTCTTGTAGAGGCCCCCGGGGCTTAGCCCCGCATGCTCTTCCCTAACTCTGGCCCTGATTTAATGAAGACTAATTTTATAGTTTTCAAAAGTAGGTTTTATGTTTATAATAAAGGTATCTAAAATGCAGACAAATATTAAAGGTATGTCTTTTAATTTATTGATCTATTCACTTAATACAAACCTAAAATTTATAATCTAATACATTATTCATGTTTAGTTTTGGCACAGCAATATAATAAAACACCAAAATATTACTGAGTGATTTTAATTAGGTCTATTTAAGTAGTAATTTTTTTTGAAATTTGAAAAGACTACATTTCAAAATTACTTAAAACATCTAATGTGGACTAGGTCTTATGTGATAGGACAATGAATAATGTTCTATAAATTTCTTAACACTGAATCTGGGATAAGATTCAAATATTATTTAGAAAACTACATTTCTACAATTCAATCATTAGATAAGTTACCACTTAGCATTTAACATTTTCTGAACTTTATAAAACATATTTTTTAAATTAGATATTATTCATTTATGTCTTGTATGAAGATTAGATTTTATTACTTTAAAAGACTAATAGCCCAGTATTACACAACAAATATTGTATGTTTATTAACATTTTTCTTGATAGTAATATTGGCTCATATTTTTTTTTGTTTTATACAGCATTGTTTTGTAATAAAACATTTTACACATCATCTATAGTTGGTAGCCAAAAAGCCATATTAGTGCATGCAGAGGCTAATAACATATATTTGGGATTGAACTGAACACACTGTATAGGAGCAGGATGATCTCCATTTAAAACACATACTTTATAGCCTGTATCTGCATTCCAGACATGAACTCTTCCATCTGTTGATCCACTAAATATATATTGTGAGTCTGGACTGAATGAGGCTTCAATAGGAATACCCTTATTGTTTAAATGCCCAGTAAATGTTTGAAGTGGTGTTCCATGGTAGGCATCCACTAGACGAATTATAGAACCATTAGTACTTATAAGCATTGTTTTACCATCTCGTGAAAACTTAAGTCCTGTCCAATCACATTCTTTTTCTTGATTTAACTTAAATGTCACAAAAGGTCCTTTATCAAACGATCTCAAGTCATATAATTTTATACTCTCAGAGTTCACACCTGCTGCAAATATAAGACCCTCAGGATCATATGCTGCAACTGGTCTACCCGACAAATGCATCAAGCCTTGACAATTTGGGGAACGTAAATCCCAGAGACGTAATGTTTTATCTAATGATCCAGACAAAAAAGTGTCTTCTACAGGAGATAGACAAAGTGTAACAACTTTTTTGGTATGCCCAGGGAAATATCTAATGTACTTATTGTCATGGAGTGACAAATATCTTATTGTGTCATCAACTTTTGTAGAACTGTGAATTGCTGTATTTTTAGCATGTGTAAAGTGTATTAAATCCACACCATATTTTTTACTATTTACGGTAATCATTTGTGTTCCTTTTTCACAGTCATAAATTACAATTTGATCATCTTCACTACAAGAAATTAATGTCTCACCCGTAGGGGAGAAATCTATACTGTTTATTTTATCTGTATTTTCCCGAAATACTTTTGCGACCTTAAAACTCCTAACAACCTGGTCCACTAATTTCATCATTTATGCGGTTTGTATAGTCTTTTATGGCGTATAATTTGTTCTAACACGAAAAGCGTCGAATTGTTAATAAGTAAGAAAGAATAAAAGTGGAATGGATGTCAGAAGTTGTTAGTTATTACTATTTAATAAGCCTGCTTTTTAAACGCACTGTCAAAACAAGACAGTATTTAAAAATTATTTAGAATTATTTATCAAAAAGCTTGAAAGGTACACCGCGCGCTCTTTGTGAAAATGTCAATTACACACAAACAGCAAACAGATTACAGACTATAACAGATTATAGATCTAACTTGGTCAATAAGTTTTATCTTGTCTATGGTTTTATCATAATATTGGTCGTGACGACATTATTGCTTAAAATAAATCAATTACCTATTTTGTTATATTGTCATATTGCATATTATTTAAAAAAAAGGAATAATTGGTTTATCGTTGTTTTATCACAATTTTAAATATCTATTATAAATAATTTTTTTAAGACATTATAATAATTAAAACATGCTTTTTTTTAAATATGTAATATTTATGACAAGTTTTTAATATATTTTACAATTTAATATGTATTTGTGAAAATTTCACAATAATTCAATTTTATTTAATAAAAGTCAATAAACTGATGTGGTAATTACCTGAACAATTAAGAATCAAAGTCAAAAACCGATTAAAAAAACATTATATTCGCACCAGCACTGTCAATTGGCAGGAAAATTACCCAAAAAGCGGGTAATTTAAAGCGATTTTTTGATGATGGGTCATTTTGTCGTATATTTGCATTGAGCGGGGTAAAAGCGGGTATTATAGTTTAGCTGGCAACATTATCATAATAATAATTTGAAAAACATTAAGCTCATTGAAACTATGGAGGCCGAGTTAAAAAAATATCCAGTGGTGAGCAGAAAATTGTAATTTAGAAACTCACCGATATAGCGCTACCGATGCAAGTAGAAGTGACATGAATTTAGCAGTTTTAAGAGGAGTGAAGTGTGCTGAATTATAATGACTAGAAAACAATATGTAATTATATTCTAAATCGGTGTTTGCCTATGTTAGAACTATTTTGGAAAATGAAAAATGCACCACAACAAAGCGGAAATCTTTCTTTCCTAATTTAATTTACCATCTTACTCTTATGGCTTTTTTAGCTATATTTTAAATTAATCTACTTGTTTTCTGTGGCGCCACCAATTTGATGCTTGTCAGCTATCACTTTTTATACAAGAGATAGTCCTTATTTCTACTCTCCATAATCGAATTCGAAACACAAACACAATACACATACTGTTGTTGCAATATTGGCCGCGCCGGAAGGTATCCGTAAACCATGAGGTATCGTGAAATTCCAGCCCAGTGTTCTAATGCTGCGATCCAAATTATGGTCTTTTTCTAACTGTACTGAGCCAAATACTAGCGGAAATTGATTAATTTGATATTTTAAGTTTTTTTTTTCATGTTTGATTCAATAATTTAAAGCTGTTTAATTGAGAACTGACTACAATGACTTCTTTTTCTAACATTAGTAGTTAGTACCTTATCATATACATATACGTACGTTTCTCTCTATCCATTTATAACATGAATTAATTTCCTAAAAAAATATTTTCGGGTGTTCTGCTCATAATTGGCGCCGGCGGGATAAGTCGGGAATTTTTGAGGTTATTGGTCGGGTAAGTCAACGACTGTTAAGTGGCAGCCCTGATTCGTAGTCTCAAATCTCAAGTTGCAAAGGGAAACAAAATGGACGGAGTGTAGTGGCTACGCTTATAATGATCTAAATATTGTGAGAATATTTATAAATCGTACGCTTGATTCGAAGCAATTAATAAATATTCACTATCGTCTATAATATAAGTAAATTAAATTATAATAGACTGCATTTTATTTGTCTTTTAATAGCGTTCGGTTCTTTGAAATATGGTATCCATTTTGTGATCAATCGTATTGTGTGGCGCTTATAGTAAGTATAACTTGTTATGAAATAAAGTAACGTTGTAATGTTCTGTTACTTGTAATTACTGTCTTAATTTTTACTATTCATTAGTCAATCTTATTATTAGTATTTTTTTAAATAAGAAATCGTATTTACTACCCAATTTAGTTATATATAATAAATGCGAGTTATACCACAGAAGGCTGAGGTACCTAATCGTTAGGAAGCATATTTTTATGATATAATTTATCAATGCAAATTGTGTTATCAATTAATATTAGTAGATAATTCGATATTATATATGTCTCTGGTATAGTTTGAGAACTTCCACTTGTGCTGTATAACTGAACGGGAGAAGTTATAGCGCTCTATGTTACTTTATAGCCATAAGCGTATAGCTTTTCCCCTTGGTTGTACAAGAAAATACGCCATGAAGAAATTTCAAAAGGAAGAAGTGGAAACCGATAGCATCTAAAATCCTCCTGCATGTGTTTGTTAAACTTTTATATCATAACAATTTAAACATGTGTAAAGTTATTATAATTGCAGTTATTTTAATTACTGCCTAATATATTTAAGTGTAGGTATTGATTGTAAATAGAATTTAAGTTATTGGCTAATGTTTTAGTTAAATGTGTATAATTTATATAGTATTTAGTGTCACTATTTAGTTATAAAAACATTTTCATGAGTTTCTACATATTCAGTTGAATTATGAAAGCATAATTTTAGATATCTATTATAGATAGCAAAACAAATATTATTTTACTGTTTTATTTTGTATAAAAGCATAATACCAATTATGTATTAATTGATTAGTATGGAAATTTCAGAATTCACTAAAATTAGGATCACGAAATTGGTCAGTAAATAGTTTATTTAACATGGGGCACAGTAAGAAAGGATTTTTGGAAAATAAACTTATTTGGAAATTAAAATTAACATTTAACTTGACCTTAAATGATTTTATAGTTGAATGGAATGTCACTGAAATTGTGTATTAGTATTGCTATTTATTTACACAATTACATAATTCACAAGCAAAACTATAGGTGAAAGTTATTTTATACCTGAAGCTGTTTAAACCAAAACTAGAATATTCTTATTTGTTCATTAATTCAAACAATAATTTCAGTCAAATATTAGCTTTTTTTTATTATATTTAAACTAAATATACAAGATGGTTTATTTTATAAGTGAAATGAATATAAAAATAAGACAATATTTTATATATTAACATTAGATTCAGAAGGTAAGAAGCTCTTGTTTTTTAATTAAGAATATTTTAGTACTTTATTATTATACAAGTTTATATGATTTATAATATACATAAAATATACAGAGAGCTGATAATGCTGATTTGAGATTTATTTTATAATAATTGATGTACTTATTGTGTGAAATATATTATTTTTACAAAAAATATATCTAAAAATTATATATTTCAATTACAATTTATTATAACAATACAACAAAACAAATTAGCTTGAATTAGATGATGAGATGAGATGATGATGAATTGTATTCTTAAACCTCAATTAGATGATTGAATTTTTAAAATTAGGACATATTTGGCATAGAGACACATCTATTTTTTTAATATCTTTTATTAAATAGCACCTTATTGCTATTTCAGATTTAAAATGGGTGATCTAATTACTCCTGAGAATCTTCAATCCAAACTTATTTTAATTCACTCTTAATTGAGTGATGGACTCATATAACTTATTTGGTGATGATGGAAGCGGTATGTTGGAAGGACTCACTGATCTTGGTGGAACAGACAGCTTTGCTGGTAACTCTACATCTGGAGTAACAGGAGAAAATAAAGATAACTCAGAGAATAGGTAAAATATCTTATATTAACAAATGTAAATAGTGAAATTAATTTTTATCTATATAGAAAATATATATATATATATATAAAAATTTCTACAACATTTTTTGTTAAGTCATACTAATGAATTTCTGTAGTTACAGGCAACCATATAATCCAAATAGTGTGGCACAAGAAGGAAATATACAAAAACTGGCTTCATTTGGGGGTGGGGGAGCAAGTGGTTTACCTAGTAGTTCTCAGCCTGTACCAAATCCTGGAGCAGGTCCACCTGGACCAGAATATCACGATTATGGTGGCTATCCTCCAAGACCTCGGCTTCCTCAGCCTCCACATGCACCACTTCATCCATCACACCATGTACACCCCTCACATTCCTATCCTGGCTATCATCCGGGACCAGAACCCATGTACTCGATACCAGAACAAGGTAATTTTTTTGTTGAAAATTTATTAAAAATACTAATATCATCACATTAAGTTATTATTTATGTTTATTTTGAATATTATTTAAGTCAATAAATTTTTTAAGGTATTAGCGACATGGGTGTATGGTCCGGCGCACCAGGAGCAAATAGATATTCACCAATTACTCCAGGATACAGACATTCATATGAACATCAACAAAAAATGCATCAATACCCACCACAGCAGGTATAAAAAATGCTAACTGAAATATAATATATTTCATAGGTATTTGCTCAATTACTCATTTCAAATTATAATTTTAGGCTGCTGGAATAGGAGGCTTACAAGCACAAAATGGTGCATATATACCAAGACAACCACATTTTCCACAGCCATCACAACAACTTTATGGACAACAACAGGTAATATTTAATGTGAAAAACTAAATTTTTTGTCTTTGTTGTAATGTATATGACTATAATATTTTAATTTCTTTCAGAACTATCCAAATTATGCACAAATGCATCCTCCATCTGCCACAAGAATATCTCAACATCCAACATACCATCAGCAAATGGATGTTAATGCTCACCAATATGGATTACCACATAATCAACAGAGTCATGGTTCCTTACAACAACATCAGCCTCATCAAAATATGCCTGGCCATGCTGGAGGTCTTGGACCAGGAATTCAAAGCCATCCCAACCCACATTTACACCATGCAGGACCCTCACCTTTACATCATGTTCCCCGACAACCGCAAGTTCCCCCTTCTTCAGTGGGACCATCCCATGCTGTCCCATCACAAATGCCTTATGGGTCTCCTCACCATGCTGTTCCCATCAACTACCAGCCACATCAAGTGCAACATCCTCTTGATGTTAATGTAACTAACCAATACAGTTCTGTTAAATCTGGAATTGAAACTGGAAGTCCTCAGTACAGACCGCCCTTTCCACAGCTATCACCACAAATGTCACCACGAGCTCAGGTGTCGCCTAGACAGTCACAATCGCAACCACAGCTTTCACCTCGACCTGTAATGTCTCCTGTAAAAGGGCCTATTGCATCCCCACTTAGTTCACGTAATATACAACCACCTCCTACTTCAGGACCTCCAGTTTCTGCGGCATTTCCTTCACAAAATACACTGCAAGCATTAGAACAAATGGTTTTACCACCTAGTGGAGAATACACATTTCAAAGAAATCCATCATCGCCGGCGGTTGGCCATAATATAGTATCTTCTCCAACTCAGTGGAATCAAAATAAAATATCTGCACCTATTAGTAACACAGTTCAAATAGACAATATTGAACAACCTCAAAAATCTTTGGATACTCCTATGTCAAATTTGAAGCAAGAACAAGCTAAAGTTCCTACTGTTCCAGTAACAAATAATGAAAATAAAACATTAGATAAAAAACATTCTGAGACTGATAGAACTCCAGAGGATACACCACCTCTCAGATTTTTAACAACTCCAAAAGAAGGGATTCCAGTTACTTTGAATAATCCTCCAATTACAACATCAACTGTTACAAATTCTTTAAGTGTTTCAGCCGAGAATACTGAACAGAAAGAAAAGATGAGTCATAGTCCGCTTCCTACTGATGGGATTTTTGAGACTCTAGGGAACACTAAAGAGGAGCAAAAAAACGATGCTGCGAAAAATGAAAATAAATCAGAAAGTACACAAAATGAAATTAATAAGCAAAGTAACAACATTAATAACAGTGAATCTATTATAAATCAAGGTAATCTTTTGCCAACTGGATCTAGCAAAATAGATGTTTCTAGTGAACACACATCAAACAATACTTCACAAGTAAATATTTCGTTGGGGCATGCACCTCTAGTAAATACAATAGTTAATAAATATGAAAATACAGCAACTATGAATGTTCCAAGAAACCAAGGATATCAAAGTGGAACGTTTCAGAACATGCAAAATATAGTACCTCAAGGAGTCCCCCCTAGTATAGTAACGGGTATCCCAAGTAATATGCAAAGCAATCAAAATCACAATGTTACTCCAAATTTTCAATCTGCTGCTGGTCCACCAGGCTCATCAACTTTACCAAATATGCAAAGTAGTGTTCAAGCTCCTCACTCAATACAACATGCAAATATAACTAACACAGTATCTTCAAGTATGACTGTTCATAATTCACAAAGTAATATGACATGTTTACCATCTAACGTTCCAAATATGCTCGGAAGTGTTCAGCATTCGCTACATAATTCACCAAGTAGTATTGCTAGTCCACAAGCTAGCGCCCCTTCAACAATGCCAAGTATACAAGTAGGAATGCCCATGAATCCTCAGAATATACATGGGAGTATAGGCCCACCAAACATGCCAACAAATCAAACTAATGTTATGCCTAATTTGCCACATAATATTAATCCAAATATGATTCTAATGGGATCTAATAATATGGCACATCCTAATATATATCCAACATCACACCACCAGGAGAGAGCTTCCTTGCAACAACAAATTCAAGAAATATACTGTTTACCACCATCTAGTGAAAATCAAGAGAAGGTTAGATGCTTACAAGAAAGGCTATCAATGTTACAACAACATGAAACAAATGATAAATGTAGTGGTGGACCTAATTGCTTATTACAGAATCCTATTTATGGATCTAAAATGGTCGAAAGTCCGCAAGTGACGAGCACTACCGGTCGTGGACGTGGAAAGGGCCCTGCCAAACCTAGAAAACCACGAGCCAAAAAGGATAAACTCACTACAATGTCACAACCTCTTGATCAACTACCAGTGTCTGAAGATTGTGTAACAGCAGGCACAGGTCTACAAAGTAATTCAGAAATTGATGCTGAAGTGAGTGAAGATATCACCAATTTAGATAGCAGTGCATTATCTATAGAAGAAATGACTGGTGGAAAAATTAAAAAACCAAGAGCTCCGCGTAAGAACAAAGAAAGGAAACCTCGTGTACCCAAAGAACTTAAAATTCCTAAAGAAATGGGTGACAAACCAGTAAAAGAGAGAAAGAAACGGGAACCAAAAGATCCGAATGCACCAAAACGAAAAAGAAATGTTAAAAAAGCAATGTCTGAAATGCATGCAGACACGACAACTACATTCAATGAACATTTGGATAAAGATAATCCAGATAATTTAACTGTTGATAGTTTTAATAAAAGTATGGCCAATGATGTTTCAAAACCGAATATTTCACTAATACAAGACGTACCGTCGTTAGATGATACAAATGTTACTGACTTTGATGATATTCCAGTTTCAAAAATTGCTATTAAAGATTTATTGGAAGAAGCAGAAGCAAAGAAGGATCTTATTGACAAAGAAGATGATTTTGACCCGACAAACCAAAAGAAAAAACCCTCGAAGAAAAGATCATCTGGTGGAGGGAGTTGCAAAAAATTAATGAGTAAAAGAACACCTAGTGGAAAGAGAAAGCGGCGTGGTGGATTGATACCTGACTCTGACGGTGAACCTGATGATCTAATGTCTACACCACCGCCTTCACCGCCACCAGAAGGTGATGATAGCCTTAAACGCCGATCAGCTAGAAATACTCAGCGCAAGAAATATACAGATGATGTACTTCTTCGTTTGTCTGATGATGAATTTACTATAACAGCCCCTAAACAAGAAAAAGAATTTGATGACTTAAACCTTGAAACTAAAGATATTAATAGACCCGAACTTACACCGAAACCCAATTACATGTATGTAAACACTACTGAAGAGGACTCTATGATAGTACAACATGTTTTGGCTTGTCGAATGGGTAAAAGAGAAATTAAAATTGAAGTGCCGCCTGCTAATGATAATTTACCAAAACAAGACAAAGAAGACACAGTGGACAATGTTGTTAAAGAAAGTTCTGATGATGAACCACAGAACAATAGCGATGAAATTCCAAAAGATCAAGAGATTCTCACAAATGAATCTAATGGTGGAGAAATACAAAAGAAAGAAATAAGTAATCAAGATGTAGAGAAAGAAAAAGAAAATTGTGAAAATAAGAATACCAAACCGGTAATAGTAGATGTGGAAGAATATTATGTTAAATACCGCAATTTTTCATATTTGCATTGTGAATGGAAAACGGAAGAAGAACTTTATAAAGGCGATAAACGTATATATTCAAAAATAAAACGTTTTAAACAAAAACAGGCCCAACAGATGAATATCTTTGAACTTCTTGATGATGAACCTTTCAATCCTGATTATATTGAAGTAGAAAGAATTTTAGATATGTCAGAAAACCAAGATCCAGCAAACAATACAGTTGTAAAACATTATTTAGTTAAATGGAAAAGTTTGCAATACGAAGATAGTACATGGGAGCTAGAAGAAGATATTGATGTAGATAAAATTAAGCAGTACAAAATATTTAGTGAATTACCGCTAAAAGAGAAATGGAAATTTAAGAAACGTCCATCTGCTGATCAATGGACTCAATTAAAAGAATCTCCTCTATATAAAGGTGGCAACACACTAAGACCTTATCAATTAGAAGGTTTAAATTGGTTATTATTCTCGTGGCATAATAATCGAAATTGTATTTTAGCCGATGAAATGGGATTAGGAAAAACAATCCAAAGTTTGACGTTTGTCAATTCCGTTTGGGAATATGGAATACGCGGACCTTTCCTTATAATCGCTCCTCTTTCAACTATTCCTAATTGGCAGAGAGAATTTGAAGGTTGGACAGAAATGAATGTTATAGTTTATCATGGCTCTCAGCAGAGTAAGAGTATGATTCAAGAGTACGAGTTTCATTATAAAAATGACAAAGGAGAGCCAATTAAAGAAATTACCAAATTTAATGTGTTAATTACAACTTTTGAAATTATAGTAACAGATTTTCAAGAATTAAAATCGTTTAACTGGAGATTATGTGTGATTGATGAAGCTCATAGATTAAAAAACCGGAATTGTAAATTATTAGAAGGTTTAAGACAGCTTCATTTAGAACACAGGGTTCTGTTATCAGGAACACCTCTACAAAACAATGTAAATGAACTATTTTCTTTACTTAATTTCTTAGAACCTTCTCAATTTTCTAGTAGTGATGCATTTTTAACAGAATTTGGTCAATTAAAATCAGAGTCAGAGGTATTAAAATTACAAGCTCTTTTAAAACCAATGATGTTACGGCGATTAAAAGAAGATGTCGAAAAAACTCTAGCTCCGAAGGAAGAAACAATTATTGAGGTGGAATTAACAAATATACAAAAAAAATATTACAGGGCTATTTTAGAAAGAAACTTCAGTTTTCTCCAAAAAGGCACTGCATCTGCTGCAAACATTCCTAATCTAATGAATACTATGATGGAATTAAGAAAATGTTGTATTCACCCATATTTACTGAATGGTGCAGAGGATCAAATACAGTTTGATTATAAACAGGCCAATGGAGAAGACAAAGAAGCTTATTACAAAGCACTTATAGATTCTTCTGGAAAGATGGTTTTAGTTGATAAATTGCTACCGAAACTGAAAGCTGGGGGACATCGAGTTTTAATATTTAGTCAAATGGTACGATGTCTTGATATCTTGGAAGATTACCTGGTTTTTAGAAAATACCCTTATGAGCGTATTGACGGGCGAATAAGAGGTAATTTAAGACAAGAAGCTATAGATAGATTTTCAAAACCCGATTCCGATCGATTCGTCTTTTTGTTATGTACAAAAGCGGGTGGATTGGGAATTAATTTAACTGCTGCCGATACTGTCATAATTTATGATAGTGATTGGAATCCACAAAACGATTTGCAAGCACAAGCGCGTTGTCATCGAATTGGACAGCAAAAAATGGTAAAAATATACAGATTAATATGCAGAAACACTTATGAGCGGGAAATGTTTGACAAAGCATCGTTAAAACTCGGATTAGATAAAGCTATTCTGCAAAGTATGAACACTGCACAAGGGAAAGAGACAGGTTTAAAGCAATTATCGAAAAAAGAAATTGAAGATCTTTTAAAGAAAGGAGCTTATGGTGCTGTTATGGATGAAGATAATGCTGGAGATAAATTTTGTGAAGAAGATATTGAGATGATTTTGGCGCGCAGAACTCAAGTTATTCAAATGGAGTCTGAAAAAGGTTCTACATTTTCTAAAGCTAGTTTTGCTGCTACTGATCAACGATCTGATATTGATATAAGAGATCCTGATTTTTGGAACAAATGGGCCAAAAAAGCAGAAATAGATACAACAGAAAAAAAGGAAGACGAAGATCTGATAGTAACTGAACCAAGAAAAAGAACTGTCATAAAAAGATATGGTCATGATGATGGCCCAATGGAGATGTCTGATATGGAAGCAACTCCTGACTCTGATGAAGATGAAGAAGGTAATCCTTTTTATACAATTTGTAATATTTAGACATATCAGTGTTCTTTATGATAAATTATAATTAATTTTATATATTTCACATTTTGGATCATATAATTTTAACAAGCAACTTCTTTAAATACTTTGGTTTTTGATAAACTGATTTCCTGTACTTAAGCTAATTTTGAAAGATATAAATTAATCTAAATAATAATTACTAAGCCGTATGTAAAAGTACAAATTAACTGAGGGGGTTAAGATCTAATGATTCATAAACATGGATTATTTTATGAAAAAAATTGCCCAATTTTAAATTGCAGCAAAATCCAATGACTAGATTTTTTATAGCAATTATGATGTGTGTAGTACTATTATCAAATATTTGTATTACAACAGGTATAAGTCTCAGAAGTAAACGAAAAAAAGACAAATTAGGCAGGAAAGGTAGAAGATATGCTAGTGACGACTATGTCCCTCGACATGAAGGTGTTTCCATTGATGAAGAGGTAGTTTATGGATCTTGGACTAGATCTGAATGTTTTAAAATTGAACGAGGTCTACTAACATTTGGGTAAGAAATTTTTATATTTTTATTGTATTTGAAGTATACAATTTATTAATATTATTATTTATATTAATATTGTTGGAAATTACTTATCTTGTGAAGTAATAGGTGTTTCATAAATTTGTTTTTTTTACGCTTAAAGGCTTTATTGTTTCTTTCTCCTGTCTTTTCGAGTAAACTTACTATATATGTAATTTTTTTCGTCCGGTAGACAAAGCAAATGATAGCGAAATATTTCGATCAACAATACTACTAGATAACGTGTCACATACAAAATCAAAGCTAAATTCTGTCCGCGCGAATGTGTACTACAGCTACATTTGTATGCTAACGAACCAAGACAAAGTCTTAAATTGTTTTATTTTCAACCTAATCAACACCAAAGCACCTTGTAATAAAGTCATAAATCTTCAAATTATCCTCATACACTTACGATCATTTCGTAAGTTTTATAATCTTTATTGTAAAATCAACCTTATATCAAAAAACTCAAAGCACTTTTTCCCCTTTTGCTTTGTGAGCTAAATCGTTGTTTAATGTTTTGTTTCTGTTTGCTTCTTAGAATTTGCGCATGTATTGGCTGACCTGGGCCTTAGCGGATTTAAAATTGTTCAAAATTTCATTTTTATTTTATTTTGTAGGTTAAATCCTAAAATATTGACTTAATCTACATGTATTTACCGAAAATAAGACAAAAAAAAGACTGTCTGAAAAATTTCTTCGCGCATTATTTTTGCAACTTTGAAATACATATTGCGGCATTGTGAACGTGTTTACGCTGGCAGCGTTTATTTCTATTAGTTCTACTAATCGAAATATACGCTCACTTTGCAAGTGAGCTTATATTTACTGAGACGGATTTCTTACGCTGGCCCGATATCTAGTAGTATTGTTGATCGAAGGAGAAATATTACCAATTTATTTGTAGGTCGATTTGGCCATTAAATTACGCGTTTTTTTAAATACGTACTAGGAAAATTAGCCGGTTATAAATAATTTTATGACGTTGTTATTTTAACAAGTTCCGGGGGTTTTGATCCAAACCATCTGTTTTTAAGGACATACATTTTTTCCTGTTTAATATCTAATTATCCCAAGATAAAAAAAATTGTTACGCTAGTTTCATATACCTCTAATATTTCTTTATTTATATGATAACACCGTTCCGTTTTCGTCTTGTTTAACCGTATCGCCGAAGGTTGTGTGCAAGAGATTGCTTTTAGCAATAAGTCCGCCTTATCCTGCCTCATTTACTTTCTCATACAACACCTGTGCTTATATTACTTTCATTGCACGTGCAATAGAGGTAATCAAAATAAAAATATAACAAAATTTCTGTAGTATTCACTTTCAGCCTTTTTAATATCGTCCCACTGCTGGATATGCTGGTGAATCCATGATTAAAGGAATAAATATTGTTAGATGTTTTAAATGATGTCATTTTAAATAATTTTAAAACCTTAGTCTCTTCCGTGACCATGATGGCTGTAAAGCATTCGAAACGTCGGACACTAAGAATCAAAATATATTCGCGAAAAAATCCGAAAAGATAGTTTTATTTAAAATGTCAAATATTCGCGTAAATCTAAGAAAGTATTAAATGATGTCGTTTCTAGAAAGTTGATTTTTTAAATGAGTAATTTATGTTAAAAAATTTTTATATTTTTTTTTTGACTAAATGTATTATAAGTTTTTCCAAAATTTTTCTTTGGTATAGATGGGGACGGTGGGAAGAAACTCTGGATAAAAATCAGTTCAGAAAAGGATGGACTCTTCCCGTAATCGAAGACTGTGCACGAATTATCGTAAGTGTTTTACTAATGCATTGAAATTGAAATTAGATTGACGTTGTTGACTGTTTTTTTTTAAGTGATCCAAAAGCAAAAATTTGAATGATGATTTGCCATGCTAATACTGAGAAAGTTATGACTTTCACTGAGTTGAATATCTATCTATTCAGTTCTGATTAATTTTTATTATAGTATAATTAAAGATGGCTAATTATTCCGAAAATTTGATTTATTTTAATAATAAATTGCAGGTTCTTTATTGTTTACGTCACTATAAAGGAGATGAGAAAATAAGGAATTTTATTTGGGATCTTATTGAACCATGTGAAAATGGTGAAGTTACAATATCAAGAAATCATAGTGGACTGCACAATCCGGTACCACGAGGTAGAAATGCAAAGAAAAAAAATAGACTTAAAGATATTCCGAAGGCTCATGATACCCAAAAATGGGAAGATCCGGGACACTGGAGTTCAATTGATAAATACGATTGTGAAGCCTATTTGGAAGGCAGTTATAAAAAACATTTGTATAGACATGCCAATAAGTAAGTACACAATTATAGTTATTATCACTAATATTTGTGAATGTGTGTAAGGGAGTATATATCATACTTCTTTGTGCTGTATGAGCTCCACAGAGATTAGCGAAGTTGAGCATCAATTAGGTCATAGCACAGGCTACTTATTATATAATGATACCTAATGCTGGACCTTGATATTCCATATTTAAATAGTGACATAGGTAACTGCTAAGAAAGGATTTTTGGAAATTTAAATATTCTTAAACAGCAGAACCCGCGGCTAATACTACAAAAAAAGTCTAGCTTTATGCTATTAATATGTAGTACCTGGGCGACTTTTTTGGGCGAGTTTTTGGCCAAAAGTACAATTTTTTTTAAACTAAAATCTTGAATAAATACAAAAAAACAAAAGTAAAACCTTTGTATCAGACCGGGACTCGAACCCGGACACCTGTGAGTGTCAATCTTGCGCCTTGCCACGATGCTTACGCCCGAGCGTGCGAAATTAACAACAATATTTTGCGTGGAATAATGCGAAAGAAAACCGCATGAAAAACACGCGTTTTCCCAGACATAAGACTAATTTAAATTGATTTTTCGCCCCCGAAAACCATCACATGCGCAACGTTTCCGAGATCGCCGGTATAAATAAATAATAAATATACAAGAATTGCTCGTTTAAATACATAGATGTATAAAAGTCTACCAGATTTATTGACATATTTTATGATTACTGTTCCGCTTACTGAGTAGTAACAATACGAGAATATATATCTAATGCATACAGAATTTTTCAAATTGGATTAGTAGTTTCTGAGATTAGCGTGTTCAAACAAACAAATAAACCTCTATATAATATTAGTATAGAATAACGTCTAAATACAGAGTATATGTATGTATATATGTGGTAAATTATATTTATTACTCGCTTCGCTCAGGTTCGTCCCTAGGTACGTTTTGATGCTTAGTTTGGAATAGATTTTTTTAATTTTTTTTTCGTGAATTTTCCTGATGTTTTAATAGTTATTCTTCTATTTGGGGTGAAGACAAATCCAAAAATAGTAAAAATCGGCCCAGCAGTTCTCGAGTTATAAATGTTATAACAAACCTGACTTTGTGTTATATAATTATATAGATATATTTTGTTATGTAGAATTAATTTAGAATTAAAATTATATTTCTTTGGAAATATATGTGCTAAACTTATTTGTATACTTTTAATGTTGTATTTTTTTCCAGAGTATTACTTAGAGTTCGCATGATGTACTATATAAAACATGAAGTTATTGGGGATTATTCCATACAAATAGACAATGGGACTCATGCAAGGTAATTATAATTAAATGAATTGTAATTTAAGTCACTCAATTCTTCAGTTAGTTAGTTACCATGGAATGTAAACATTTCTCTGCATAGCATCAAAAAATTCTCTTTGAAAGGTAGGCAGAACTTGTAACTCATAATTTATTGTCGTTTGCTTAACATTTTGCCTTTTTTTATTTAGATGAGATATCAATGTCTCTGTTAAAAATTGCTCGATAACATATTGAAAAAACCAACTCCTTTAATAACGTAACAGTTTCCTTCCTCCATACTTATTTTATATAGATGTAAATTTGTTCGTATGTAAGGAGTAACCTAGCTTCTAAAAATTCTTTCACTAATAGGAAGCTACATTATAGCCGAGTATTTTTTATTGCGATAAAAATATGTTCAGTGTCAAAAATCATAATAACTCGACGGAAGTGGGTGAGCTACAAAAGGCACCGAGTGAGTAGGTAGTAGTGAGTGATAGCGCCGTATGTCACCAGCACGCTGGGCATGCGCGTGCCGCGCGGCGTGGACAGCGCGCCGCCGCGCCTGTGGTGGGACGCGGAGTGCGACGTGTCGCTGCTCGTGGGCACCTACCGCCACGGCTACGAGAACTACCTCGCCATGCGCTCCGACCCGCAGCTGTGCTACGTGGACAAGCTCGGCCCGCCCGACGACGCCGAGTGCACGGACATTAAGTGAGTCTGTTGCTACTCTAGGTAGCGTCACTTCAATGTTTAATGTTCAATAATAGCTTCGACGGCACCCTCGGTGGGACCGGTGGCGATAATGTTTAAAGAATACGAGATCCTGGAAAGAATATTACGCCTGGTTCAACGTGCTTAACGTAACGTAGTGACGTGCCTAAAATAATGTAATTAATTTAATAATCATGCCAAATAATAAAATAATCAGCTTGATTGAAGAGATATTGAAAATTTTAGTAATTTTATATCATATTATGCAGCTGTTTTTTTATACTCTTTTAATAATAAAAATAAAACATTTTGTTTTAATAATCGTATTTTGTTGTATCTCAGCATATCCTCACTTATATTCCGCTGACAAAGATTTTTACTTTTTCTTAACAATATATAAATACTTTATATATTTAAATTTCAAATCAGTATTATTTTAATTTTGGGTAAGTAATATGTGCGTATGACATGAATTTAATATAAAGTATAAAATACAAATATGTTAGTCATTGTATCAAGTGATATCCCTTTAAAAGGATGGTGTCTCCTACTACGTACTAGGTGAAATGTTACAATACTTTCTTTATCAATAGTAATGTGAATAACAACATTCCAGGAAAATGAAAATAGAATATATGAAATTGTACGCCCCTCTGAATGTTTCCAGCTTAATACTTTTTAGAGCTTCTACTTACCACATCCTTACCATAGCCTTTAAGGTAAACATTTATATTTATTAAGTAGTACAAAAAAAGACTCCTTTACCAAATTAATTAGATTTGTAAAGATTGTCACTTCCAATATGAATGTTAGTGAAGGTATATTCAGAATTGAATCAGTAGTATCAGAGATCCCCTATATATATATACACACATCAACTCTATAATATTAGCGTAGCCGTAGTTAGTAGTAGTTTGATTCCATTTTTACCTCCATAATATTTTCGGTGGCAGAAGCGAAGAGAGGAAGGTGCTCGGCAGCGTGGCGGGCGACGAGGAGTGCACGGACGACGTGTCGAGCGGCGCCGGCGCGGCCTCGCCTGCGTCGCCGCGCGACGACGACGCCGCGCCCGCCGCCACGCACCTGTGGCCCTCCATGCAGGACCTCAACACGCGCCTGCGCCGCCTAATCACGGCCTACCAGCGCAACTACAAGCGCGAGGAACTCAAGCTGCAACAGCGAGCCAAGGTCTGTCTTATACTATCGTATTCATCACGTCGGAATAATATTATAAATGCATGTTACAACAATGTGTCAATTTAAATATTATAAATTACATTTATTTAATAGAAAGTTCTTTTAATATTTATTTCACTATTTTTATGCATTTAGATGGAGCGCCGTGAGCGAATGGACCAGCTTGCACGAGATGAAATTTCTCAATGGTGTTGGACTCGTGCAGACGAAGAAGCTTTTAGAAGAACTGTGGCTTCTTATGGCGTGGAGTTTGATCCCGCAACTAAAAGCTTACGTTGGAGTCGATTTAGGTCATTAGCAAGACTGGATTCCAAGAGTGACGATGCCTTAACTGATTATCTTAAAGCTTTTATGGCGATGTGCAAACGTCAGTGTGGTCTGGCAGTGGGAGAAGCAGAGCTACCTACTAGAGCTGATTTGAAAGCAGAGCCAATAGGCGAGGAAAGAGCTATAGCTACTTTAGAGAGGTAAGTTCATTTTTGATATAATTAATTTAATGTAAAAGTTATGTAACCCAACAGCCACATTTATTTACTACACATTTATTTAGTGACAAGATACTATAATCTTAAAGTCTGGCCATAAGACTTCCTCATTTTCGAAATCTTTCTCAGAAGGATCTCTATCTCTCTTATTTAAAAACTTGCCAACATAACTACTGTTTTATTATTAAAAAAATTTGCACTTTAAGTAAAGATACTATAGATTGTGCAGCTTTATGGGCTTTATTTACAACTAGCGACACACCCTCGCTTCGCTTGGGTTCGTCCCTAGCTTGATTCCCCATACAAACTTTCATCCCCATTTTCACTCCAGTAAGGGATGATTTACGGGATACAAAAAATTTCCTATGTCCTTCCCAGGGTCTCAAACTATCTTACCAATTTTCATTTAAATCGGTTCAGTAGATCCAGTCATTACCTCCCACAACTTACAGTTTGTGACGATCTCACAAATTTACAAACTTTACCTCTTTATAATATTAGTACATATAGATTAAATTTGGAAATGTTGATCTGTTTTATGAATACACAATATGTAATTTCAGAATTGATTTACTCCGCGTGTTGCGCGAGGAGGTGGCGCCGCACCCCGCGCTGGAGGCGCGCCTGGCGCTGTGCGAGCGCTCGCTGGACGCGCCGCCCTGGTGGCAGCCCGCCAGGCACGACAAGCTCTTGGTGCTGGGTGTGTGCAAGTGAGTTCTCACTTCAATAATATACTACAAAACCAGGTTTAAAATTACTTCTACTTATGATGCTTAGGTAATAAAAAAGAACAAATGTTACTTTTTTATTAACAGCATTATACTTTTCATCGTCATTAATTAATGAATTATTTTTAATATAAGCAAAGTAAATGGAATCATTATCTGAACTGTACATTATATAAAATAATTTGTTAATAACTTTATAATAAAAACATAACTTTTTCAGACATGGATTAGGAGACACCTACAATAAACTTTTTTGCGACCCAAAAATGCCTTTCGCGGATGCTGCTAGAAAATGGAATGCTAAATATAAAACAACGACTAAAAGTGAAGTTCAAAAACCTGCCTCTGACGACGAAGAAAAAACTACTCCTGAAGCAGAACCCCGAATGTCCTTACGGCGCAGTAAACGTACCTCGAATGCTCTCGATCGTGATAACGACGACGATACTGACGCGCTATCTGAACTAGAAACATTAGCAAAATTGGGAAGAATAGATGAAACGTTGACACCAGAACACTGGTTTTCAGAGAGAGCTCTAGAAACGAGATTACATCACATCGCTCATGCAGTACAAAACTGCGAATGGCCGTCGACATCGGCAACCACAAAGTGTGGCGAGGGAACACAAGCTACTGATACATTAGACGATCGTAAGCAAAGTCAAAAACGTCACATTGCAATTGATGTAGAGACAGAGCGAGCGAAACTACACGCACTTCTCTCATCACCTCAAGCCGCACATTCTTCGTCCAGGGAAACTCATAGGCCTCCAACGGTGCTCAATTTAGACAGAGATGACGCGTCGAGTGACTCGGGGTCGCGACGCTCGACGCCGGCGCCGCCGCCCGCGCACCAGCGCGTGGCGCCCTCGCCGGCGCCCTCCGTGCCGCCCTCGCCCTCCCCGGCCTCCGCTGCCGCCGCGCCCGTCGACCTCTCCGCCCCGCTCGATCTAAGTGAAGCGCAAGATTTCTCCATAGGTCGTCGGACACCGCAAGCGGACAATCCAACTGCTACAGCTTCGTCCACAAAAAGCAGGCTAGACGATACGCTCACAAGACTGATGAAAAGAAAAAATGTGGTATGTATTTATAGTTACTTAAGTGAATTTCCTCCTCTTATATAATTGGTAATTTTTATATACATATCGTCTAATAATGTGCCAGTATTATGTGAGCTTATTTTCTAATTATTTTCAGCCGGCACCAGAACAGATAGTTAGTAAAGAAAAGAAAAGAAAGAAACTAGATGAAATTGTACTGGGACTTTCTGCTGCGAAAGGTCGTAGTCCAAGTTCAATAAGTTCATATGATCCTCCTCGAAGTAAAAGTTCGTCAGTATTGCCTGAAGTAACTGTAACACCTGCAGCGCCGCCCAGCAGCGCCAGCACTCCTCCTACACAAAAACCATTCTCTGTGACCGTCACAAATGTACCATCACCACATTCGTCAACAAAAGAGTTATCATCCTTCTTACAACAATCACTAGAACAGACTAGTAAAACCCAGAAAGCAAGTACTTCCACCTCAACGTCAACTACTCCTAAACCGTACTCGCACGAAGCTAAGGTAAATAAATGGTTAGCCGAACAAGCTAATGTCGATACACGGAGACGTGGACTGACGCCGCGCTTGGCTCCTGATGAGCATGTTCCCGTAGTTCATCGTGTTACGGGAAAACGTTTAATAGGCCATAAAGCACCACAACTGAAACATCTGGCTCAATGGATCGCCGAGAACCCTATGTACGATATCGATTCTAAATGGACAGAAGGAATAAAAGAGCATGTGAAACTGCCACAAGATGTCCGCAATCCGAGGCATTCTCCTATGCAACCAACAAGTTCCGCACCAGAACGTAAAAAAGGTCGACCGCCGACCTTGGATAGTACTTCAACTAATGTTTTGTCTTCAAATACAAATCATTTAAATCAGAACCTTTCCAGTCTAAACCCTGCGTTGTTGGCCAGCTTATCAAGCCTAAGTGCCTTCGACCCAAAGACGTTAGCAGCTACTTTGTCTAATTTAACTGGATTTGATCCAAAATTACTGTCTAGTCTGAGTAGTTTTGATCCTAAAAATAATCCTCTTCTTAATTCATTTAGTAGCATGCCCAATTTGCTAGGCAATATAACTGGTGGAAACATATTTGCAAATTTAGCTGGATTAGGATTACCTGGCTTTCCATCTCTTGATATGAACACTCTCGGAGCAACAAGTGGGTCATCCGATAGTAAATCTAAAACAAGGAAACCATCAGAGACCGGAAGTTCGTCTACCTCAAAATCAAATAATTCTCAGTTCCCATTTGTATTTCCAAATCCTAATATGCTATATCCTCAGCTAGGTTTAAGTGGCCTGTCACCATTTGGAGTCCATTCAGGCATGTCTTCTGCATATGATGCCTTAGGTTTGCTAAGTGGCAATCTAGCTGCTAGTTCCAGCTCTACAACACTCCATAGTTCAAGTCACAATGCTCGCAGTAGCACGAAAACTACTGCTCCTAGATCTTCTACTGTCGTAACAAATTCTTCCACATCTCGCCAACAAAAAGTATCAGATCGCACTCAATCAAGCCATCTACCTCAAATACTACTACCTCCCGATCCTTACCTACTGGAATCTCTCTCTAAACAGACAATGAGTTACGACGCAGCCTTGAAAGCTGATAAGAGAACTCGCGAATCAGAATCGCATGAGTCCATAGCTACGGACCTGTCGAAATCTGACAAAAAGAAAAACCCTTTTGACCCACTCAGAGCACAAATGCCGCCTGAATTTGCAGCTGTTCAGGAAAAGCTGCTTAAAGGTGATAAAAAGGACATAGATATCAGTAAAATGTTATTGGAACAAATGGCTTCAGGTGCCTTGAGTGCCAGTCTTGTGAGTTCCGCAGAAGCTAAAAAGTCGAAAGATATTGATAAGGACACATATGATAAGCTTGGGAAACCTCCAGAATATATGACTCGTGCTCCAACTGATGACTCCACTTCCACTGTGACTCTTGCACATAAAAGGGCAATAGACGAAATCAGCAATGAACCGGAAAATTTAGCTGTACAATCAAGTGCGAAAAAATTAAAAGAAAATCCATCTGAACTGAAACAATCTGATTCTACAAATACTGGCGAGATGGACTTAGAGGATTTAATAGCGCCTTCAACTGTTATAAAAACTGGTATGAAAGCTAGTGATTTTGACATACGGCCTTCGGAATCCACTTCTTTAGTTATGGCACATTCTGAAAGGGATGACAAAGCCCAGCAGAGCCCTTTACGGGAGAGAGAAATGCAAAATGATAATGAAAATTCACAGAAACTTGATTGTACTAAACATGAAATTGATAAAGAAGACAATTCCATCGATGATATCAATACTGGAGACAATTCAAGTGAAAGTGCTCGCAGAAGTAATAAAAAGAAGGGTCGAAAATATTCAGAAGATTCTACTTTTGGCCCACGCCGTGAACTAAGATCAAGTTCTGGAAGACAATCAACAGAATCGACTTCAAACCATTAAAAACTATGATGCATTTCATATAATTTCGTGTAAAATATTTGAAATAAGTTGCTCTAACAAAACGGTTAAACGTTATTTAATAATCCTCGGTTTTTTAACATTTATATTGGGCCTGTAAAAATCTAAACCCATTTAAAACATGAATGCAACTCTGTCGCCATTATCTTATTAACACTATATATGCACGAATGATCTCGATATATTGGGGTTCTTAAAGAACTTGTATGAACAACTATCTACAGACTTATAAATAATATATTTTACTTATACTATGATATGTACTAGTGATATGGCAAAATTAAGTTTAGATGTCTCTTGAAATAAAAAGATTTGTAAATTTGTAGTTACACATTTTATTAAAAATGTAAAATTATGTCAGAAGACTGGTTATTTCAAATATAAATTAACCCGAGGTTCGATATTAATAGATAGTAAATTTGTTCGTTTTATCAGCTGCGACGAAGCCAATAAGAGGACTAAAACCTATGTTATGGCCTATGAGCAACATAAATCCATACGTAATTTTGGTTATTTTTATCTCTCAATAAATATGAAGGTTTTATACTAGATAAACAAGTATTTAAAGTTTGCGATCTCGAAAATGTACGCTAAATAGCGTAAATAAACATTTTTTAACTCAAATCATTCTAATAAGTTAATGTTAAGAATGACTAGTAATATGATTAATAAACATTTTTCTTTCTATTACTGAGTAAATGTAGTTGTTAGAACATTTAATAACTATTAATTAATGACTTCGACTTTTTATATATTTTTTATTAAGTCAAACGCTGAATGTGATAAAATTATTTATTACATGTATTCTTATTATTTTGCGTTGCTGTATTGAATTATGAATTGTATTGTAGATAATAGTAAGATGACAAATCGTAAAAATAATAAAATTTAAAAAAATATTACTTATGTAGTTTTATTTAATAATCTATATATATATATAATAACTTTGATAGGCAGAAGATAGGCAGTGGTAGCCCAGTGGTAACGCGCTCGCTTGGGAAACCGAGTGAAGCGAGTTCAAATCCCGGGTCTCGCACCTCTGATATTTTCATGTGCGAATCATTTCCAACATGATTACCACTTGTCTTAACGGTGAAGGAAAACATCGTGAGGAAACCTGCATGTCTGAGAGAACCTAGCATGTTTTCAAACGACATGTGAAGTCCGCCAATCCGCACTTGGCCAGCGTGGTGGACTATGGCCTGATTCCCCTCTTATTGAAGGGAGGCACGTGTCCAGCAGTGGGACGTTAAAAAAGGGCTGAATACATACAAATAAATTTCGGAGTTGAATCTGTAATATAATATTTCTTGGAAAATCTTATTGAAATAGTCATTATCGATACAGCCGAGTCTATAGTTTTTAGAATTTTTTCTGTCTGGTACTGTCGTTCTCATCGCGAGAAAACCACTGGATAGATTTTGATGAAATCTTTTATAATGATAGCTGGGTATTCGGATCAACATATTGGATACTTTTATTGCGGGAAAATGTCTCTGAGAAATCTATAATAACCATTCAAATGTTCCAAAGGACTAACCCGAGCAAAGCGATGGTGTATATATGTAGTGATAGTCCATACTAATATTACAATGAGGCAGAGTTTATTTCTTTGTTTGAACGCGTTAATCTCGGGAACTACTAATCCTTTTTGCATTAAATCATCAGCCCGTTTATAAAGAAGGCTAAGCAATATAATATATCATGCTACTACCCAAGGGAGCGGAGCAGGCCTGCCGAAGTAGACCACATACCCAGGAGTTTCTCCCACAGACTACTCTGCTATCAAAGAAGTACCTGGAGAAGCCCGCATGGCACACCGCAAACCGAGGTGAAGCGCCTCCCAGTACGTTTCTTGGTGTTTGGCTTGGCTTCGCGCTCGGCTGGTTTGCCGAACGCTAATGAGCCCCCTCTACCACGACAAGGAGAACACACATTGGGGGAGAGACGCAATCTAACCATGCCCGTGTTATTAAAAAAAATCAATTTTACAAGAGAAAAATACAAAGAATTTAAAAAATATTACCTGTAGACGATTTAAAAGTTTTAAAATCAGTTTCTCTAAAATAATGTCCACATAGCCTTAATTAAATAAAAATAATTAATAAATATGTTGGGACATTAACACACAACACCATCTAGTTCCATGGTAAGATACGAGGCTTGTGTTATGGATACTAGATAGTTGATACACTACACATATATAACTTTAAATACATACATATTATAAATACTAGCATTGCCCGCGGCTCCGCTCGCGTTCAGATGACCAAAAACCATATTGTTAGGTTTTACAAATTAGTATACTCTTACAATGCAGTTTTTGTACTTTTTCTCAGAAATGAGATATTTTCCCGCGTTAAAAAGTATCCTATATGTTGACCCGGATAACCAGCTATCATCATACCAAATTTTATCAAAATCTGTCCAGTAGTTTTCTCGTGATGCGGTAACAGACAGACAGAAATTCTAAAAACTATAGATTCGGTCTCTGTATCGATAATAATGTCTATTTCAATTAGATTTTCCGAAAATATTTAATGTACAGATTCAACTTAGTTACAATTTTTTTATATGTATAGATAAACATGACTGGAGTACAAACATTTGTGCTCATCACACAAATGAATGCCCCAGCGGGACTCGAACCCGCCGCCGCTGGCACAACAAGTAGGGTCACTTCAAACTGAGCCAAACGTGTCGTCCAAAAAAGATTGTGATTTGGCCAATTCTGGTCGTCATATTGCTTAAGCTCACAATTTATCTATCACAGTAGGATAAAGGATTATTCTGCCTTTAGTGCCGTACTATGTGGTCTGTTTATGCATATATTTACATATATAGACATTGTTATTATTTATATGTACGTTTATGTATATAAAATATAAATATATATGGTAAAATTATAAGTTTATATAAATACACGTATGTTTATTTAAATTAGTATATATGTAAAGTTTTATGTATGTTTAGTTATATTAAGTTTTAATGATTTGCACTTTAGGCACCTTTCCGCTCTTCTCACTAATTTTTTTATATCATTTTCTATCCGTTGCCTGTAAGAGATTACTTTTGGTGATAAGGCCACCTTTGCACATCTCTTTAATTGTATTTTTCTTTGTTAATGTACTATTTTCGTGTGCAATAAAGTGTTATAAATAAAAAAATAATAATAATGTTACGTCGTAGTGATGAACATTATTGTTACGATAGATTTTCGATTTAAATGGGCACTGGAAAGTACTTTTTGCTCGTTATTCATTTTTTGCTTAGAAATAAAAATTTAATAAAAAAAACTAAATTACATAACTACGTCACTGATGCAATCTTATTTTGTGTATGCATATATCTTTTTTATAACCCAATGGATCTTGAGAGAGAGTTGTGTTTAAATGTTTTACTTTGAATTGATATTAAAACAAGGATTTTGGTATTATTGATATTTTAAAATATTTTTATTAACATTTTACTCTAAAAGATCGACAAAATTGAATAAATGTTGTCACTTAATAAGGTACAAGCGTTACCCGCTATCCGCACTGCTATAATTAAAATCGGGTACATATTATGTGTATTCCCAGTTTACTCTGTTATATGTAATAAATATTAATTATCTGTTTCTGATTCCAAATTGACAGTTTATGTCAAGTATGAAGTAAGTAAAAAAAATCGATTTTGATTACCTACTTTTTCACATTGAGTATTAACCATAGATTATATTGCTACATATATAAACTTATAAAGTATTAACTATTAACTCTTTGTTTTGTATGAGTAAGGCGAGTTACTGTAGATCTAATATAAAATTTAAGAGGCGTACATTTATTTATAATGCATTCTACTGTAAGAACGAGGCAAATAATAAAATATCTTCCGCCCAGAATTGGGCATCATATAAGTCGTTGCATAACTAATAAAATTGAAGATGTGAGCACCCACACAGGACAAGTATGTATAATGTCTAATATCTACTACCATCAGTCAATTAAATTGTGTTTTAAATTCATAAAATCACAAAAAAAAACAATGCATAAAAATAATCAGAAAATATTTTATGACATGACGATGATATATTAAGTATAATTTAATATCAATAACATTAGACAATCTTACAATGACACTGAAAAGTTTTATTGTAAAAATACTTCAAGTGCTAGTTTATATTTTACAGAAATGGGATTCTGATGATTATCGTCTTGCAAGATTTGCTCTCGCCCCTAAGCAAGTAAATCAAAATTGGGCTGTTAATTTAATTGCAGAAATACCTCCCAAAGAAGTAACAGAGAGAGTAGTATGGTGTGATGGTGGAAGTGGTCCGGAAGGCCACCCAAGGGTTTATATTAATGTGGTAAATACTTAGAAATTGAGGTGTATAAAATATAAAATAAAATGCAATTAATCAAAATGTTACCTTAACTATTTACTTTTCAGGATAAACCAGGAAACCATGCATGTGGCTACTGTGGATTAAGATTTGTTAAAAAAGATCACCATTGAAAATAGTTACTACTGTAAATCTGTATAATTTACAAAAATAGAAATTATTTAAACAAGCCTAGAAATTTAGAAGGAATAAATTTTGTTTTGGTTTATTTATGAACATTGTTTAAATATCATAAATCTTTTTTAAGAGTGATGTATGGAAGAAATTGAGTATCATAGTTATAATTAAGATAATTACTAAATAGTAGTAATGCAAGTAGTCACTTTTAACAATACTGGACTTACTATACAGGGATTTTTTTTTGGACAAACTAAAGTAGCAAACAGCATGCAGAAATACAGAAATAGTTGGATAACTTGTGTATTTATAATACTCTATGATTATCTTGGTATAATATAGCAACACAATGCACATGTTCCTTCAAGTCCCATCCTATAGTCTTGAACTGGATTCCTAAAGATGAAAAAAAAAGAACTTTATAGGAAGATATTTTTAAACAATAAAGAAGGACCCAGCTTATTTCATAAAGTTAAATTATATTTTGTTTGAATGTATACAATCATCAACAATAAAATATCTCATTGTTTTAAATGAAACAATTGATGAAATTGGTGTAGTAGTTACGGTTGAAGATCCAGAAGTCCTGGATTCAATCCCCAGGTCAGGCTAAGACGCTAAGTGTTTTATATGGGCTTTTTGTCAAGAAATTTTTAGTAATCGCTCAAAAATTGGCATGGTTATACACCCATATCTCTATGTAAAATCGCAGGTCTTGTGCTTGCTCTCTCATTGGTTGTGTTGAATTGTCGTCCCAACATAGTTTGAACATGAAAGGAATAGAGAGTGCGCTTGCCCTTTATATGCAAACTATAATATCTCATGCACAAATTGTTGGCCTTATTAAAATTGGCTACAGTCTGAACAACATAGTTATGTACAAGAATTCACAAGCTAATCGAAAATTGGGGTATCCTCAAAAAAAGATGTAGAAATGGCCACCCGAATAGCGGTCAATTACAAGTAGATTTATGTACTCGCTCAATATTGATATATTGAATTCCTCTACAAAGAATACATTTTTACAAATATATGACACCTGAGCCAAGACCTAGTACTATTAAAAATAATGAAACAAATGTAAACATATGTTTGTTTGCACATTAAAATATATCACATCTAGACAGTAAAGTACTTAATCGATTTTCATGAAACTTACAGCTTCAATAATGTAATAATTTTATTTCAGTGCTTACTTAAATAAAAAACAAGAGCTTGTTTCAACAAAAATATTGACAATTTACTTGATATCCAGGCTCCCATCTTTATGTGTCAAGCTAACTTAGATGTTTCCCATGATATTGAGGCATGCCACCAATTTTGCTTTCCCTTGAGTAAAAAACGATCTCTCTGCAAGAGTTATGCTGACCAGTAGCTTTGTCAGTATATTTGGTAGGAAAGTTAATTTTTAAAATTTATTATATAAAGTAGGACCCACTGCTAATGCTGGCATTTATTATAAACATCATTAAAAGCTACAGTTTATGCAAGACTTAGATTTATCTGTCAAGTGTATGGTATAATACAAAACACTCGAATCACAATAATATTTGTAAATTTTTAAGAGGCCAACTTAACCCAATTTAAGTTTTATTAAAACATTAAATTTAGTTTTTAATATTATTTTAATCTTGAGCTAACATGGTTTGTTTCATTATTTTTTAAAAAACAAAAACATGACACGAAAATATTCTGCACTTTTTACCAATGCAGTCACTAGTTAGTGTGATGGTACTATAATATATAATTATAATAAATCTAAGATGCTTAAAATTTAATAAATATTTACTAGAATATATTTACATAAATTTATATGATTATTCAATATTTTAGAATACTCATTTATAGACATTGATACAATTATTGTTACTCATTGTTGTTCAGTATTTTCATTTTGCAACTGTTGCCTGATCTCTCTATTTGATTGCAGGAGTTCCTTTAATCTCTTGTGAATGTCATCATTCTTCTGTTCCAACATATCTAATGCTTGATTTAATTCATCTAATTTATTGTCCAATACGTCATATTCTGTAATAATACAAGAAACCTTATATTATTTTCTATATAACTTTTATTTAGCTTGATGTATTAACAGATTTGGTACCTTCACGGACGTTTTCTTCATCATTGACTTCCATATCATCAGATACAGATTCATTTTCTGTTGGTTTATTATCATCAGCTCCAGCCATGGCTAATAAGCTAATCAACACTTTATTTGTGCCTATATACCTACCTACCTTTGTTTGTACGTAATCTTTTATAGTTTTTATTATTACTTTGTAGTTTTTTGGTGAAATATGTTTAGCGCATGGATGACAATTAAACGTTTAGACTTTAGCGCAATAGATTTGACAATGACATTTGTTAGTAGGGCTATCAACTCGAATGTTTTTAATTTTTATAGTCGTCATTTAAAATATGGATATTAAATCTTATAATTTATTAATATTATAAATGTGCAAGTTTGTGAGGATGGATGGTTAGATGTTTGTTACTGATTCATGCAGGAACTTCTGGAATAGCACGTAGGTTATATTTTATCCCGGAAAAAGTTCGATTCCCGTGGGATAGATATGTTTTTATCTAAGGACGAAGCGAAGCTAGGGTTAGTCGCTAGTTAATTATAAAGTCAGGAATGACAAATTATCATTTAAAATTAGCAAATACAATTTATACGATACTCAATTCTCTAAATTTTATCAATATTGTAAAAATACAAAAAGGCCGGCAACGCATCTGCAAGCCCTGCGGTGTCGCAGATGTCCATGGGCGGCGGTGATCGCTTTCCATCAGGTGAGCCTCCTGCCCGTTTGCCCCCTTAGTCCCATAAAAAAAAAAATACTAAATAGTACAAAGTGTAATAAATAGGTATTACACTTTGTACTTTTGGCGACACTTGCTGCATTATTAAATTCACTGCCGTGCGTCAAAACAAAATTTATTGTGTGATTAAAATTTATTTCAAAATATATACGTAAACTACAATAAAACTTTGAGTAATAGTATAAAATAACATATTAAAAGAAAACAAAATCAAAAGTGCATATTAAAAGACTTCCGCGATAAACGGTAGCATTCCCAAGGAGAGTTGACGTCAGGCAGGCGGCCGGTTGTAAAACTTTTGATAAATCCTATCAGCAGTACAGAAGATGTACTTTTTTTTTAACGTTGGGAAATGCATTTACGCACGAAGTGTGGGACTCACCGGCAAAGCCAGTACTACCCACTAAAACCCAACAAAACCTTCCCCCGTCTTAATGGGGTGTCGCAGGATCGCTTACGCATTCAACTACGACACCCCGACGGCAGGTCTGCCGAAGCAGACCACAACAACCATGGGGTTGCTCCACGGTCCACTCTGCTATCAGAGAAGTACCAGGAGCAACCCGCATGGTACACCACCCTCCGAAGAAGGCCGCCTCCCACCGCCCACCGAAGCGGGCCACCTCCCTGTGCGTTTCTTGGCTTCGCGAGTACACTACTGAGCCCCCCCACCACGACAAGGTGAGCGCACGTTGGGGGGGACAGAAGATGTACTGCACCGACCCCATTTGATTGGGAAATGGGCAGGGAGAAAAAGAAGATGAATGATTTTAAATCATTTTATGAAAATATGAATAATCATATCGGCACTAACTTTCCTCATTAAATCAAAATGCAAAGTGTTGCTTAGTTGCATTATCTTATGAGTACTGACTTATTTTATTTTATTCTGGTGTTGCGGCTATAGAATTTCACCGCGACCATTCCTGGTTTATTATGATCGCCGCAGTGTACTGGCCATATTTCTGTATATACTCTTTGGTACTGAGATAAGCGTCATTTAATCCAAACACCCTTTTTATATATAAATCTTGATTGAAAAGAACTTAGAAATCTTCTCAAATCTGTGAATACTGATTTAATTGACCCCTGCATACTCTGCTATTATTGGTGGGCCCATTCAGGATAACCATGTTAGAACGAAGTAATCAGTCTTCAATATATAACAATACAATCAACCCAATTACGATGAAGTAAGTTCTATTATTTAAAAAAAAAAACAAAAAAAATCGACTTTTAGGCTAAAATGTAAAAAATAACTAAACGGGGGTTTTCATTTAGAATAGATACCCAATCAGAAATTTTCGATGTCGGTGCTCGTGGCGCTGTTCACATTAATATATGAGCTGTTTATCAGGGTATAAATTACTAAAATTTGTTTTATTAAATATAAATTGCATTTTACTATATTTCACATATCTTAGTATATACTTATTTATAAAATGAGTTTGTTTCACAATTTGTAGATCAACACCATCTGTCTATTTAATTAAACAAAAGTAGGGCCGTCTATTTGTAAAGAATGAGGTATTTCATATCCGTAAGCTACTGGAGTATTGTGTAATTATTTAGCTTCAGTGGTCTAGTAGCTATTTTTGACTTCTTTCTTTTAACTTCTCGTCTATTGTTCACATTAAAATATAAATACAACCTTGCCGCTACATTAAACTGCAGGAATTGCTTAGGTACGCTCCATGATTTCATTTGAGCCTAGAAACTATTTCCCAACATGAAAACTGTGCTTGTGCATAAGAGGTCCACACTCCCCCAGAAGATGGAGTGGCGTTACATCTGCCTTTGAAATTGAATAAATATTTTAGAGTATAAAAAGAGAGTGCACTTGTGTTTCCGCACACACTTGTGAACTTTATTATCTCATATATCCGTCATAATCTGGGTCTGTGCTAGAACAAAAAAAAAGTAGGTTATTTATTAAAAAAAATGTTACTCAAAAACTTTAATAAAACTTATATGTACAAGTCCACGATGCTACAACCCTATAATAAGCTTTATCAACCATAAGCAATGTAAAGGTATGTCAAGTGACTCTTTATGGTACAAATAGACGATGAGGTTTCTTCCGACGTCTATTTCTATGACTAATAACTTGGCAGGACAACTTATTTTTTTACCGTGCACTTCATATTTTTACTGTGTATGTACTATGTAGTAATCCGACTGATTGGTTAATTTTTAGACATCTTTGGATTAATTAAAACTTTTGTTGATTTTTAGTTTTTTTGAAAATCCAACAAGATGTTTTTCTTTCTTTAATCATTAATGGATCGAGATGCGGCTGCAAGATTGCTTTGTTCATAGCGTATTTAATCAAAATCATTTTTTTATCTTATATATAAAATTTCCATGTCACAATGTTTGTTACCGTACTCCTCCGAAACGGCTTTACCGATTTTTACCAAATTTTATATGCGTATTCAGTACGTCTGAGAATCGGCTACTATCTATTTTTCATACCCCTAAGTAATAAGGATAAGGGTGGTCCTCCCAGACCCCACCCCAGGAACGAACCCGAGCGGAGCGAGGGTGAGTCGCTAGTATACGATAATAAGAGGGACAATATGTTTGGACCCGGATGCCTATTAAAATGTGCACGCTAGTATGTTTAATGAAATAAATAATACCTAATTGACTTTTAGGAAAGTAATCCATGCACTTGTTATTAAAATGAATTATACTCTACTTCACAGAAATATACGTTGAGATCTTGAAACGTGATAGCTACCTAAAGAAGAACCAAGCAAACAGAAGCAAAACAACGATTTTGCTCACAAAGCAACAACGGGAAAAAGTGTTTTATGGTTTTTTGTATAAGAATGATTTTACAATAAAGATTACAAAACTAACGAAATGATTGTAAGTATATGATAAGAATTTGCAGATTTATGACTTTATTATAAGCTATTGTGGTGTTGATTAGGTGAAAATTAAACTATTATAAGACTCTGTCTTGGTTCGTTTGTATACAAATGTAGCTGTAGTCCATATTCACGCGTCACACATAATTGACAGAACAGAATTTAGCTTAGATTTTGTATGTAACACGTTATCTAGTATTATTGTTGATCGAAGAGTCAGGGCATTGTTTTTCCGTACGTAAGTGATCCCATTAAAAAGGAGAAGGCATCGTTGTGCTTTAGCGGACAATCCCGTTTTTCTAGATGGTGCCTTTATTTGTAACAAATGTGATTTTTTCTTCTTGTAGTCCGGAAAGTCAAGTTTACACTTATTTTCATCCAGCGCTGCATTTACACTAGGGGCACTCCGGGCTAGTCCAGGGCGGCAAATTTTCAGGGGCGGCAGAATTCGGAGGGTTGGAAAAAAATTTTTCTTCGCGTTATCGAAAATGCTTTTTTTATTTTACAAAAAAAGACAAATAAAAAAAGATTAAATAATAGGTACATTTTTTGAAAAATTGATGATATCATTCATAAGTTATTATTTTTTGCATTTTTCAAAAAAATCATCAACATTTTATTCAAAATTTCGATAATAGGGCGGCATTTTTTACTTTGCTCAGGGGCGGCGCTAAGGCTAAATGCGGCACTGTTTTCAACTCTACATAGCCTGTGCGTATTTCTTTATCATAGAGTTAGAGGTACATAGTAGGGATGGGACATTTCACGAGTAGCAAGTGAAAAATCACGTGAAATGCGTAATCACGCGTCACACCTGCTACTTAAATTCATAGTGGCTGCTACAAATCACAACTTGGTGAAATCTAGAGCTGTAGCAAACCGTATGTATTCGTTACTGAGTAACGGGTACGCCATCTAGTACCGAGTACCGAAACGTTACTCACGAATGCATTTCGTTACTCGCATTTTCCGTATACATTTTCGTACTGATGTTTTTATTGATTTTTTATTCAACAAAATACAATTTTCAGTTAATACCGTTGATCAGTAAATTGGGGAGTTTATTTATTTCGAGTTGCATGATTTCGGATTCTTAGAAATATTGTTTAGAAATAATTTTAAATTAGAAACAACAATTAAATTTAGAGCACATTGTTAGTTTTTTATCCAACAAATACTTATAATTTTTACTGAATGATTATGTGTAATACGTACAGACATAACCACCAACGCTGAGAATGAGCTAGAAATGTTTATTAATGAACCAGTGCTTCCGCGCGATTCTTCGCCATTAGTTTGGTGGAAATCTCACTCCTATATGTACCCCAATTTGGCGGAAATATTTCATGAGCACTGTCACATCGTGGTGACATCAGTGGAGTGTGAGAGAGTATTTTCAAAAGCGGGAAATTTTGCAACCCAAAAAAGAGCACGATTAAGCAGAAAACGAACAGCGGAACTTGTATTTTTAAAAAGCAATGAAGACTATTGTATATAGATATCTCATAAAAAAATCAATCATCAAAAAAATCAAAAAGCAAAAAAAATGATTATAAACAAATTAAAAAAATTAAGAAAAACAAAAAAAAAGTGTATAAAATTCTTTTATAAAAATTCTTATTGTACATAAAAACAATGAACTTTTAAATACGCCAATGTAATTATGGAACTTAGCTTAATACAATTTTACCGTGTGATTACTCTGATATATTTAAAATTCATTTAATTTTACATTGTCAGTCCTAAGCCTGTAGAAGTATGAGGGAAAGTTCATTGTTTGAAAATAGGTTCATTCAAAGCACCATGTACGTATGCAACTACGTCAGATCTATATCTCTGCTCCATATCACATCAGTAGCGCCATTGGTGACATTTCATACTTCATTTTAATAGCAAATAATATAAAGTGTGACACCAGACCGTCGAAATCAAAAATCTATGCGTGAAAAGTAGCAGGTGAAATCACGTGAAAAATTGTTGTAATTTCATCACGTGATAATGATTTAAAAGTAGCAATCATTTCCATGCTTAGTACATAGACTGCAATAGAGTGTAATATTGTTAATTGTACTTTATAGCCGGTTTACATGTGTTAAGTAGTTTAGTAGAACCAAATTTTAAGTGACTTATATTTTAGTAGCTGTCCAAACGTGTTTAGTGGTTAAGTAGTTAAGCTCTTTAGTTGTCTTCTCTATTCTACGTGACATTGGCGAACTAATCTGTGCTCAATTAAAGAATTGAATTGAAGCTCTTTATTTCATTCAAGATTTATTTATTTATTTGCAAGATATGCCAACAATACATTGTACTTACATTCTAAATTATTATATTATAAGATTACTTATTCTAGTACAAGCATTAATTATAGGCATAAACAGAATTAATAACATTTCTGGCTTTAAAACAGTAATATATAAAATGTTAAATACAATTTCTAATAAACATTTATAATAGATGAAATTAAATTAAAGAATTACACATATTAACTACTATAATTAAATAATCATAATGTAAATTAATGTTAAAATTAGAATAATATGAACAATAAAAATAATTATTAATATTTATAATTTGAAACAACTGTACTTATAAAATTATATAATTATATTAGGTCAGTCATACAAATATATATATATATATTTTGAAGTTATTTAAAGTGTCGTTAAAAATATCAATTTCAATGCCATTGCCGGTATTTAGTAAACTATTGTACGCATTAATTAAACGGTTTATTGAGGAATATTTGCCAAGGTTGGTCCTGGAAGTGCTAGATGAGAAAATATTTATTATAGGAAATCTAGGAGTACAGTGCGGGACAGTAACATTTATTTGATAAAGAATTGATATTGATTATAGAAAAAAGATGGAAAATCAACAACGTAATGAAATCGTATATTCTGTGCTTAAATTTGTTTTAAGCGAGATAATTCATGCTTTTTACGTTCCATAAGCATTTTTTTTTTAAATATCGCCTATCCCTATTAACATTGTCGGATATGCAAATTTGTCATTTTCTTTTTATTTCACTAATCACTCTTAAAAAGTCTCTTCTTTTAGTAGCTGCAACAAAAAAATATTTTTTGCGAGTAGTTTTTAAAATAGCCACAAGTAATTTTTGTTAACCTAAATTGTATATTTAAAAAAATATCAACAATTCAAACTTTGACGCACTCTCCTGTAAAGTTGCCGATTTTCACATCCGACAATGTTAATAGGGATGGGCGATATGCTTCTTAACAAAAAATAACGAAAAAAAAATTAAACTTAGCTCGTCATTACTTATGCGTTTAACTAAACTACTTATGCGTTTGTAACTTTATATATGTAGCAATATACTCTATGTTTGTAACTAAATTGTACTGTCCAAACTCCAAGTGTCCAAACGTGTCAAGTGACAAGCCCCGCCCACCAACTAAACCGAAAAAAAAGAAACATTCTAATTTAGTAGTTAACTTAATTTTAACTTGCTACCAAATTGTCTGTTTACACGCAATTAATCACTTAAAATTAAGTTAAAATTTAGTTAACTACTAAACTACTTAACACGTGTAAACCGGCCATTAGGGAAGGCTCCATATTGTACTCCTAGACTCTAGTACTCTATGGTAATTGGTGTGGTTGACACCAGTGTAGCCAATTTAGGGGTTTACTCCCCAAGTTTAGGTGGAAATAATGCACGGGGGCATTTTTAAGGGAAAAAAATGTTTAGGTGTTTTTATAGGGGGGTGGGGGTTGGGAATTTTGATGGGCTTTTTTGGGGGTTTTTCTTTAATAGCATGACTTAAATATAAATAACTTTAACCACTTTTTTATTTAACTATTTTAATTTTAATTATTTAATAATAAATAGGCTATAAAATTATACAACTGGTAACATTTCCGGACTTGTGCTGGTAACCAGTGTAACCAACTTAGGGGCTTTTCCCCACAAATTTATGGATAAAGAATGGCACAGGGGATTTTTCAGGGGGCAAAAATATTTAAGGTCTTTGTTTAAGGGTTTATAAAAGTTCGCTTTAAGACTTGGAAAAATTATATCCCTTTTTTATTACTTTCTAAGTTATCTATGGAATTAATTATTCATTTTAAATGGTTATAAGTAATGAAAATGTAAAGATGATAAAAACCATAAATAAGTTTTTAACGCTACTTGTGATCATTTAAAATAAAATAAAAATATAAAAAAATAAAAATATTAATATTAGATAAAAACTTATAATTTTCAAATTGTCTTTGTCACTTGGGGTGTTTTAGGGGTTTACGAAATTACTTTTAGGGGAATAAAATTTCAAGTGTTGACTACACTGTTTGACACCTTCGTACATAATAGATTGTGTTCATCTATGGTGACAAGATTCTGAAAGTAGAATAAAAACCCAAACAAAAGGTCTAATTCAATTTGTTAATATATAACCAAAACAACCCAATTTTGTAAGTAGTCTTAATTTTTCATCCTACCAATATTTGTGCACGTTATAACTTCTAAAGTCTTACGAGATTACCTCTAAAGAATAAAAAAAAATGGAATAATCGTCGTATACATCAATGTCTTGTTTTAAAATTGTGCGTACGACTACGATTTTTATTTAGAATGAGGATTATACTTTGACAAGAAATTGACTTTTGTAGAGATGATAAATCAACAAAATCTGTTTTATTTGCAACGTCATATTTAATGCATATTATGATTCATTCCTATTTTTTAAATGTATTTTTAGTGGAATACATTATTGATTGCCTAATTAAATAAAAGTTCCATGTATTATTATATGGCGCGGCAAAACTGATAATCTTGTATAAATAAGTCATTTTATGTATATTTTTCAGACAATTTATGTACATTTTTTTGTAGAAATATGACGACTGGACCATATAATTACTCATATATTTTTAAATATATAATTATTGGTGATATGGGTGTTGGCAAATCGTGTCTTTTACATCAATTTACAGAAAAGAAGTGTAAGTTTCTTCCTGTTTTATATTTATCTACATATCACACACCGAAAAGTGAAAACAAATGACATTATTCATTTATTTTGGTAATTTTTCCAATATCCGTAATTTTACAATCAGTTAACAACATGTATTTTGGCTTATTTAATTAAAAGAAAAGTGGCTATAAAAAGTTAGCAAGTAGTTGTGAAATTTGAAAATACATTTAAAATAATTGATTGGTATAGTGTAACTTTTGCTTACATTGTATGTTCAAATTAACCTTAATTTTAAATATAAAAGAATGAATAGTAAAAATTAGCAGAAATAATAAGTCTTATAATATTAAATGAGTTATTCTTGTTGTATATATCAATTTATTTCATGTATCTTGGAAACGGCTCAAATGATTTGGATCAAATTTTGTACTAGATAAGGTTTTGCTTTTAAGTTTTTCTTTATAGGTGTCTTTTCTGAAAATTTGGTCGCCTAGGTACTATAGTGTTTATATCAAAATGATATTGTAGTATTAAAACAGTTTAATCAGTTTCATGATTACAGTAAGCATATCTTACTACGATTATGAAATAGAATTTGGGGGATTCTTTTTGTGAAAAAATATGTTATTAAGAAAAATAAATCTATGGCAAAAAGAGCAATTGCTAGCTATTGTGCAGTTTTCACTTGTCAGCTAGAAGGTGATCATAGCTTAGGCTTCCCTAAAGTTTTCCTTGTTAAATGATCTTCAATGGGACAACCACCCACTCTTTGCCTTCTGGTGGCATGATTGTCGCTCTTTGACTCTTTTATGTAGTTAAGAGGCTTACTACAGACTCTGTTTGGTATGGAAATATCAAACATAGGTCTCTTAAGTTACTTTTGGGTTATCTAGAGTAGTCTTCTTGTTAATACTATCATATTTGGGACGAGAAGATATAACAAAGTTCCCTAAATATGTCCTGGTGAAAATGATAAGTTGATAGATCTGCCTAAAAATTGAAATTACTGCATTGACACAGTTTGTTTAAGATATCACGATCGACTGATTCATACTTGAAGCGTAAAGCCCTCAACAGAAACTTAGAGTATTTGCATCATATTGTTCATGTTGAGCATATTGCAACAGGTCCTCTGTAATACACTATACTATTAATAGTAGTGATTCAATCAACATTTATGTTGATGCCCTAGTTCCAGTTCAGGATTTTAAAAACATAGAGCCTATTCAGAAAATGACTTGTACAGGATGCTGGATATTGTCAAAGCTGCATTGAAGCCAGTTTTGTGGTGTCAACACAGACCTGAATATTTAGAATGTATAATTTTGGCTTTGAGTGTGAGATGAAGTAATTAATTTTATATTTATAAAAATAAAACTGACTGCATAAAATACAAACTAAACATTTTTTTTATATTTTTTTTTAATTTAAAATTAAGAAATACTAGACCCTATTATAGTTGTCATGATAATGTGTAAAACATTATTTAAATCTTATAAATACGTTGGATGTATCTAAATACATACAGTTCTGTCTAAACAGAAATTCACAAACTCAATAAAACAATCTAATACTGTCCATTTCCATTTTTTATTTGTTTTCTAATAATAAATATGTTCATGCTACTTTTAAAATCTAAAGAAATTACAAACATTTTAGTCATGGCTGATTGTCCTCACACAATTGGTGTTGAATTTGGAACTAGAATAATTGAAGTAGCTGGTCAAAAAATTAAACTACAAATATGGGATACAGCTGGACAAGAAAGATTTAGAGCTGTAACTCGCTCCTATTACAGAGGAGCTGCAGGTGCTCTTATGGTCTATGATATAACTAGAAGGTAACATGCTTTTTAAAAATGTTTTATTAAATAATTTATGTATAATATTATAATATTTAGTATAATAATTAATATTTCATAACAGGTCAACATATAATCACTTAAGTAGCTGGCTTACAGACACACGTAATTTAACAAATCCAAGTACTGTTATATTTCTTATTGGCAATAAGTCAGACTTAGATGGACAACGGGATGTTACATATGAGGAAGCCAAACAATTTGCAGATGAAAATGGATTAATGTTTGTTGAGGCCAGTGCTAAAACGTAAGTTAACAGGAGCAATATAAATAAATATAATATAAATATGTTGGGACGTTACCACACGACTCGAACCCGCGACCGCTGGCACAGCAAGTAGGGTCACTACAAACAGCCAAACGTGTCGTTAAAAAATAAGATAAAATATCATAAAATATCATGTACATGTCTCTCCTTTTTTTATGTTGGGAAATATGTGTATACAGGTAGTTTGCGTAAATACGTAACTGCGTGTATACATGTGGATACGTGGATGGATACAAAAACCCAACAGAACCACCCTCGTTTTAATCCTAATGAGGCGTGGCAGGATCGCTTACGCACTCAACCACGACGCCAGGCCTGCCGAAGCAGACCAAACAACCAAGGGGTTGCTACCACGGTCCACTCTGAACCCCAATTCTTTTTTAATGCTCTAGTAAATTGCTTCATTTCGAATTCTATTTCCCATATAAACTTCAAGCATCGTGTGTTGTATGGCTTGCTAAAGTAACATTGAATTTCTGGTCGTTAAGGTCCATAATTATATTCTTTAGTCCTTTGAATTATCTTATCAGCCTCATGCAGGTTCTGTGTAGCGTGTATGTGGTGTACCGGTTTTGTTCTATTTACAAGAAATAATTATATTTTCAAATGATTTAGCGTGATCTTTTGTTACTATTATTGTGTATATTATCAACACATCATCATTCACGTATTCCAGGGGCCAAAATGTGGAGGAGGCTTTCCTCGAGACGGCAAAGAAAATCTACCAGAGCATCCAGGACGGGCGGCTCGACCTGAACGCTGCGGAGTCGGGCGTGCAGCACAAGCCCGCGTCGCCGGGCCGCCCGCTGGCCGCGCCGCCCGCCGCGCGCGACCCCTGCGCCTGCTAACCTCTCCCCTCCTCCGCGCCCGCCCTGAGGATTGTTCATACACATACTAGTTCAATGGCATGCCACGTTATTTGCGATAAATTACTTTTGACACACGCAATGGAAATAGCATTTAGAGCTCCCCGGACCCCGTTTGAAGCTTTGGAAACTGAATGCAAGTCTTAAATAGTAAAAGTTAACATACAAATTTTAGTACATATCCAAAGAAAATATTATTTTGTAACATTATGTTGCATACTGCAGGCAGTGCGGCAGCTTTTTGACTGGATTTAAATGCATTGTCTCAAGTTTCTAGCTTCACTTTCATTTAGGGCAATTTTGTATAAATGTTTAAACATCAGTATCCTCTTTATTATTGTTTATAATTTTATTTTTATTCTTATATAACTGTTTCCTATTATAAAATGTTTTGTTTGGAAAAGGGTGCACCTTAATCTCACATTCCACACGCTTAATTGGGTTTATGGAATTATATATAAGGGAAGAAATATGTTAAGAATTTACTGATTTTAAATATCAGTGCATTATTAGTACTTTAGAAATTTGAATCAAAAAATATTTTGGATGTGCATTTGTCAGCGCACAGTGAGATTATATTGAGACATTATCTTGATTTTTTTGACCATCTACTGTGTTATAGTTTTATATAAATAGTGTAAATTTCTAAACTCATTTCATTATGTATATATTGTAGTATTTAAATAAGACCAGCCACTGTGGTGATGGTTTCTTGTCGTTTTTATTTGTAAAAATATGTATACAGTGGTAACAACTAATTTGAGTGTATACAATATATTGTTCCCGTAGACGGGAAACCACCGCGACATCGGTCAACTTTTTTAAATATAAAAATATTAATAATATATGTGTCTCACAAATCTATAACAATATTATTTTATTGGGCTCACAACTCGATAGGCATAGTATAAGAGTACTTGTTGCTTATGTGTTTTAATGTTTGACCATCTATAATATTAGTTTCAAGAAATGTTTATTATAAATGTGTGATTTATATTAAATAAGCAGAGTGCTAAACAACATTTAAGAGTATTTAATACAATCATCCGAAATTGCTGTTATATAATTGATTAAACATATATGTTGTAATGTAATTTATTATTGATATCAGACATACGTATTTCCTGATATCAGTAACAAATCATACAAGTATCTGAAATTGCAGTAACATTATAGAAGTAGCAGTAAAGAACATCTATACTAATATTCTTAGTCAGTTCCTTTTGATGTCAAAGGAAAAGTGTTTTGTTATTATTATTTATTATTCTTACTTATTATACTTTCTATATTATTAACTTATATATTTTAACTGAGAAAATTTATATTAAACATCTATAAATATTGCTTAAAGGAATATTATTTTTTTAAGAAAAAAATGTTTATGAATGTCATTGTTAGAGTATTTTCGTAGTTCTCGTGATGTCGTATGGTTTGAATTATTTAATGAAAACAACGTTCTAAGGTAGACTTTCATATTGTTCTGCGATCGTAAGCAGGTTCACTGGACAGGCTATAGTTGTTTACTCGTCGTGGTGCAAATTCAAGTATAGATTGCTTTTCCATTACAACATTATTATGTTATGATTTCTTTCATTATGTATGTATTGTACATGAACATTTAAAACAATTTTTACCTGAGTGCACTTTTACTTTTGAGTTGTCATAAAAATATCTCCAAAGATTTGAAACATACTGCAGTCTGATGCGGCGTAGCTCGTTCTTGGTGAGTTGATTTCGAATCGGTGGTTACACTGGTGTATGTGTGATGTGATCTGAGCATATCTATGACCGATAGTTACTCTAAGGATCTATATAAAAAGATGCAACATCGGTGACCATTGACCAATGGTAATACTAATAAAACGATAGCCTTTGATTATTAATGTTAACCTAATAAGGTTAGTCATTGAAATCAAGTTCATTTATAAATTTTTCATTTAAAATTTGGATTCTTCTAAAGCATTTTTGGTTCTAAAAGTTCTAGTTGTTTTATGGTGGTCACTGTTCTAATCTAAGTCTTTGATGTAATATTGTGACCACCGGTCATAGGTATGCTGTATATGTTGTTATATTAGTGTAACAAAACAGTGTAACCATGGGTCCTAAGCCGGCGAGTTCTTTCTAGCTCGACGATCCAATGCATATCTTAAAAGTGTATTGTATGTATTCATTGCAGAAGAATGTGGACAATGGAAAATATCTTCCGTATATTACAGAGTTGTTTCAAAATGATACTCTTTGAACGTCTAGAGGATGGTGGTTACCATACTCCTTATTCACTAGGATTTATAAAAACATTATTATTACAATTGGAGGTTTTAACTGTAAAAATGTCAATATTTTAGTTAAGATAATTGATGAGAAAACTATTAAAATAAATGTTCTTAAGTTCGTATTGCTTTTGTATCTTAACTGAATAAATGTTAAATAAGTTATTTTAATCAAATCTAATTATAATTTATTGCAATTAGAACTATTTTATTACATCATATTACATATAGTATGAAATAATGCAAACGTGTTTTATTTTGTTTATATAACAGAATTTATTTTAAATATAATTTATATTACATATACAAGATTAATAAAATATACCTATACATTTTCCATCTACCTTGCTGATATCCCTAAAAAATAAGTTGATGATAAATACAACAAAGCCATGGAAAACATCAGCACTTCCTTTGCTTTACGCCACTTCTAATGTCGCAGAATATAATCATCAAACCTTACTAATTACCTTTCAAATACGTAATTATATGCACATACCTTTATGATCAAATATATTACTTTCGTTTCCTTTGTCCCAGTTACAGTCGGTCATGTAGTAGTAAATAAATGAAAATAAATATATTTTAGCTCAATATAAATAATGTTACTATAACTTTACGCTTTCGAGATGTGCATTACATTAAACATATCTGATTTACAATGATTTTATATGATTTGTTAATACTATCATCGCTCAATTATAGATAGCGGCATGAAACATGAGATGTATACTTTATTGGTTTGTTAGGCAGAATGAGTAATGGCTCATCGTCCATCGGACGCTCACGTGACACCGAATGGTTATACGCTTTCGTTCATTGTTCGAAAGTGCACCAGATGTCAACGTGGGCTCGTGATTAGCGCCGACTAGATGACAAATGTATGTTTAGCGATATCTTAAAAAGTTATCAAAGAGGATATGCACAACGTATGTATATGTAAGATATATTTGTCTGTAGATACACAATAGGTCGTCTCGTCTACAGCTTGGACGTGGCCAGGAGCAGGTCGCGCATGTCCGTGAGAGCGCGCGCGAGCGCGGCGGCGTAGGGCGCGGCGGCGGTGTCGGGGTGCGCGCGGAAGGCGGCCGTGGCGAAGTTGACGTCGTCGTCGCGCGGGTTGTAGCACGTGGAGTAGCCGTCCGCCACCAGCGGCGCGTAGCACATGAACCCGTCGCATTTGCACGCCACCTGCACCGGTACACGCGTTAGCTACCTCATACGGGGTGCACGTCATTATTTGTTTTTTTTTATTACTCTTGTCCACTTGCTTCTACGGGAACAACAACAGGAGAAATATGGCACAGCCGATTGGATGGCGGCGTGGCGGGCGCATCGTAGCAGTGTACAGTACTGTGCAGTAGCTCACTAATTATTGACAATTGAAATTGATTTGTTGGAAAAACTACTTAACCACTTGAACTCCGCTGGTGCCTATAGGCATCACTTCCGGCGTTACCGCTAAATCCCCTCTGGTGCCTATAGGCACCACCTCGCCCGTTGCACTTTTATCACTTATTACAAGACGAAATCAGTGTATTTTATGCTAAATGAGTGATACTCGCAAACTTTAGAAGTTTTATGAAGTATATAAAAAAAATAAATTTTAATTTAATGCCGACAACGTTAAAAAAAAACGAGTCAAAAATTGTTGAAATTTCAAGTGAAGAGCGCGCGACTCGCTATAGTTTTTGAGTAATTTAAAATCTTTAAACTAGTGAACTTGTGCCGTAAACGTATGAATATTCATTGTTAGTATTCTTTGCCACTATTGAGATACTAATAAGTGTAAAATCACATTATAAAATTAGTTTTTTGGTTCAACAAATTTTGATGTATAAATTTCGTAAAATAAGTCGCCAATATATAACATGAATTTTGACTATTACTCTCTGATTTGGTGTCCGATAAAGGTAAATCACTAAAGAAAAACTAATATAATTACATATTTGTAGTTGTTTGTAGCATATTTCAATAGTTTTATATGTATTTACGTTAATTATTATTTGAAGAAGATATATGAGTACTTTTTGAGATATGGTATAGTTTTAGCTACGGGAATTTTATACATACAAAGATTGCCTCTATTTGTCATAGAAATACAATAAAATACAAATTAAGTTATACTACTCATGAAAAGAGTATTGTAGATGAATAAACAATATATTAAGTTATTTTTTTTTCATATTAAATTGCATAATGTATTAAAATACATAAATTATTTTTTCTATGCTACGAGAGCTAGCTAACTTGCGTGCCAAAACTTGTACTCTCGCATTTATGAGATTTTTTATAATAATAATTTTATTTATGTCATATTTTTATAAAAATGGCACTTTATTTGATGATTTTGAATCTAATTTGTCCAAAAATTACATTATTTTATTGCATCTATTTTGATTTTTTTAATACTTACTTTTTTATTGTTATAAACAAATATAAAAATTGAAACTGTGTTTATGTGTTTAATTTAGCCGTTCACAAAAATAATCGATAGTTTTTACTTTTTAGTGTTGTTGGGTACACATGGGTGCATCACTACGCATCTAAATATGATTAGTACATTTTTTAGTCAACTTCACAGGTTTAAATGTTTAGTTTTTTGAATGAAAAGTGTTAAGTTTTCATATATGTGATAATGCTTAGCGTGTCCTTTTATAACTTAAGCTAAATTTATATACCGAAACGTTAATTACAATGCAACACGAGCGTCTGTAAAAAATAACCTCAATTTTTCTCTCTTATTAGAAATCCATCCGAATTTTAATTACAGTGGCTTATTATGAAGATTTATTGGTGCATGTTTTTAAAGTAATAGTAAGGACTATTCTGTATTTTAGTATTATTTTTGTTAAGAATCCAAACATTATAACTCGGATGTTTGTTTTGAAAATTGCGCGATGAGCGGCGTAAATACAACGAACGAGTCGCGAGTGCTATAATGTTTTGAATTTGATTGTAACTAACAACTTATATAAAGAAATCTAAGAATGGTTTTGTGCGATTACATATTTATTCATAAAATAGTGTTACAAATTTAGTGTAAGTAGAGACCGTGGTATTGTCAGAAATCAATATAATACAACAACTAGTAAATATTCAGCTAATACTCATAATATATTGTTAGCTTATTTATAATTCATCAATAGTTAAAAGTGTATTTTACATATAATCTGAGCATTTATATGCTCAGATTATTTAAAAACCCAAAACAGCAAAACCATTTTAAATCGGTGCTATATAATTAGAATTGAGTGTTTTTTATGTAATGGTTGTATCGGGGAAAAATGACACGCGGGCTCGGTGCTTAAGGGGTGTTGCATGTCAAAAAGCGCGGGGTTCAAGTGGTTAACAGCTCTTCATATATATTATGTATTTCTTTATAATAAAAACTGAATTATTAATTAATGTTAATCATTAATTATTGTATTAATTATAATATAATATATATTATGTTTAATTTAAACAATTACATACTCGTAATATTATACAACCTACCTATGATCAATCAAAATGTTATCTGAGATAAAAAATACTGTTCACGATTGTGTAAGTAAATATAATTACTGGAAGGTTTCGAAAACCCATGATATCCAAAATGTCACATTATTTATAATATATTACCTGGCTTGTAGAAATTCGCATGTTCGCACTTCTCACATATCCAGGGTCGGAATATAGTTTCGGTACTTCGATTCCATTTTCGATCGCTATTAATTTTAATCCAAGTAAATGTCTGTCTACACCGAAACCTTGTAGAGCCTGTAAACAGTTGCAATCATTATTATTACTATTGTTTGCAATATTCATGACGAACGGTTCAATGTTAACGCGCTGAAGTTCCATCTCGTGGCAAATAACAATAATTATCAGACAACCCTAAAGCTGTTTCCCAACTGTCATATTAAATTATGTATTATAGTTCGTATCGTTCCACCTCGTACTATGGAGTATAGAGATAAGGAGAACCGCCTCTGTGTAAGAAAAAGTTACGTCGAAAAGTAGTAAATTCAGAAATATGAAAAAGTGTACTGTAACAAGTGGGTAAATTTTAAAGAATGCGCCAATGGTTGTTAGAGTAAACAAAGAAAGAAAATGTTCCGCTATATTATAGCGCATTTTTTAAAATAAACATAGATAAATAAAATTGAAGTGTCTTTTGTAATGTCAAAGTAATAGCTTTTTACTCGATGCATATGAAATTATATACGAAACTGTTTGTTTGTCTGTATCTGTTTGTTCAGGCTAATCTTTGAACGGTTGGACTGATTTTGACGGGACTTTCACTGGCAGATAGCAGATGTTATAAGGAGTAACACAGGCTACTTTTATTTTGGAAAAAGAATTAGGGTTGCGCTCAAAAAAAAATGTAGTAAAAGTCGAAGAATAAATTTTTTTAATAAAAATAACTTAAAATGAAATATACATAAAATAACCATTTTTTTTATCGTCGGGAAATGCATTTACGCATACCACCTGATCCTCCAGGTGGTGATGTGGGGCTCACCGGCTAGAAGAGCCGGTACTACCCACTAAAACCCGACATCCCTTCCCCCCGCCTTAGTGGGACGCTGCAGGATCGCTTGCGTATAACTACTACGGCGCCCCGGCGGTAGGTCTGCCTAAATACTAGGCAGACCACCAAACCAATGGGGCTGCTCCACAGTCAACTCTGCTACGTCAGAGAGGTACCCGGAGCAGCCCCATAAAACCAAAACACCGCCCACCGAAGTGGGCCACCTCCAATCGGCTGCAGAGGACAGGGAGAGCGGCAACGAAACACCGACACTCCTCTTCCCCTGCAGCCCCACCGCGACCGCCATCAAACAGTGGCGGCCGCGTC